CTCGGCGCGGCTCCGCTCACACGAAGTGTCTTCGGTGTGTCGGCCCCAGCAGGGAACACGCGATTTCTGCTGCCCGTGGAAAGGAAAGTGCGCTCCCCGAGCCCGTGGGGAGCTGACTTTATAGAGAGACGGCCCTGCCCCTCATCCTGATTGGTCTGTTCTCATGCAAATAAGGACTCCAAATCCTCACAGTTTGATTGGTCAAAAAGTGCACCAATGGAGCTGCTCTGATTGGTCAATGGAGGTGCTGAGGTGCTGAAGTTATAGCTGCACAACTCCAATTGCATGGAATCTATTGGTTGAGATACAGTTCCCGGAAGTTAGTAAACAAATCTAAGATTCTGTGTCAGTGTCTTTATTTTTTACCTTTTTTATCCCTAAAACCAGTTACAGGTCATTATTCCTATAATCCCTTTACCAAGACTTCCAACATCAGTCTGTTAAAATAGTTAATATTGAACATGTGAACTTTTTTTCCTCTAATATAAAGCTATTCTGCTATTTTTTTAATACACAACAACTATAGTATCTCATCTGGACCCATATTTCAATCTTTTCCAGCCTGCCTATCAGAGAGGTCAGGCTCCTAACCTTCAACCGCCTGATTCCTGTTCACACCCTCAGGCCTTCCTAGCAAATCTGAGAGCACAGAGTTGATGACTTGTAATGATGCAAAACCAGCAAAAATCTGCCTCTAAAACCTAAACAATTTCACAAAAAAAAAAAAAAAGTTACTTGATTTCTGGGGCTTGGTATCTATAATTTTTTTTTGCAATTTCAGAAAAATACAGAAATCGTGGCCAGCATGTTCATTGTTTCCAAAGGAAATTATTCTTTAGCACCAAGGTAGGCTTCTGTGACCTGCATCCAGGAGCAGACTAAAACTTCAAAGAAATGTGAGGGGTTTTGTTCTGTAAAAGAAAAGCACACATACACACAAAAGCTCTGAGGTTCTGGTACCTGGAGCTCAGGCTGAGACTCTGCAGGAAGACGAAAGGGCGTCCCAGGTGGCGTTGGGGGGACCAGGCCCTGAGGTGGGGGGCCGGTGCGGAGCCTGACATGCGCCCTGCGTGGGGTGGGTTCGCCGGGGGTTCTCTAACGGGGGAGAGGGCGGGTTTGAACCCAGCTCGTGCTGAGCAGAGCGCCCAGCCGTGTGGAGCCTCGAGGGCTTCCTGGGAGCCGGGCCAGAGGGGGCCCCAGTGAGGACCCGAGTCTGTGTCTCCGAGTAGGCGTGCGCCGCCACACGTGGGCCCTCCGAGCGAGAAGGGGGCGGTTCTCGTGCGAGGAGCGTGTTCCTAGGATGGTGGTGGCCAGGAGGGCTTCCCTGCTTCCCTCGGCCCCTCCAACCCATCCATGGCTGTGAGAGGACATTGGTTTTGGGCAATGACGTCCCCCCATTAAACTCAGCCCCACCCCCGTTCACTGGCCCAAGTCCTCAGCAAAACTTCCCCAAACCCAAAATGCCTGCATCTCTGGAGAAAGGATAAGAGCCCCAATTCAACCGGGGGTGGGGACAGCGCGGCCACTGGGGCCAGACGCAGACAGAGGGGGAATGGGAACTTGCAGCCACCGGGCGGAGGGTGGTCACTGCCCAGTGGTGTCAGGCGCGGGCAGGGACTTGGGGGGGCCCTCCCCAGAGTCCAGGCCGCGAGTCAGCTTCTCTCCTCCATCTCAAACTCCAAACACGGCAGAACCAGAACTTGAACACCAGGTTTTATGGTATAGTTTTCCTTTAAAGTATTTTTTTCTTTTTTTCTTTTATTAATCTGTTAACTTAAAAAAACTACATTATTTTTTTTCTCTTACAATATTTTCTCTTTCTGTCGTTGTTGTTATACTGTTCAAAGGAGGAAGAACAAATCAGACTGATTAACTCCCGTACAGTTTAAGTGGAATATAAAAGGAATACACTAGAAAGGTGACAAGGTCGCTCAGACACTGTCCTCGGGACGCCCCGGGGGCGGGGGCACCGTCAGCGGGCATTGCCGCCCCCGCCCAGGCCACCGGACCCGCGGGCCCCAGAAGCCCAGGCCCGGACAGCCATCCCAGGGCAGCCCCCGCGGAAGAGCCGTTCTTCCTGCCTCAAGAGGCCCCTTCCGGCAGGGAGACCCCGGGAGGCCCCTGGGCGACCTGGGGGGCCTGTGTCGCCCATGCACGCGCCCCCGGCGGACGGCACAGTGGGACCCGACACGGGCCGGCCACACGCGCTTTCTGATGCCTGGGCCTCACCGTTCCGTGAGAAAGGAGCACAGAGCCAGGATTTCAGTTACGTAAAACCGCTGCATTCCGGGTGCCCGCTGGCAGGGAGGGCGAAGCAGCCGCAGGAGCAGGAGGGGGAGGGGACCTCGGACAGCCTTCGCGGCGTCCCTGCTGTGCCAACACAGAGGCGCCAAGAACGAGGGCTGCGCCAAGAGCTGGGGACAGGTTCCTCTATTTACTCTAATTTTTTCCAAGGATAGTGAGACTTGAAAAACCTGTAAAGCTAAGTATGAAGAAGTGTGATGAGTCCTCCCCATGCATCCGACGCTCTTCTGTTGTGCCCTGTTTGACATTTCCAGAACACAGTGTTTTTTAAGGGGACCAGGAGAATAAGATATAATAAAATGAAGAGGGTTTTAGAGTACATATAAAAGCAGACAAGGTTTTTTCCAATAGCGTACTTATCTTACAAAGGCTGCTCATTTCTTAGTCACTAAATAATCGCATATTTGTGGCCATTTAGGCCTCGGCCGGGTCGCTTCTCCCACGGCGCACGCCCCATTCCCGCAGTCAGGGAGCTAGTGAGCGAAGGCAGCGAATGTCAGATTGTCCCTGGAGAAGCCGAGGACGCTGGGAAAACGGGTCGCTCGGAAGACGGTCGGCCAGAGGGGCCTGGCCTGGGCGCTCCACGTCCAGGGCGCCCCCGGCTCCCCGCCGACCGGCCGAGCGGGCAGAGCCCGAGGCACCCCCCTGCGGGTCCTGCCCTCGCGCCACGTGCCCCGGGTCCGAGGCCACCGTCCCCACCGTCTCCAGCAAACAGGCCGTGCCCCCCCCCCGCCCGGGTGCCGGCACGGCGTCCAGGAAGATGACGCCCACGCACTCAGTCCTCACAGCCTGGTCCTCAGGGAGGGAAGCGGAGGGAAAGGGCGGAGCAAGGACAGCCCGCCGATCGCAGAAACGGCCGCGGGGCGGGAAGTCCAGCACCGGGCACAGCGTGCGGTGCCAGGCAGGCGCTAGGCCGACCCCTTCGCGAGACATTTAAATGTCTGACCGCTGTGCCGCGCCCCCTGCAACTCATAGGTCAACTGTAGTTGAGAAAATGAATTTTTAAAAAAAGAAACCTGCCTGCACAGCCAGCTCACGGGGGCTGAGCTGGGGGCGGGCTCGACCAGGGCAGGCGGCCCGGTCCAGGCGCCGAACCCCAGTCAGCGGTGCTTGTGCAAATGCCGCTGCCCGTGTGTGCGGGGACACCTGCAGGCGTGTCCCCCCGCCCCCCCGCCCCCCCGCCCCCGGGCTCACTGAGTGCGTCCCCATCCCGGGCTGCAGCTCGCAGAGGGCAGGGGTCAGGGCGCGCCCGGCAGCCGGCACGGCGCCCGGGAGCAATAAAGTTCCCCTCCCACCCTCCGCTCGCTCGCTCGCTCAACAAACACCCAGTGCTTGGCATGTGCCAGGCGCAGCTCTGGGGGCTGGAGATCACACTGGTGAACAAGTCGGAATGAACTCCCGTTCTCGTGGATCTGACAACTTCCGGGAGCTCCGAGGAGATCAACAGGGACGCCCACCTGCCGTGCGAGGTGGCAGACACTAAAGAAAAGACGAGGCAAAGGAGGACGGCGTGCGGAGCCACCGCTTAGACACGTGGCCATCGGAGAAGTGATCAAGGACAGGCCTCTGATGAGCGCGTTTATTCAGCATCAGGAGTAACCGCGAAAATGTTGAAACAAGGGAGGCGTCCCCCAGCGAAGGGCGGGCTGCGCCGTGCTGAGCTTCGCGTGGGCCGAGGGCCAAAAGCCGCAGGAGCCGCGCCCGGGAAGCAGGCGGCTGGCCTCCGCCTGCAACCGCCGCTCAGGGAAAGAGGCCAAGTGCCCCCCAGAGAAATGCCCCCCCGCACACCGACACCAGCGCTCCTGGGTCAGAGCATCAGACTCACTGGTCAGCTCCGGACCCTGAAACGCGGAGGGGTCCCGCTGGCGTCGTGCTGAGCCTGACGACCCTCCCGTGAGAAGGAAAGCACCTTTGGCACGGACCTCATTTTGAGGAGGAAAGAAAGACTATTTTGGATCTGAGGATTCAGCTGAGAGGAATTCAAAGTCAGCTACAGAATTTCTTCAAACGGAAGGACGGGGCAGCAGGAGACGCCGGTGCTCAGCGTGGACCTGAAGCCGGACGTGGCACAGACGCTATGAGGACCTGCCTCGGCAGGAAACGGCATTTTCAGGGGTTCGCTCCACGGCCGCAGCCTTGGGGATCAAGGCTGGTCCGTCGTCCCGTGCGCCATCGACCGCCGCGTGGTTAGAGCCCACGCTCACGGGTACCCCTGTGGCGTTGGCACACGTCTGGTCGGAGCCACCCCGTGCGCGCGGGACAGCGAGCCTGGCACTGCCGCTGGGGACCAGTTCCAAGAAGAGGCGCCTTAGCGCCAGTGACCCGACACGGAACAGGCGCACCGAGTCCCGTGCCTCGCGGCCGCCTCGGACACCAACGCTGCGGCCCCCGCTTTGGGGCGCCGCCCAGGACAGCCTGGCTGTCCGTTAACTGCACCCCTGTCCCTCCAACCAGCAGCCTCGACACTTTAGTTTTTCAAGACGCCCAAAAGCCGCAGCTGGAATCCCAGCTTTGTCTGGAGTTCTCCCCATCAGCCCTTCTCTGACAAGGCGCCAGCCCAGGGTTCAGCCGCTTTGGCCCTGAGGGCAGGTCCTCCCCTGCCCTGACCCAGCCCCCTGTTCCCTACAGGGTGGGGGCCGCCCCGGCAGGTGAGAGGTCCTGCCCTGAGGGCCCGGGCGCAGGTGGCGGTCACTCACCGGGTTCCTGAGTCTGCACAGCCAGTTCTTCCAGAGCAGGGCTCCCAGCTGGCGCCCGGCGGGCCCCATCTCGCCTCCCCTGGGTGGGGAAGCTCCAAGCCCGGTTTATACCTGTGGCCCCGCCAGGGCCCCTGTGCCTGGGCCAATCCCAACAAAAGGGAGCGAAGCAAACGGATTACCGGCCCCTGTGGGAGGCGGATCGGGTGTCATCCACCTGTCCACACGCCCCTCTGGTGAGAAGTCTCACCTTTCTCGCCAGCTCCCAGGGTTGGGAGGATGGGCTGAGGCTGGCGCGGCCCGGGGTGCGAGCTCACGCTCTCTAGGTCCTGAGCCCCGCTCCCTGGATGCTGGCGGGGAGATTCCCCCCGTCCCCTGGGCCCTGGGCGCTCCAGGCTGCGCAGAGGGTGGGTGGAAAGGCAAAGGGAGCCGTGTTGGTCTGTGTGGACGCAGGGAGTGGCTCAAGCTCAAGGTTGCTGTGCTCTCTCCCACCCCCAGACCCCTTCTCCACCATTTCCCCCAAAGTGCGGGGACCCACGGGCTGGGGGGCGCAGCAGGCTAGCAGGGGGCGGTGAGGAAGCGCAGCGACCGTCGCGGGTGAGGCTCTGGCTCAGCCCCTCTGCCGCCTCGGACTCCTCGCTGGCGGCCGGCAGCTGCGGCCCCCGGGTCCTGGGTGACTCCCGCGCGTGGTCATCTCTCCGTCAGCGTGTGGATGCCGCCAGATGCCGTCGCACCAGCATCCCCACGGCCCGCGGCCCCGGTTCCCGAGGCCCCAGCGGTGCTCAGACGGTGTCAGGCGACCCGAGCCTGCGGCCTTCCCTTCCAAACAGCGACTTCCGCAAGCCCGAGGCCCCGTCCCCGGCTTCTGCAGCAGGAAGCGGGCGCAGGCCTCGGCCGAGGGGGTGCCTCAACTACCCCCACACCCGTCCCTTCCCAGGACACCCTGGTCACATGTTACCCCACTCTGCGCGGCACGTGTTGCCGCAGGAGCATGACGGCCACTCCCCAGCCAGTGGGCCTGGAGCGCGCACCCCATGCGCGCACGGCTCGCCCCGTGCCCGCGCCCGGCCGCCTGGCGTCCCGCAGAGAGGCCTGTCCCGTCCTGAGTGCCGCCGCCCGGCTCCTTGGCAGGGACCGCGGGCAACGCCGCACAGCCTGGCAGACGGCTCTGGCTTTACAACCCCCGGGACTGGGGAAATGCCCAGGCGTGGGGTGCTCCTGCTTTACTGTTACAGCCGTTCGCATACACGTGCGGGGTTTTACCCACCAGAAACCAGCTCGGCTGCTGGCCAGACCTTGGACGCCCGGCCCCTAGAGCTGCGGGGACCTGCCTGACTCCTGGAGACCCTGCCTGCAGGAGTGAGTCGGCCGCCCCAGGGAGCGAACCCGCAGCTGACAGAGGGGCTCGGCCGCTGGGCTGGCACTCGGGCCCCTGCAGGGGAGGCGGGCGCTGGGCCGTGCCGCGGATCAGGCGGTTCCTGGACACTGAGGAAACCGTGGAGTCAGCAGACGGGTGTGTATGAAAGGATTCTGGGGCTGGCACTTCCTGGGGCTCGGCTGCGACGTTGGTGCTGCCCCAGGGGATGGCGGGTCACCGCCCGGGGGGGGGCCCGGTGCTCAGCAGGCTATCGAGGCCCCAGCCGCCAGCCTGTGCGCTGAGACATTGCGCACCGTTGGTCACACATCACAGGACCCCCACCACGGTGGCCCTTTGCTGCCCCTCCGCCCCTGCCGCTCACCTCGACCCTTTGAATTAGGGTTGGAGTCCTCGGGGAGGTGGCCAGGAGGCCAGCACACAGGGGACGCAGGGGGCCGAGTGCAGAGCAGGAAGGCCTGGGGGCCGCCTCCCTGCCCGCTGTGCCTGGGCCCCCGGGGTGAGTGGGCCGCGTCGGACGGGGCCGTCCGATGAGCGCGCCTCAAACTTGAACGTGGGAGATCGTCACACACAGTGGCTCGTCTCTCCGAAAGGCTATGCTGATGCCGTTTGAAAGTTACAGTGTAAATTCTTCAGAAATTTCGGGGAGCACTGCCTCTCGGTCTCTGTCCGAAAGCTTCATTAGCGTTAGGGGCAGTACGTGAGCCGAAACATTATGAAGAACTCACCCAACCCTTACCCTAAGGTTTCTTGTTGGATTTTAATTGATAAATCCTGAAAAATAAGAACCTCTGGGATGACTTAAGGAGCTCACTTTCTCAGAGCCTGAAATTCCGTGCTGCTAATTCCAATCATCTCTCATGAATCCGAATTAGTCTTATTTCTTGCTCTAACAGAAAACCGTAATTCCAGCTTGCAGCTAAAGCATGCATCTTCAACAGACAGTGAAAGGATAGGAACACGTGGTTTCCTCTTCTAAGGCTATCTGGTGCCTGCAGAGCCAGGAAAATTAAAGAAACCCTGAAAAATCGACTGACAGCCTCCCGAGAGGGAAGCAGCCGGAACCCCTGACCAGGCAGGAGGGCGGGGCTCTGCCTTCTGTCCCGCTGGACAGCCTGAGGCCGAGTCAGCTCGCAGGCTTCTTTCCCACTGAGCTGTGTTTCCCCAGGTGAGACATAAAATGCGATTTCTGTGCCCTTCCCAGCGGATAGCCCACTTCGAACGCGGAAGCAAAAGGCAGCAGGATCAGACACAAACCCCCGGCGAGCCCTAGGACTCGGGGTGGCCGGGCGGCGCCCTCCCCCCACGTTCATTCTGAGCTCTTTGGCTGCAACTGTTGGCCAGTCGCCTACAGTGGGTCCCAATTTCAATTTCAATTTCACAGGTGAAAAGGTCTAATGAGCTCCGGAGCACAAAGCCCGTTTACGCCTGCACGCGTTTCCGCAGCAGCAGCAGCAGTCCGGGTCCTGGGGAGCGACGGCCAGCGCGGCTCCGGGAGGGGCCGCGTGGGCAGCCGTCCCTCCCCTGCTCCTGGTCCGGGTCAAGCTGAGCCTGGGAGGCCATCTGCTTGCGGGGCCGAGGAGAGTCCTGGAGAGCAACGCGTCCACACGGGCAGCTCTCATTTTATTGTTTTGTATTTTATTAAGAGCCTTCGCCTTGAGCCTGTTTCTCTTCACACAAAGAACCAGAAAGACTGACCGATACGAATCTAAGTGTAAGATTCAGACAGATGCAAATGGCAAGATGACAAAGATCTTAAAACGAATAGGGAAAGAAGTTAAAGCATCGTTTTCAACATTAGCCCATGAAGTAAAAGAGCACACTTGAAACCCCACGGGTATTTTTGTTTGGTTTGGTTTTTTTTATTTATTTTTAGAGAGGAGAAGGGAGAAAGTAAGAGAGGGAGAGAAACAGCGATGTGGTTGTCTCTTGTGAGCCCCGTATGGGGGACCTGGCCCGCAACCCAGGCCTGTGCTCTGACTGGGAATCGAACCCGCGACCCTTTGGTTCGCAGGCTGGCGCTCAGTCCATTGAGCCACACAGGGCTCACAGGTGTATTTATGAGGACCAGTATTTCAGACTCCCATAAGCCATCATTTAACAGAGATTTTAAGGGGCTGAGCTGTGACCGTGACTCCTGAAAGTCACGGTCACAGGGCCTCAGCGAAGGTCCTACGTTCAGATGATATGATGCCCGTCAGACCCCAGGGGAGTTGTGTCTCCCCCTTAGCTGGTCTCAAGCTCCTGGTCCCGGCAGAGGCGGCTCTGGGCCGCAGGGGGGCCTCCCGAGTCCCCCTCGGGTGCCCAGGTCACCAGCTGCCACTTTCAGAGACGGCCTCCGCCAGGCCCCCTTGTCACATGTGCCTGCTGGCGGCAGCCCTCCGGCCCCAGGATGGACCCGAGCTCCCAGCCGGGAGGTCCTGTGGCGGGTCAGGGGACAGGAACGCAGCCCACAGCCCCGAGCTTCCCTGGGAGCTTTCTTCACTGGTAGCAGCCGGTGACTGTGCACAGTGGAGGCGGCAGCTTCCAGCCCCGACGGCGACTGCGGGAGGGCTAGTGCCCCTCGCCACCGTGGATGCCTCAGGCCAGAGCTGGGTCTTTCGAACGCCCTTTCTTAGGGACAGGGCTGGGGGGGAAGGCTTTATTCACAGTGGGTGCTCCCCCATCCCCACTCCCGAAGGGCCAGGTGTGAGTTTGCCTCTACAGCAAACGTGCTCCCCAGTCTGCAGCCTGGGGAGGGGGTGGGCCCTGACCGGACTCTTCCAGACTTTTCCACAGAGACTCAGCCCTCACTTGCCTTGCAGCCTGGGGCTCAGCGTCCTCACCTGCACGGCAAGGTCCTGAGAGGTCAGCACAACAAAGAGCTCCATCTGGCTGTTTGGAAAATCGCACCTGGCCCTCAGTGGAGTCTGATTAACAAAACATAGTTCCCGCGTCCCCAGCCAGGATCCCAGGTGACGTGCACCCGCCTCTGAGTCACAGCTTAGTGCGGGCCTTAGTGATGGAGGCCGAGCCGCTTGGATTCAGTCCCAGCATCTCTATTTCCAATGCCATTTATTAAAACGTGTCCTTGTTCCCTCTGCTGGGTCTGGGGGCATCGTTATCTGAGTGGCGGGACGGGACTGGAGGCGGGGGGAGGGGAGTCTGTGGGAGGTGGAAACCCCCCTCCAAATTCTGTCTGAGCCCCCAGCGCCACCTGTGAGCCCGGCTGGCTTCGCCTGCGATGTGGGAACGCCTTACACCCCCGCCCCGCCCCTTCCCCTCCCCCCAGTTACAAAGTGGAAGGGTCCAGCTGGACCGTGCGCTTGGGGCCGGTGCTCACACTGACCTCACGGGGGCAGCACCGGGACACAAGGTGCGGTGAGGCAGCTCACCCCGTCCCCCAACTCCCGCATGATTCATCCAGCAGAAGGGCCCAACCCTGTCCCTAATTCTCCCAACCGGAGGGGGAACCTTCCCCACGTCACATGACCCTGCTTGGGGGTCACTGTCGTCGGAGAGAGATGCCAAGTGGGGTGGCCATGTGGGACGAGGGCCGGCCATCGGGAGGAATCCAGGGAACACGTGTTTGGGGACTTTTCCGAGGTCATCGCAAGTCAGTTTAGCAACCAGATTAAACCCTACTGAGCTCTGCCGTCGCGACAGGCATGTGACTGTTGTTACTATTCCACCCGGACAAGCGGCTTGGTCCAGGGGGCGCTGCCTGCACGAGGTGCCCTCCCGCCCCAAGGTCCTCAGGCAGCTTCGCCCTCCTCAGGAATGTGGGAGGGGCCGCTGCCTCGGGAGCAGCAGGAGGGCGACGTGAGGCGCCCTCCCACTCGTGTCCAGCAGGGGGCAGCGCGGGCCCGTCCGGGCGCCCCAGCATCTGGGAAGGAAGCCCTGCAGCCCCGCTGGTTCCCTGTGCCCCGCCCAGAGGACTCAGAGACCCAGCCCCTCTGGCTGGGAGCAGCCGCCGCCTCAGTTTACAGGCCTGTAGCCTGTGTGTCCCTCCCTGCCCTGCCAGGGACCCCAGCAGCCACATGTGCCAGGAGGGGCACAAGGGGCTCCCCCAGGTCGGGATGGGGGGGCTGGAGGCCCCACGCACAGACCCCTCCCTCCAGGGCTCTTCCTCGGGGTCAGTCTCCTGTTCCAGCAACGCGGGCACCCACGGGGGAGCGGGGCGCGCTGAGGCGAAACTGGAGGGACTCAGTCTCCACCAACCTCCCCCGGGCCCAGCACGTCCTGAACGGCCTGCTCCGGGCCCTCAGCTTGGCGGGAACCTCAGCCCCAAGGAAGGGGCCTTTCGCGGGAAGCGGGGACCGTACCGCAGCACCGAGTCCCCACACCTCCCCGCCCCTGGGTCACACCACACGGCCCGAGCCGAGCGGCAGGACGCGGGCCCCCGTGCCCACCCAGGAAACAGGACGGGCCGCCGGAGCGCGGCCACTGCGACGCAGGCATCCGTGAGCCTCGGGCAGACGCGCCCACGGCCGGCGCCTGCACTGCACGGGGTCAGGGCCCCACGCAGGCGTCTGTCTGGGGGGTGAAGGGCAGGCAGGGATGAAGGCAGTGCCCCTGAAGGTGCCAGGGATGTGGCTGCTTGTAACTCGGGAACTGTGGACGTCAACACACCGTCGCCCCTGGCACACCCGGGGGAGGTGCCCCTGCGCAGCTGAGAATCTAACTACCGTCCACCGCCCGCCCCCCGGAGGTTCCCAAACCCCCGGTGACGCTTGAACAATGTGGGTTCCCAACTGCACGGAGCGACCATTGAAAAACACCTGTGCCTGCGTGGGCCGCACGGCTCAAGCACGTGCGCTCAGCCGCGCCCTGGCTCCCACAGAGCGTTCGGGGTCGCGGCGGGGTCTCGACAGCGACTTTATTTGCAGCCGGGGGACACTCCCCGCGGAGACGCGGGACCTCAGGCCTTCGTGAGCCGCTGCTTGATGAAGTGGCTGACCAGCCTCTGCGGCCGCTGCTGGTACGCGACCAGCACCTCGTGGGGGCTGCAGATCTGGTCCCCTTGCAGGCGGTCAAGTAAGGTGACACACACCACGGCCGCTGCAAAGAGCAAAAGTCACGTCAACACAGCGCGGGGCTCCTCGCTGCGTTCGCTGAGAGGGGACGAGCCGCCACGGTGACCGCAGACGTCTGGGCGGGTGGGGGTCCCGAAGAGGCCCGGGCTGCTGCTCCAGCCACCCTGGCCCGCCCGCTCCTTATTCTCTGCCCATTTGCTCTCGAGAGTCCCAGGCACATCCCAGGACCAGCCGGGGGCCTGCACCGCCTTGACGGTGACCGGGAGACAGGAACCCTAGGCGGCAGAGCTGGCCCTTCCTTGCAGGGCAGCTGGGAACGTAGGATGGACAAGCCCCAACTCCAGTCCAGACTGGAGAGCCAGGCCCACCTCCGGGCCACTGGCAGCCTTATTGCCGCAGGCCTGAGGGGAGCCGGGGTCATCCTGGTCACATTCCTCGGCCCACCTGGCGAGGAAAGGGCACGCGAGTCCTTGCAGACACCGAGAATCGGCGTCTGGCCACGTGACAATCAAAGGCAACCTGAGGACAATGGTGCGCAATGCCACCCCGTCCCAAGCCGGCCTTGGGGACAGGGTGGGCGGAAGGCAGGCGCTGGGGGTGGGGGCCCGGGAAGACCGGGAGAGGGCACTGAGTTCGGCCAGTGGGACGGGAGCAGGGAGCAGGGCGGCGGCCCGGTGCCTGCCTACCTGGCAGGCCGCATGCGCTGCACATGGCGGCAAAGACGGACGACTCCATCTCGATGTTGCAGACGCCGGCAGCATGGGCCGCCCGCAGGTACTCCTGCTTGTCCTGCTCAGTGTAGCAGCACAGGGCACCATCTAGACGGCCTTGTCCTGGGGACATGAGGAGAGGGGCCCATGCGGATGCAGATGTGGATGAGGATGAGGATGTGGCTGTGCCGCCCACCGGGACACAGGATGTTTTCGGTCCCTCCGGCCCCCTGCCTGGAGCCCGGGCCGCCCCCTCATCAGGAGGTGCCGCAATCGATGTGGAAACGCCAGTGGGACAGGAGGCAGGGAACCCCAGCCCGAAGGGGACCAGCCGCCCCGTCACCTTCGTAGAAGTCCAGGGTGCACATGGTGTTGCCCACGACCGTGGGGAATTCGTCCAGGTCGGCGGAGCACCGCACGAGCTCCTGCACCAGCTGCGCGTCCAGGTCTGTGGTGCGCACAACCTGCTTCCCCAGGACCATCTGCTCGAACTCCGGCTTGAAGCGGGCGTCCACCGCCTGCTGGGTGATGACCACGGAGCCGGGCTCCAGCCCTGAGGGAGGACGCAGCGTCACCGCCGCGCAGGGCGGGCGGAGGTGCGGCCAGCACAGGCCGGAGCACGACCCGCCCGCGCACCGGAACGCCGGTGCACCTACACCGAGCCGAAAGGCGGCGTGGGGCTCCATCCCCTCCCCCAGGTGCTTCCCCCACCCCCCTGACAGTAACAGTAATGAAGGCACACGCATTACAGAAAACACAGAGGGGAAAGGTGAGAAGCAGAAACGGCCAGGACCCTCCCCTCCCGAGCTACGAGTCTTCTGGTCCGTTCCCTGTTCTGCTGTCGGGCTCGCCAGCACCACAGTGCGTCTCGTGCGCCCCGTCTTGTACCTTCCCACCGTGGAAGATCCAAGCAAATACAAAAGCAGACAAGAGCCGGAGAGGAGCCCGGAGCACTCAGGCTCAGCTCCCGCCGCTGCGCCCTCCTCCAGGACTCCCTCTCCTCCTCCCAACCTGCCTTCTCTCCCCCTCTTCCCCTGGGACTTTCCTGCAGGTTTTCCCAGAAGGTGCTTCAGGTCCTTGCGGGGGGGGGGGGGGGCAGGGGGGAGCGGGGAAAGGCCAGAGAGGAGCCCAGTGCACAAGGGCGCAGCGCATTCCGCCCAGCGCTGTTCTGGGGCGCAGGCGGGAGACGCCTCCTTTCCACGCCTCCTGCTGCGTGCTCTGCTCCGAGGCAGAGGCTCCGAGGCAGAGGCTCCGGGGCCCCGGGCCCGCGCTCGCCTGCCCGCCCCGCGCCCCCAGCTGAGTCCCTCCGCCCTCACCTATGCCGCCAGAGGTGCCGATGCGGATGACGGTGACGCCGGAGCAGCGCGCGTGGTACAGGAGCTTGAGGAGCTCGTGCAGCATGATGGCGATGGAGGGGATGCCTATGCCGTGCTGCGGGGAGGCGGCGTTAGGCCCCGCCCCGCCTCCTCAGGGGGGCGGGGCGGGGCGGGGCAGGGGCGGGGCAGGGGCGGGGCCTCAGCAGGTGAGTTTGGAAATTGGGATGCAGAGCCGCGCCTGATGGGGCTCAGAGGACTGAGCTCCAGCCAACGGACCAAACCGCTGCCGGTCGGGCTCCCAGTCAGGGCACGTGCCTGGGCTGCGGGCCGGGTGCCCAGGTGAGGCACGTGCCAGGCAACTGACAGACGTGCCTCTTGCACATGGTGTTTCTCTCCCTTTCTCCCTCCTTTCCCCTCTCTCCACAAGTAAATACAAATAAAATCTTTTTTAAAAAAAAGTAAAAAATGAAAACTAGGACACTTCCAGACGCATGAAAGCTCGCAGGAAGCTGTCCCCACGGGATCCGCACGAGCTGCGCTCAGCAGCGGGGCGACAGCCAGCCCCCGGGCCCCCCATTCCACCAGCTGGGCTTTGGCAGCCACACCAAGAGCTCGTCGCTAAGCGATGGGCCCTGAGCTCGGTTCCGTGTCCGCGCCGCCCGCCCTCCCAGGGACACCCCGCGGCCCCCAAGCCCCGTGCCTGGGAACCGCCCCCATGAGTCCCGCGGAACTGAGCGCGGCTGGGCTCAGGCAGCAGCGCTCCCGGGGGCGGGGCGCAGCCAGACCCTTGCTGGGGGGGGGGGGGGCGGGGCGCGCAGTGTGACCCCGGGGGCAGCAGGCCCTCCACCGCGGCCACCCAAGGACCCGGAAGCTGGAGAGCGGGAAGGCCCCCCCGCGCCCTCCCTGCGGCCGCGGTCTCCCCGGGGGTCTCCAGCCTGAGGCCTGGGCCAGTGCACACGGCAGGGCGAGCCCGCGGGCGTCCCCGCCTGTGCGGTGGCATCTACTGGAGCGGCCCGACCCCGGCAGCCCAGGTGCGCGCGGGCTCGCCCAGCTCCCGCCAGAGAGGGTGTCCAGGTGTCGAGGGGCCGGGAAGGTGCGTGCGGGACAGGGGCCTGCGGAGCCCGGACAGCCGCCCGCGGGGCAGGTACTCACACTGACAGACAGCACCGGCCCCACTTTGAACATGACGTAGCGGTCCGTCCCCGAGCAGATGTTGGGGTAGTCCTCGCCCGGGCGGCCCAGGCCCAGCTCCGAGGCCACGTATGTGATGAAGGCTTTCATGCGGGAGGGGCTGCCCCCCACGCACACGAACTGCGGACAGACAGCGGGGCCCGTCAGCGTGGGGCTGCCCACGGCCCGGCCAGCCGCACATGCACCGCTAGAAACGCCGGTTCCCCGGCCCCGGCCAGACGGACCATGTCTGGGGAGGCGGCCTGGTGATGTGCCGCCCCCGGGGTTTGGGAGTCCTGGCTCCTGAAATGACCCGCAGGGCGGGAGACCCTGGCACTGCAGGGCCCAGCCCCGGGCTCCTGGGAAGCCAGTCCGGGCTCCACATCCACCAGCCCCTGTCCAGCTCGTGGCCAGCAGCTCACCGTCCAGGAGGAGCTGGGTGTGGAATAAAGGGGCGCAGGCTCCCCATGCTGCGACCGGGGCCCCACAGGCCACCTGCAAAACAGGCTTCGGCCCCGCCTCTCACGGGGCCGCCCAAGCACCAACTGGCCAACCTGTGGAAGGCGCCGGGGGCCTGTGGGGGCTGGAAGGGGTAGCGGTGGGGGTGGGGGTGGGGCCTGAGAAATAAAATCTCCCATCTGCAAAGCAGTGTCTACAAAAACTCACTTTTCATTTTGTTTTACACCAAAAAAGCAAGTAAAGAGGCCACGTCGAGGGAGTGGGCTGATCAAAGACTTATTAGTCTCTAAAGATGAAAAAGAAAATTAAACTCCATGGAAGGACACAAACGGACTAAATGGAGAATACATGGAAAGCGTCGAAAGCCAAACCACAGAAGACGAGGCCGCTGCCCGGGCGGAACCCCACGTCTCTCGGCGGAGCAGCAGCGCCGTCCCGCCGCCGCCGCCGCGTTTCTGTTTTGAATTCTAAGCACGGGCTCACTTTCACCCACGGGAAGTGGATGTTTTAAAAGGCCTGTGTTCAGATCGATCAGAACTGAGACCTTGAGACTTCGCAGGGACAACGGGCTGGCGGCCGCGCTCGACTCGGTGTGAACATCCCCCTCCCTCGCACACGTGAGCGGTGATCCCTCTCTCTGCACGGCTGCTCCCCGCTCCCCGCTCTCGCAACAGACACTGGGAAACACTCCTATTGGTTCCGTTAGACGCTAAGTGAGTAAGAAGTTAGAGAGGGACCCATATGGCCGCACTCGTGACAGTTTCCTTTCACTCACTAGTTCCTACCCCTGGGAAGTAACAACTGGCAAAACTCCGACACACCTATCCCTTCGTGGCCCTGTCCTCTGCCCCCTCGGCCCTCCCTGAGGGAGGGGGTGGACTCGGGCCACGGAGGCAGCGGCGATTTGGAGACAAGTCCCCAGAACCAAAGCCCCGCTCACTCCGTACCTTCACGTCCCCAAACATGGCCGGGAGGTCGTGCGTGCTGGTGCTGAGGCTGAAATGGTAGAGGATGTCTTCCTTCATCCTGGAGAGGTTCGGATTGCAAAGCTTGATGAAGTCGTCACTGTCCCAAACCAGGAAGATAGGAGGTGAGCAGAGGACCCAACGTCCAGTGGCCAACGCGGCGACTAGGGGCCCTGTGCCAGCCAGATGCCTGCAGCGCCGAGGGAAGGGCAGGACCCCTCCGCGCTGCCGCTGCGAGGCCCCTCCCTGTCTGCGTCCTCCCCCGCCCCCGCCCCCCCACGCCCAGGGGCCCGTCTGGGGGGCAGGTTGGAAACAACTCAAGGAGCCCGAACAGGACAAGAGCAAGAGGTACAGTCACGTGTCAAGAGCACAGCCCGTTGCTGCCCAACTCAGCTGCGCCCGGCCCAGGAGCTGGGCTTCATTCGTAAAATAACACACGTACCACGGCCAGCCAGACACGGAAGCAGCGGCTGGACATCCAGTATTTCTGGCATTGCAACCATTGCAGCTCTGCCCCTGCCACTCAGCTGTGCCCCCGCCCCGTGAGAGGGACCTCAGACCACACGCACACGAGCTGGTGTCCCAGCACAGCCCGCCCGGCAGAGGAGCACGGCCGGGGAGGAGGGCTCCGCAGCCTGCGGCTCGGAAACCCCATCTCAGGGCTTCCCGGCCAGCGCGCACCCTGGCCCCCGAGAGGCCCAGCCCGCCGTGCGCGCACGGCCCGGAGCGCCACCGTCACGTCTGGGGGACGCTGCACAGCCCCTCAGGCCCCGGGGGCCGTGGCTTCTTCCTGGGATGCGAGTGTTCGGGGGGTGCCTGCTGTTTCAGCACCAGCTGGAAGTGCACGGGCTTCAGCGAAGCAGGCGCCCCGGGCCCCCGCAAGGCCAGCGTTCGCTCCTACTTATTTTTGCTTTGGGTGTAAAAGGGCGCATTCCCCAGGAAACCACATTATCCGTCGACTCTCGGTAACCGAGACACGGGCTATGCCCATGCTGAGCGCGCACCCTGCACGGATCACTTCCTTATTTGTGCGATGAGTGTATTCACTTTAATTATCCGGAGTAACGAGGTCTTGAAGGCCATTACCAGGTCTCATTTGTCTGTGAATCCCTAGTGCCTACGCAGACTCACGAAACCGGCGCAGGTCCCCGCCTGCTCCCCATCTTGTCCTAGTGCCTGTCCCTGTATCAACGTCCCGCTGTCTCTAGCCAGCCTGGGCATCAACAGCACACAACCAGCCTCCCACTCGAATGCCCCTCCCCCTTCCTAGAAGGGCATCCAAATGAACTCACATCGGAACATCTTCAAAGGGTGACTTATTGGGTTGGCCAAAAAGTCCTTTATGGTTTTTTCCGTAAAATAAAAGACACATTTTTCACTCTCACCAATAACTTCATTGACTTGGATATTTTGAGGATGTTGGTCCCTCCCGCTATTGGTTTCTGGTGGGGAGAGGCCGGGGTGCAGCTAAATAAACATCTTCCAGTGCAGGAGGCAGCACCACAGCAAAGGGTTATTTGGCCAAGATGCCAATAGTACCAAGAAACTTTGCAAACCACGTTTGGTACGTCAATCATTCACAGCACCATACACAGCACAAATTTTTTTGCATTTTTTTCCTCTTGAAATAATAAAGCATAATACACAACAAATGTTGCATGTTTTCTTCCATCTTCAGCATTAAAATGACAGCACAAAAATTCACCAGTTTTGATAAGTATTTTCTAAGTGCACGCTGATATGGTTACGTGTCACAATACACTAACAGAATTGTTTCAAATGAAGTTAGAGCCACCTCGGCACTACTAGAGCCACCATCATACAGAAAATAATGTAGCTGACTTTCTGGCCAATCCAATACTAAGCTGAGCACAAAATACTCAAGAGACAGAAAGCTCTCTTTACAAAGGGGGCAGTGGGGGCTGACGTGAACCTCAGACACCTCAGGGTTCACCGCGCCGGAGCCACCAAGCGCCTCCCTCGGGGTGGGCGGGCGGGCGGTCCCTGCCGGTTCCCAGGACGGAGACCTCAGGACGGAGACCTCAGGACGGTGTGCACGCCCCGTCCCAACCAAGGTGCCACCAGCAGCCTGCACACCAACATGGCAGGACGTTACAGCACAACGCGGTCACAGGTTGCGAAATAGAACACCTTCCTTTTCTCTTTGGTTCCCGGAAGAGAAGACAATAGGGCGTAACTGAAGACGAGCAATGGTGTTAAAACATTGGGATGGTCGGCCACAGCGTTTGCCCGGTTTTCTTCCATAGGGTGCGCTCAGCAGCACCTACTTGTCTTTCACTTCATTTCAAACAATTTGGTTCGATTGTTTCAGGAAAGCTGTCCTGTCAGTGTGCACTTTAAAAACATTATCAAAATTGGGGAATTTTTGTATCTTTAATATTAATTATGGAAAATATTAATATTTTGGCATATTATGCTTTGTTATTTCAAGAAAGGTAAAAATGCAACTGAAACACACAGAAAAAGATGCGTGCAGTGTATGCAGAAGGCGCGGGGACTGACCAGACGCGCTGAACGCAGCTGGCGAAGTTTCGTGCCGGAGATTCCCTGCTGGACGAGGGTCCACGGCCGGGCAGACTGACCAGCTGAAGTTGACGGCGATCAAATGGAGACATTAATTGAGGACAATCAAAACAAATATATATTTGTTTTATAGAACAAATCTATAAAGTTATTGGTGAAAAGGAAACAGGTCTTATTTTACAGAAAAAACGTCACAGACTTTTTGGCCAACCCAGGAGGTGGGGACTCGTACCCTGATCCACCAGCACGGGCTCCAGCTTACACTTTAAAAGATTTTCAAATGAAAAGTCAAAGGTAAGTTAGCTGGAACATGGTTCCTTCAGCCCACCCACAAAGACAAGCAATATTATTTGGCTGCTTCGGGCACTTCACTGAGTTACTTTGTAAAAGAAAAGTGAGACACAGAAGGAAAGAACACTGGCCTCTTCCAGCCAATCAGGGAGGGCAACGCACTCCCGCCCCTCCCGCAAACCCCGGAGGGGGATGGGCGCTGCCTTTGGTTGGGTGGAGCCCAGGAGCTTCGGGCGGTCCAAGGCAGAGCAGCCACACAAGGGCGCGAGGCGTGGGCCTGGGGCCCTGCGGCAGTCCTGATGCCGCTGACACCTGGGGCAGAACAAGGCCTGCTATTGACACCCCGCGCGCATCCTAAGTCCTGCAACGCTCAGAAGCTCCGTTCTGCGCGAACCCTTGTTCTAAAGGCTCACAGTCACATATCCAGGAGCAGGCTGTGCACAGAGGTTCTGATGCTGCGCCCACGGGCCTCTGGCAGGTGGACGATGGAACTACTGAGGGAGGGAAATGACCACCACGCAAGGGGAGGGGACTCCAGTGGACACACAGGTGTAGCGCTTGGGCCCACCTGCTCCCCCTCCCAGCCCTCCGGGGTCCTCAACCCCAGGGGGTGGCTCAGAAATCCGGGAGGGGGCACGGACTTGATTGTCAACCACGGGAAGCACCAGGAAGTCGACCGGTTCAATAAAAAGGTCACCCCGAGGGTAGTGTCCCCAAGGCCACCTGCCACGTGAGAGCAGAGCTCAGACCCTATGGGGAGGGCAGGGGAGGACAGGTGAGTGTCCACGCAAGAATCAGGAGGGAAGACAAGAAATACGTGCTTTTCCAGCAAACATTACAGAGAATCATGAAGGAGAATTATGAAAACCTGCAAAGAAATCAGGGAAGCGCTGAAGGTATGGGACCAAGAACGAACAGGGGAGAAGCCGGGATTGAGTTTCGGGAGAGCGCGCGGGTGTCGGAGACCTCACGGGCCGCGGACCCCAGCACCGAGCACCCGTCCCCCGAGACCGCACCTCCGGAGGGCTGAGCCAGGCCAGACCAGACTGGGTCTCCGGCCCAGCGGGGGGCCCACCGGAGCCGGGCAGCCCTCACGAAGGAGAAGCCGCAGCCACCCAGAGCTCCTGCCAAGCCGGAGCCTCACCTGCCGCACTCCCGTCCCTCCGGGCCGGCGCCTGACAGGGCCATCTCTCCCCGGCCGCAGGACCCTGGGGGAAAAAGCACAGCACAGTGTTAACCAGCAAAGTGAGGCACGGGAATGACTTTAAGTCAATGCAAAGCAGCGAGGACAGGGAGCACCAGGGGCCTGGGAGCCGCTGAGAGGGGATGTGAGGAAGCAGAGAGGGCCTCCCAATCAGCTTCGGCTTCTAGCCTCGCTGGTTGCTTGACACTGGTTGTCCTCCCTGCTCTCATTTTGGGACCCTGCCGTCAGCGGGGACATCAGCACCCCATCCGCCCAGCGGCCCCTTGTTGAAGTGACTGAAAGGGAGCGAGCCCTGTAAGGGTCCGAGGCACTCGGACCGGCCGCGAAGCGCGCTAGCCTGTGGAGGACGGCCTAGCCCAACAGACCGCGCCCGGCTGCCCTGCGCTTCCAGAAGGTGAACAGTCCTCCATCAGACCTCAAGGACAACTTGGGGTCCTGCCACGAAAGGACAAGAAGGACCTGCGGCTGCGGTGACTCGGTCCTCTGCTCCGCCTTCACCCCAAAGCCAAAGGAAGGAACAGACCTAAGCACAGCGGCCTTACGGGGCCCGGCCACCAAACACCGACCTCAGGCCAGGTCTCCGTGTGGAAGACAGAGCGCCGAGCTCATGCAGGGAACTCAGGTGACAAAGCCCAGTCCCTGAGCACCTCCCTTGGCCCCCTGCGGCTCCCAGCTCCCCCTCCTGACAGGAAGGGGCTCAGAGGTGGGGGAGAAGCCGGGGCTGCCCGGTGCCCAGGCCGTAAATGCAGCGAGCGGAGTCCCGGGAGCAGCAGGCCCATCGCGCGGGGCCGGTTCCAGACCGGCCACCTCCCCAGCCGCTGGCCAGAAACCAGGGCCCCCAAGCCAACTCCCAAGGGCCCTGTTGTGGGGACAGGCCTCTGAGTGTGGAAGGCCACCACGCGGGCCTCCCCTGAGCTTGTTGGGCTTCACGTGTGACCTCTTTTCATCCATAGTATGTAGATGTTTATAGTATTTTGAATGAACCAATTTCAAAAGTGAGAAGAGAGAGAGAGAGAGAGTGTGTGAGAGTGTGTGTGAGTGTGTGTGTGTGTGTAAGAGGAAGAGTGATGATGAGTGTTTACTGTTAGGGAGCAGAAGCTGCATGTTTCACGCTGGTACATATTTGATTGTAAAATTAATACTCCTTGGTTGTTTTGGGGTTTTTTTTACAATCAATAAAGACAAAAAACGTCCACTTGGACAAAGGACAATGTAAAGAAAGTTCATTTATCCTTTTAAACTGAAATGTGCTAAAAATGTGCAGGAGCTCAGAATGTAATTGAGAGGGGATTCGAGAGTTGGAAGCTGTTCGGTTAGGTAATAGCTAAAAAGCTTAGCAATCGATGCAGGTAAAAACTATTGTTCCGGGAACTGAAGGTCCCCCGGCCCCACCCCACCCCGGCCCCACCCGAGGAGACCACACACAGCCCCACCTCTGTGCCCTCAAGGACTGCACTCGCGGAGATGGCATGCGAACCCCTGGGCTCCAGCCCTGCCGCCCCGGCCCGGGACCCCAGTGAGGGAACGCCGCAGCTTTTACCCGATCAACTTTCCCCTGAATGCCAAAGCCCTCACCTGCAACTTTCTTCTCCTTACAAAAAGCGTCCATTTAAAACGGAATGTAAGACGGTCAGTTAGGGTACAAACCAGCCGGCTTCTCGAATGGCCCACCATCTGAACAAGGCGCCTGTAAGAGTCCAGTCCTGTCCCTGCTTATGCGGCCCGGTAGGTGACAGGCAGCACGAACACCAGCTTTTCTGGTTTCATAATTGGCACCGGATAAACCTGTGCTCAGTTAGATGCCGGCGAGCCAGAGGCTTGTGCACAGGGACCTACAGGTCCCCTCGGCCTCAGAAGAGGGGAAAGTCGCGGGAGCCTGGCTGAGGCCCAGAGCCGTGACCAGAGCAGGGAGAGGCAGGGACACGGAGGGATGAGCAGGGCGTGGCAGCCTGATTAAGTTGTTGTTTCAATTCCGGGAAATCACAAATCTTTTTAAAGCCAAGCTCAGCAGCCACAGAATGGAACCAAAGGTCTCCTCAACCCAGAAGATAGCAGGAAGGGGCTGATGAGCCAAAGAGCACAGGGCCGGGGCGGGGGTGGGGGGGTGAGGGGGGGACAGCGCTGGGGGTGGGGGGCGGGCGGGGGGGCGGGGTCAGTGTTGGAGGGCAGTAGGAAAGGTTCTGGTGGCCTTGGCAGCCTTCCAGAGTCTTGGCCTGGCCGGGGCCTGGGCCAGCCGCCCCCCTCGCACCCGGAGAGATCTGGGGACAGCCAGTCAGGCTGTGGCCCGCCTGCCACATCCAGCAATTGTAAAAGGACGCACCCCTGTGTACAGTCTAATCTGTGTCATATAATTTATGACAGTCAAGTTCCTCTGTTAAGCTGCCAGTATTCCCTGCCGCTGATACTGCCAAACACGGGAACTCCACAGGTGTGCCCAACCACCCCCCCTCCAAAGTGTGACTTGGCTTCCCGCACAAAGAGGGGGCTTCCTGTTCCCGCGCCCCTGCCCGAGCACTGGCTTTGGAGAACGCGGCGTGGGGGGCCGCTCTGCAGAAGCCCAGCCAGCAGGCTCTGCGTCCTCCACATGGGACCAGCCAGGGACCCGCACTTCCCTGCGGCAGGGTGGCCCTGAGGTGGAGAGACCGCCTAGGGGGACGCTGAGAAGCCCGCCCCGCCCTCCCTTGCCACGGCCCTCTCCCTTCTCCAGCAGCCCGTCCCCACCCCCACCTGCCCCAGTTTGTCCTTCCAGCAAAGGGCCCGGGTCTGCGCAAGCCTGACCTCCTCACCTGCACGTCACCGCTCCCGAAAGCAGGACCCCCCGCGAGGTCTGTCACTGAGCAGCAGCTGCACCTGCCTGGCCAGGCGTGCTGCCGGCTACAAACACCAGGAGGAACTGGCCGGTCCGGGGTGGGGCGGGGGGCGCGCTGGACCAGGGGCTACGTGCAAGACGGGTCCGGGAAGTCTCTGCGAGCTAAGGGAATTAAGTCAGAGCCCAAGTTGGAGGCTGGCCAGCCCGCCCCGCCCCGGGCCGCGCCCCCGCCCCCGCCCCCGCCCCAGCCCCCGCCCCCCCCGCTGTTTCCTTCCCAAGTGATGAGAACAGCCGGCCCAGCCCAGTTACTCACTGAGCCATCGGGGAAACCTGCCACCCACTGCTTTCCTCCTCCTCTGGGGGCAGGGACACTGGGGGAGACTGCCCACCCGCAGCCACCTCCGGGGCGGAGCCCTGGTCTGCTGGGAGGCGCCCCGCCCCCAGTGCCAAAGGGTCCCCGGAGCCTTTTAAAATGCTGAGGCCACCGGCCCCAGGCGGGTCAGGCGCCGGGGTCCCCTGCTGGCTCCGACCTTGGTGTCGAGTTTCCGGGACCTACCAGTCCCCCAGGCCCTGGAGCCAGGAAAGCCAGAGCGGCCGGCAGGCGGGCACACGGGTGCAGGGAGAGGAAGTGACTCACCCACTCAGTCACCGGCTGAGACGCAGAGCTGCCAGCGACTCGCTGCCTGGCACGTCCCTCGCAGGGGTCCTGAAGGGCCAGGAGGGTGCCCTGGCGCAGGCTCTGCAGACGGGGACGGCAGCAGCCCAGGGCCCAGGGGACACTAAGGACTCCTTGATTTCCAAGAGGCTGCCCAGGAACCAGAAAGTCAAACACTGAAGGCTTATTTGTCAAGTTAAGAATTTTTTAAATGTGACAGATAGGAAACAAGATTGCGTCCAGGCCGTTGTTAAATCACACCTGGAAATCCAAGTCCCCAACAGGTGCCCTCAGGCAGCAGCTGCTGTGCCCTCCGAAGCCAAGGACGCAGAGCCCCGCCCCTGCACCGGCCAGGCCTGCAAGAGGGGGCGGCAGAGGGGACCCCCTGAGGGCCTCTCACAGCCTTAGTCACTTGGCCAAGGCCTGCCACACCCAAGAGTGACACCCGCTCCTGTCCCGTAGCCAGAACCCACAGGCGCTATTCCAGCCGTCCCAAAGCTGAGACAAAACACGCTCGCTGGGGTTTCTCCGCTTTTTTTTTAATTTTTATTTTTTTGAGAGACAGAGAGAGATGTATTTTTTAATTAAATTTATTGGGTGAGCCCGGGCTGGTGTGGCTCAGAGGACTGAGCACAGGCCTGCAAACCAAAGGGTGGCCGGTTCGATTCCCAGTCAGGGCCCAGGCCCAGGCTGCGGGCAGGTCCCCAGCTGGGGGCACCCGAGAGGCGACCGAGCAATGTAGCTCTCCTCTTTCTGCCTCCGTTCCTCTCTCTGAAAATCTTTTAAAAAATTTATTGGGGTGACAGTGGCTAATAGAATCATATAGTTTTCAAGTGTGCATTTCTACCATGCGTGATCTACGCCGTTGTGTGCCCGTCCCCCAAAGCCAAGTCCTCTTCTGCAGCCCTGTCTGTGGCCCCTTTACCCTCGGCCGCCCCCGCCGCCTGCTGGGCCTGCCTTTCAGTTTTACTTCCGACCCATGAGTGAGGTCCCACGGCTCTTAGCCTTTCCTGACCGACTTTGTTCAGCCTGATAAATGGCAGCGTCTCAGCTGAGCAGCATTTTAGAATAAAATTTTTAAAAGACACAAGTATCTCAGGCATCAGCTGAGGCTTCCCCTCCGCTCTGGCCCCTCCCCAGTACCTCCCGCTGCTGGGGGCCCCCTCTGTCCCTGCGGCTGTCCAGCTTTCCCAACGCCGCTGCGGGGGAGGGACACTTCCACAGTGTTTTTAAAACAGCCCACAGGTCCTGCCAGGAGGTCATGCATGAGCCCGCGTGGTGGCCCCATCCAGCGTTCTGTTAATGACACGAAAGGGGGAGGAAAGCATCCAGCGTCCCCGGTGGGAGGACAGGTACCTTGGTGTTACACAGTGTGACTTCACTCGGACTTCACCCACCAGGACCAGACCGGTGGCTCTAGGCGCCTGATGTGGCCGGTGCGAGCCCGCCCTCCTCATCTTCCCTGCAGAGCTGCCGCTGGCCGGAGTTGCAGGCCTCCGGGACGTTCCCTCTGGACACCAGAAGCGGAGGACGCGGAGCCAACAGTGTCATCCGCCCCTGCTGCCCCCGGCTCCGTCCGAACTCGGTTTCCACACCCCCTCTGCCGGCACTCTCCCGGGAGACTCTTCGCCGCTCCGCCCGGAGTGTTGGGAGCTGACTTCCCAACAGGTGCTCAGCCCACAACGGCTGCTGGCTCTCCGCGGGTTACCAGAGCCCACCTGCGCGCCTCGCCGCCCAGGTGCTTATCAGCTGGGAGGGATGCGGGTCCTGCTGGAGGTTGGAGGCTGGGGGCCGGGGGCCGGGGGCCGGCGGGGTACAAAAAGGCGTGACGGTTGGTAGTTCCCCTCGAATGAGTGTGCGCCTGCTCTCAGAGACCGTGGTGAAATGGCCGGCGCCCCAGGCCCCGCTGTGATTACTGCTTTTGAACGTTCAAGTTCCACGGCCAGCGATCACCCACCCTCTCAGGTGTGAGGGAGTGAACCAAGATTGCTGATCGCCGTCGGGAAGAGCAACAGAAACCCGCTGAGGAAACAGAGCAGCACCTGGGGAACCGTGTGGGCTAAGTGCGCAGAGCACCGGGGCTGTGCGCCCCTCCCGAGCGCCTGCACCCTGCACCTGCCCCTTGCCCCTCGCGTGCCGGTGCGCCCGGCCCATCCCCGTGCACATCTTAGGCCCCGTGCGCCCCGCCCATGCCCGTGCGCCCCGCCCATCCCCGTGCGCCCCGCCCATGCCCGTGCGCCCCGCCCATGCCCGTGCGCCGCTCCGGGGTCCATCCCTGTGGGTCTCTGAACACGCCCAGCTCCCGCTTAGGCCGCTGCGCCGGGTGTTCGCTCGCTCGGCCAGAGCGCCCCCTTCCTGCCGCCCTGAGTCCCGGCTGGAAGGTAGTCTCCCTGAGAGCCCGCCCTGACCTTCGGGCTCCTCCCAGTGCCCGCCCCCGAAATTCCAGCCGGCTGCCCCGCTGCAGTTTGTGACTGGAATTTTGTTAAGAAGACGGTGACTTTTCACGGAAATGTTGTGTATTATGATGTTTGATATGGTCCCCCGCAATTCATGTGTTCTAACCCTAATCCCCGAGGTGACGGTGTTAGGAGGCGGGGCTCTGGGGGGTAACCGGGTCAGAAGACTGGAGCCCGCATGATGGAACCGGTGTCCTTGTAAAGGGACCCCTGAGAGCCCCTCGCCCTTCCCCCACGTGAGGACAGGAATCTGCGCGTGTCCCGCTCTCAGACGCCAGAGCAGCAGGCCCGAAGGCGGGGTGCAGGGGGCTCTTCGGCCCCGCCCCGGTCCCCCCGCGGGCACGGTCTGCAGAGCGACCTGGGCGCCCCGCCCTGGGCAGGGGGACACGCACACGGCCCGCCCGTGTTTTCCAGGTTTCCTCAGAGTTTTTTTGGGGGGGAGGGGTACTCACTTGTGTATTGTCACCTGTGAAGCCACCGAGGTCAAGATCCTGAGCTGTCACCCAGAGGACCCCCAAGTCCCCCTCTGAAAGCGACCCCTCTTCCTCCCAACACCCCCATATCCACCCCCACCCCTAAGCCTGGCATCCACCAAGCTGCCTGTCGTTTTTAACATTTGTCATCTTGAAAATGTTGTGCCCATGGAAACGGCGTCCCACCTCTCAGAACGGGCTCCTCCCGCAGCAGAGTTCCCGGGAGCCGGGGCGCATGCGAACCGTGGGCTCCCTGCAGCCCAGCCGCCTTCGCGGCCGATCATCTGCTGAGACACAACGAGGCCGCGGAGAATGAAGCTGCCGAGACGCCCGGTGCGCAGGTCTCGGTGTGGACATAAGTTTTCACTTATCTGGGATGCCCGCCGAGCGCCCAGCTGCTGGGTTGCATGGCAACTGCGCGCGTAATCCCAGGAGAACCCGCCACACTAAATCCCAGAGCGGGTGCCAGGTTGACCGGCGCGCCCTCCCCGACCCTCGCCAGCGGGGACACTGCCGCTCGTGCCCATGTGGCCCTCTCGTCGCCCTGCACAGACCTCTCGCTGTGGCTTCCACCGGCGCTTACCGATGACAGGTGATGCCGAGCATCTGTCTGAGGTGCTTCTGGACCCCTGGATGTCTTCTTTAGTGGAGTATTTGTTCATTTCTTTTCCCCGTTTTCCAATTCCATTGGGTGTTTTTTTTTTGCCACTCTTGTTGAGATTTAATACTTTACATGTTCTAGAGGCAAGTTCTTTGCGGGCGATATCATTTGCCGATATTTTTCTTCCTCCTATGAGCTTTCAGGAGGAATGTACTTTTATTTTGATGAAATCAGTGTAAATATCGACTTCCCCTGGTTGTCAAGTTGGAAAATTCTCTGCCTCGCCCCAGGTCCTGAGGATTTTCTCCTGTGTTTTTCCTAAAAGTTTGATAGCTCCATGTTTTACATCTAAGTCCATGATTCATCTTGGGGTGAGATGGTTGGGTGAAGCGGTGGGGTGTTTCCTTTTGTTCTGTTTTGCCCATGGATGTCCAATGGCTCCAGCTGCATTTGTTCAGAAGGCGATTCCTCTGTCGATGAAGCTTTTGTACTTTCATGTTTTGAAAATTTTCAAAAAGTTGTAAAGATATATCAAAAGCTCTGTGCACTACAGCATAAGCTGACACCAGTAGAAGGAATAAGGACTCGTGCGAGAGTCTGTAACGTGATCGTGTACAGGACGAGTGTAACAGAAAAGAAGCAACCGATCGCCGTACACAAGGCGGGTGAAAGAAAACAGCGCCATGCAATCCCATTTATCTAAAGTGAAAAGGAACAAAACTAAAAAGCACATTGTCTAGGATTTATCATAAGCAGGCTTGCTGTTTAAAAAATAAAAACAAACAAAAAACGCTGGAGGGGAATTTCAGAAAGTCCACAGGGAGACTACCCAGGATAGGGGTGCGTCGGGGCGGTGCTGTTTGGTTCCTGGGCACTGTTTGGAATGACAAGATGGTTTGCTTTGCAGCTTAGTCCGCTCTGCAGAACCAGGCTCCATTCTTTCGGTGCAACTTTGTAGCTCTGAAAAGCGAAGAACGGAAAACAAAAGCAGTCTTGGTGGGGCTGCTGTGCGTGCTGGTCCGTTTGCGTGAGGGCCTGGCCCGATCGACTGCTCCGTCCCGCTGCTCCATCCAGCAGGACCCAGGTGTTTCCCTGGAGGCGTCTGGAGACCTGATTAAGGTCTATAACCAGTAGCCCTTAGTAAAGGAGGCTGTCGTCAATGATCTCGACGATCACAGGTCTTCAGAGCGGAGCTGAGGCTTCCTGCGGAAGGAAGCCCTGGGCCCGGAGCGCGGCCCGCGCCTCTACCCCTATCCTGCCCCGCACGGCTCAGGCGTGCGCGCCGGCCCCTGGCCACGCAAACAAGTTCCTGTTTGGTGTTTGTTTTTGTGTTTGTTCCTTAACAGTACAAGATTACATATATAAGATATGAGAGAGATAGAGAGAGAGAACATCTTTAGTTTAAATAGCATCTGTCACAGCCTTAGAAAAATGAAATATCTGCACGTTGTGCCCTGACCCACATGGAAATAGCTTAGCTATGCCTTAAATAAAGCAAAAATGAACGGCTCAAAGAAAATGCCCAGAGGACTGAAAAAAAAAAGAAACTGACACGTTAAAAAGCTATTAATCACTATTTCCTCATCTTACTCTTCCCACACCAATTAAAATAACTCGAGCGCAGTTTGAAGGGCTCTGGGTCATTCTGACATCTGCTCCGATGTAAACTCAGGACAGATTCTGACCGGTTTCATCTAGTTTTCTGGTCCACAATGAATTAAATCTTTACAACGGTTTGTGGGAACATTGATGTATCATTGCACCCGTGTTCGCACGTTCTTGTATCCTGACATCCATGGGAATTCCCTGCTCTCCTCTCTCCCACCCGCGCACACGGCCTGAGACGGTTCCGGAGCCACGAGGAGATGCCTCCCGCTGCAGGCCCCACCCAGAGGAGCCGAGGTGAGGCTGCAGCGCCCGGGTGGGGCCCGGCGGGGCCGGGGGTGAGGCGCCTCTTCCTTTCTGCGGGGGGCAGCCTCCCCCTGTGTCCTGGGCGCAGAGACAGAGCCCGCGCTCTGGGCGCTCTTCTGAGGCCACTCATCCCGGGGGGTGGGGGGCGGCGCCCCCTGATGACCTCCTCGGACCCTAATTGCCTCACAAAGGCCACGGCTCCTGACCCCACCAGGTGGGGACTGGGGTTTCCACATGGGAGTTTCGGTGGGGGGCGCACCCACTCCGCAGTGGCAGAGGGGACGAAATGAGGTAGAAAAAGCTGGAACCGATGTGATTCCAGGCCCTGTGGGTGGGCCCGGCGATCAACACGCAAAGCCTGGTTTTTACACGCAGGCGCGCGGGTCTGCCCGCCGTCCACAGCCACGCAGGCCCCGGCACCTCCTGCGCACTGTGCGTGACCAAGCCTCGTGGACATGTATTTTCTTCTGCTTGCGTCTCCTCCATCCCGCGGCATCTGTGCCCCCCGCCCACCCGCCGACAGCGGGCTGTCCAGCGGGACCGCCTCGGCATCCGCGGCCTCCGGTCACTCTCTCCGGGAGGCCCCGGCCTGGCTGGCAAGCCCCGAGGCCACCCTCCGCGTGGGCGCTCCAGGGCCTTCGGTCCACCCACGGCGCGCGGACCCTGCAAGCAGCACAGGCCAGTTCTCCCGCGAGGGACCCCACGGGTGGCGCCCAGGGCCCGCGCATCGTGGAGCCGACAGGTGCGTTCCCAGTCGGGAGCGCAGGGGAGGCAAGAACAGGGCCAGCCCCACAGGCGCCTCCTGCCCTGGGGGCCTGGTGAGGAGTTGAAGGGGCGCCGGCCGGCCGGGGCGCCACATTTTTCTCGGGTGGGGACCTTGGAGAGTGAGACCGGAGGAGCAGAGCAAGGGAGGGGAGGGGCAGGGAGGACGGAGGGAAGAATAAACGTCTGCGCCAGCCTGTGCCCTTTTTATTGGGTCTGCGCCGCCTTCCGCACCTTTCCGCAGGCGCCCGCCCGCGGCAACCTCAGGTCGATCGGACAGCACAGACACGGGAGCTCACTTAGCATCTCATTTAAAACCCGTTTAAAACTCCTGAACTTCAGGCGAGCGAGCGTGTGAGTGACTCTGGAAAAGGAGCTGAAACATCCGTGCCCTTGTTTGGCTTCCCAGCAACCTTCCCTCAGAAAATGGTTATTTTACTAATGAGTTAAATGTACAAAAGAGAAAACTACATCTTAATGCTGATGGCCTACGGACAGTAACAAAATGTATAAAACAAGAGAATTTAGTCTGGTTACAGAATTAAATATTAAAATTAAAATATTTTTACTTTAAATGAAATAAAAATATAATACATTTCTAATATGCATTTCAGTTTATAATAAATTAGCAAAAATTTAAAATTAGCAAATGCTCCAATGGTTTTATACTAAATGTTTAAAACTTCAAGACCTAATCTTTTTTCTTAATATAAACTAGATAACAATATTCTGGAATTGATATTTTTATTTTAACAGAAAAATTATTTCTGCGAGACTACAGGACCAAATCGTGGAGCAGGCTGTGAGTTTGTTCTAGGTAAAATCTAGAGGACAGATCTCAGTAACAACGTCACCACCTGAGGTGCGGGTGCAGGAGGTGACGTCAGCAGGTGACGGGGTGGAGGTGGATGCCAAGGCACTGAGACGTCCCAGGGCAGCGTCCCAAAGGCCACCTACTTCGCATCCCAGGGAAGTGCAGGAAGCAAAGCCCAAGCCACATACCATCTACGCAACAGGGACATCAAACCTGCTCTAAGACAAAGTATTTCCTAAGAACCTACATTCACGAGATGTAACTGGAGCCTTGTGAACACAGCTGCGCCGCGGCCAGGCCGCAGCGGCCGACGGAGCCGGACCCCGCGCCGCGGCTACTTGAGCTCCGCCGGCGTCGACGTGGACGACGGAGGGGCTGCTGCACCTGCAAAGCACAGCAAAGGCGTGAGCTGACAGGGACGAGACACGCAAAGGCGACACTTTTCAGACGTTAAGAACTTTAGTCATCAATTTTAAATACAGGAAAACCCACGTTTCTGGATGTGGGGGCGCTGCCGCCCGAGGGTGGAGCCGGGCAGGGAGGGGCAGCAGAGCTCAGGCACCCAACTTCGCAGGACAAAGTCCGAAGAGGCAGGGCCCGCCCCGCCTGCCCCTCCCGCCCCTCCCGCCCAGGCCCAGAGGCGAGGCCTCGCGAGCACACCTGACTTGCTTCTGGGCAAACGGTCAGTAATCCCTGGAGCTACGGACCGGGAGCCGGGTGCCCGCCAGGCCTGGAGGCGGGTACGGCCGAAAGCGAGACCAATTCTACCCCTGAACGTGACCGTCAAAAATAAAATCGATGTCCTATCTGAACGTCTAGTTACAGGAAACTTCTGAACTACTCAGAGTTTCACAGCAAAGCGTGAGAAGCTCCGATGGGGAGCAACTGGCAGCGTGAAGTGTGAGTTCTTGCCAGCACAGCGAGGGCTCTTCAGGAAGCGCCCTCCGAGGGGCCCGCCGCTCAGCCCACGCCGTGCAAGCCGTGCCTGGCAGAAACTCGGGGATCCCGGAGACTGACGTCGGTATCATCTGGTGTGCTGTTTGCTTCGCCTACCAAATGCAGTGTCAACATTTTGGGCAATTACAAGTGTTAAGGCCGCAGAAACCATGACGTTTGCCATTCATCTGAGTGAAGAGGGAAAAGCAGAGCATTCGCTGCTGCTCTGTGTCTGTCACCGCAATACCACTGTGAGTTTCGGACGTGGCTCTTAGATGGCGCATAAGGAGACTCATAATGAGGCAGGAGAAACCGGCCGCCTCCACAATAACCAGAGGCCCCCGGGCCCGGGGCTGGCTGGGTGCACCTCACCTGGGGCCTCCGCGGAGCCTTCTGGAGCCTCCGGGTCTGGGGGCGGCTCGGCCTCCTGCCCCTCCAGGTCCTTCGGGGGCTGAGCCGAGGAGGATGCCCTGGACGTCTGCGGGGGGCTCTTGTCCACCTCGGGTCGCCTCTGTAACCACTCGTCCTTATACCCATTGCTGATGAGTTTGGAAAAGTTGGTGGGTGAACTGGTTTTTTGACCAGGCCTCAAAAGGAGAAAAATTAAAAACAAGCTTAAGTACAAAGGTTAATGGTACTCCCAAGGGTTCGAGGTTCTCAGCAAGATTGCTGACAACAGCTTAGATCCTTAAAACATACGGGGGGATCTCTCTCTCTCTCTCTCTCTCTCATAATAATTAACCGGCCCTGGCTGGTGTGGCTCAGTGGATTGAGCACCAGCCTGTGAACCAAAAGGTTGCAGGTTCCATTCCCAGTCAGGGCACAGGCCGGAGTTGTAGGCTGGGGTCCCCGTAGGGGGCGCACGAGAGGCAACTACACACGGATGTTTCTCTCCCTCTCTTCCTCCCTCCCTTCCCCTCTTTCTAAATAAATAAATAATATCTAAAAAAAAAAAAGAATGAGATAACAGGCCACATTAATTCCAACACAAACTGGGATAAGTGAAGAGAGGCAGCTGCTTCTGAGAAGGAAAAGGGAAGGGCAGGCCAGCGGACCAGACCGGGCTGTGGGACACTGTGACATCAGCGTCACGTTGCCACCAAACACCTGGGGGCAAGCCGGCACCCTGGGCAGACGAGCGCACAGCTTGCTGTCGGGTCTGGTCGCCGTGGGCACTGGCCGAAGGCCACGCCCCACCGCACCGGGACGGCGTTGGCACCGCCGTGCACTTACATGGGAGGGAAGGAGAGTCTACTTCCTGCCGGCTCTTTGGGGCCCAGTGGGGTCCCTGCTTTGCTGGGGTTCTTGGAGTTAATGGCTGGGAGCCTCACCTGCGTGAAGAAACACCCCCCCCCCCCCCGGGTTAGCCCGCGGCACGCAGCTGCGTGGACACGAGGGCGGAGGCGGCTCACAGCTGCCACGGGAGCCACACGCACAGGACAGCGGCGTGGCAGGCCCCTGCCCCGCACCCCGGCAACAGAGGCCGCCGGCCACCCTGAGCACTGCCGTGGTCGAGCACCAGTGCAGGGAGAAGACAGGGAGCAGCTCACGGTGTGAGACACTGGGGGCCGCCCCAGGAGGACAGGGTGCCACACTCCGAGGGGGCCCCCGGCCGGGCTCAGGCCAGCAGGTGGGGACCAGAGTGGACGCCGGATGAGAGACCTGCCCTTAGTGGTTCTTGCGGGGGTGGGGGGGCTCCCACGCCATCCAGCCTCCGGGGAGAGGCACCAGTCCTGCCCGAGAAGCGCAGGGGCCCCAGAGGAGAAAAGTCGGGGAGGGGACCGTGTGGCCAGAGGGGACGTGCGTGAAGCTGACGCAGAGGGGCGGCAGACGGCCGGGGGAGAGGGGAGGTGGGCTCAGGGGGAGGCCGGGGACGCCCCACCCAGACGGCAGCGGGGGTGGGGGGGGGCTGACGTTCAGAACAGAACGAGGGCCCGGTGAGTGGCAGGCAGCAGGGTTACGGGGAAGGTGGCCCCCAAAGGGGAAGCCGGGCCGTGCTGGGAAGAGGGACAAGTGTGGGACAGGGGAGGGGCTGCTGTGAAACTTTTAGTCACAGCCACGGGGCGAGGAGTCTGTGGCTGGGGGTGAGGCCAGGAGCTCGTCAACATGAAGTCAAAAGCAAAGCTGTAAATGAAAAAGCTGATGAGTCAGACTTTCTCCAAAGCAAGAACCTCTGTTCTTCCCAAGACCCAGCTCGGAGAGGAGACGGACAAGCCACAGGCGGGGAGAGAACAGGCTGACCGTGTCTCCGTGTCTGGAAGGGCGTCTCCAGAACAGACAGACAGCTCTCCAGTCTCGGTGGTGAGAAAACAAGCTCAGTTTAAACGCGGGCAGAGGACAAGGCCGGCACTCCCCCGACGAAGCTCATTTGGGGGGAAAAGCACATGGAAAGACGCCCAAGCCCTCATTAGTCCCGGGCATCGTGCATCCGAACCACAGCCGGAGGCTCCCCCTGGAATGGCTCCGACCCAGACGAGGTCTGAGCGCGAGGGTGTGGAGCCCCGGGCTGCGCTGCGCTGCGGGGAGGGGGCCTGCGCCACGGGCGGCCACCGCGAACGCCGGAGGTTCTGGTGGAGGGGAACGTGCACAGGCCGCGACCAGCCCTCCGGCTGGTCCTCATCTACCCGAGTGAAGCCGGTGAAAACCGACGCTCACACCACCGTCTGCCGGGCTCGACGGCGGCTTCGTGGATCCTCCCCCAGCCGAGGAACAGGCCAAGGCCCCGCAGCCCCGGACGGCGGCGGCCAGGCCGGGGGCCCCGCTGACTGAGGAGGAGGACTCCACTCCCCCTGAGAGCGGACGCCCGACCCCGCTCACCACGGGCTGGCCCAGCCTCTTGCCTTCCAGGAGGTCCCAACGTCCAGTCCAGGACCCCTGCTGACGCCACGCACAGCCAGCGACGCACCGCCGGCCAACCCATGGCGCCATTGTGGGAACCACGCGCCCAAGGCCGCGATGCCGTCTATGGGGCGCCTGTCACCTTTTTCTTCTCCTTTTCAAGTTCCTCAGCCTCTCGTTGCCAAACGGTCTTCATGTCGAAGTCGAAGGGCCCCCGTCGGGACTCATAACCCCCGTCGGCCAGAGTGGGGTGAAACTCCTCATGGACCATGTAGTCAGGCACGCAGGCGGCCAGCACCCTGAGGAGCAGGAGGCAGACCCGCCCCAGCTGCCGGAGGCTTCCCGACCCCCCTTCCTGACAGTCCCCCCTCCGCTGTCTCCCCTCCCCCTCCATCTCCTCCTCTGTGGCCCCCACCTCCCCGCCTGCCTTCAGGCAGCCAAGGCCACCCTTCTCCTCCCCGCCCCCGCCTGCGGCTCCCCCCCACCCCGTCCTGTGAGGGAGTCCACTGCCCCCCCGAGGCCTGCCTCCCAGAACACAGCAGCCGAGCCCACAATCACAGGCGGTTTAACAAATCAATTCACCCCTCTTCCCCGTGCAGGTGAACTGCAAGGCGACGCCTCAGCCACTCACTGTCTCTGGCTGCCCGTGGGCGGCTTGCTGTGGTGGATGTACCAGTCCGGCAAGGAATGGGCTGCCAGGGAGCCCTTCCTGGTCCCCGTGCCCAGCGCCATCTCCGGGGCCAAGTGCACCAGCAGATCTCAAAACCAAAGGGAGGCGCTGTGAGAGGTCCCGGCCCCCGGGCCCCTGGGCGGCAGGCAGGCCGCCACTTAGGAAGGACGCGCCCCGTCTCCCGGGGTTGGCTCCGAGCTCCGGAGCTCCAGGGAGCGGCACGTCCGCCTGCTGAGGGGGGCCCGCTCGCGGCTGCGGGGAGACGCCCCGCCCTGCCCTGCCCTGCCCTGGTCCTGAGCAGGCAGGGCACCCACCCAGCTGCTGGTGCGCCGCTCGGGCTGCTGTGTGTGGGAGCGGGACTCCCTGGCTCCCGCGGGGCTGCCGGCGGCCGGCCCGCGCAGCTGCGCCCTGGCCGCCTGGGTCAGTCCGGCTGTGCTCCCCTGCCGCCGTGGGCTGGCCCTGACCCCACCGTCCCCGCCTCCCCCGCTATCTTCAGCTGCCACGGTCTCCACCGCCTTCTCTGTCTCCCTATCCCTGTCTCCAGTCGTCCCCCATTAGCACGGTCGCTGTCGTTGCTGGCGGTGAGGACTGACGCCACCTCGGGTCTCGCCTCAGACCCCCGTCCGCTTTGCCCGCTGCCCCGCTGCCCTTCACCGCTGGCCGGAGCGGGCGGCCCGTTCTCTGAGCTTCCTGCTGGGAAGGGCTGGGTCCCACAGTCTGTCGGGCTCACACCGCAGCCCAGCTTCTGTCATTTTGATCCCCGTTCCCATGACAACTGTCTTAGGGGTAACAGCAGCCAGAAACACAGGGTTAGCATATCTCGGTGTCGCTTGTGACAAGGGCCAGCGGTGGGATATTTTGGACGGGCCTCCTTCCCCTGATCAGCAATTTCAATGAGCAAAACCAGGAGGAACTGTCTCAGTTAAACCTCAGGTAAAGCTCATCGACATCCCTGCTGAAGCCCTTCCACGGTGCCCGTGACTCAAAACCTAGGAAGGTGCAGGGCTAAACGCTGCACGGGCTGGTCAGCGGGGCCGGCGAACTGCAAAGAGGGGCTCTGCCTGCGAGCGGTTTCCTGAGACTCTGCCGTCAGAATGGGGCACCGGGCGAGCCACGGCAAAGGCGTCACTCGGGACGACAGACCTCTGGGGCCGGTTCTGTGAATTCGGTCTACGGAGCCTGACTTCTCATGAACGGCAGCGTGTCCCGGAAGAGTGTGCACACCCCCAACATGCCAGTGGACCTCCTCTGGTGGCAGGGGCAAAAGCCCAGCCTGGCACAGTGATACTGTCACACGACACGCAGCCGTCTCGCTGGCCCCACAGAGGCCCTGGGCGCCGACCGGGGTGCTTACCAGGCCGGCCGCCTTGCTTGGCCAGCTTCACGTACTCTGAGTCCGTCTCCTTGACCCAGCACCTCCGCGTCCCCGGCGTGTGCCCGTGGGGCGGGTCCCGGAGCACGCTGAGACCGGGGATCTGGGACACGGGCGGGGCGTCCACAGCCTTCTCGGACCGCCTCACGGGCAGGTGGTAGTACCAGTCTAGGGAGGGAGGGGCCAGGCTCAGGTTTCCATAGTGAAATTCAGGCTGGTTTAGGCCAGTGCCTGGGAGGCGGCCGCGCCGGGGGCCCTCGTTGTCCAGGGACGTCAGGATGGGGGAAGAGCCCAGGACGTGAGTGCTGTGAAGGCGTTTCCGAGACACCGTGCCCCTTAAGTTGCTGGCTTTGGAGTGAGGCAGCTCAGCCCCTCCCCAGTGTGGAGGACTTGGGGGAAAGGCCGGAGCTGCCCCGCAGGAGGACTGCAGCCTCCAGATGCCTCCAGACCCTGAGCTGCGGCATCAGCTCCGCCCTGCGCCCAGGCTGCCTGCCCGCCCTGCAGGGGCTGGACCTGCCTGCTTCCCAACTGTGTGAACCCCTTCCTTAAAACCAGCCCCCCCGTCTCTGTCTCTCTCTTTCTGTCTCTGTCTCTCTCTGACTGCCTGTCTCTCTTTCTCATATGCATGCCCATCTCCCGATGGTTCTGCTGCTCTGCAGAGAGGCGCAGGAAAATGGAGCAAAACTGATCAATTTTCACAGGCAGACACGGACCCCATGAACAAGAAGTAACCGTCCTTTAAGCCCAAAGCTTAGACTTCCAATTTCCACTTAGAACTAAAGCTGGGTTCACTGCCTGCAAGTAAATATTTAACACAGCAAATCTCTTAAGTATCTAAAGGACAGTCATGAGCTGAATCAACAGCAGGGTTTTGAAAAGGAAGAAAAAAGTCCCCCTGGAAAAGTGTAAAGAATTGTGTGGAAGCTCACAGAATCACACTAAGAGTTTTGGAGCTTCCTGCTCTGCGCACATTCAGCCAACAACGACTCTGGGAGAGGCAAGGCCTCGCTTCTTGCTTTATTTTTCCTCTCTGTGTTTTGATGGCTAATTAATCCACAGAGAACACTGTGTCTCCATCCTGCCCATTACGGGAAGCCTCAGGTCCGCCATTTATATCCGCATGCAAAGGAGCCCCAAGCAGTGAAAGCACTGTCACCCCCAACACACACACACACACACACACACACACACACACACACACACAGGGTTAAAGAGGACAGAATTGTCTTGTAGCTTCTGTCCCTCAAAGAGCATGGGTGCCGGCACGGCCCAGGTCGCTGACTCTGTATCAATGAGGAGGCAGCGGGAGGAGCAGCCCGAACCCCACCCCCCAGCTCTCTGGTCGCCAAGCGCCCCAGCCACACAGCACAGGGGCCCCCAAGGACCCTGGCCAGCCCTCCTTGCCGCTGCCAGGCCTCGCAGACCAGGGGCTGGCGCCTGGGCAGAGGAGCCCCTGCAAGGGGTGTGCCGCCTCTGGCAGCGTCCTCCGACGGTGCCTCAGTTTCCTCATCCGTAAACCGGGGCTCATGATACCTCGTCGCGCTGTTTGGAGGTTAAACGTTCGAGTATAAACGGGCTTGGCACAGCGCCCCGTCCCACTGAGGAGGCCGCCCACGGAGTATGGAGGGATCGCACCCGGGCTGAGCGCCCACGGCGGAGCAGGGGAAACGGCCGTGCTTCCTGCACTCCCGCCTCCCCACAGTGTCCCCAACAGAGGTCACGGTCCGAGCTCCGGGACGGACGCACGTCAGATCCCGTGAGGGCCACGCTCCGTCCCACTCCTGAGCGAGGGCGTGAGGGCTGCGGAGGGCTGGCCGGCCCCACCCTGCCCCGCCCAGCCAGCTCCCGCGACCGCCTCCACCTCTGCTCTCCCCCATCCCAGGATGGGGAGGCGCCAGAACAGAGGCAAGAAGAGCCCACAGCCCCAGCCTCCCCTTCCCGCTGCCCAGCTTCAGCCTCTGCTGAGCGAGAAGCCACAGGAACACGCACGAAGCCCTGGTGTCTGTGTCCAGGCACTTACAGTGGGGACAGAGGGCGCTTGGCGGGGTCTAAATTCAGAGCAGGAGGAGGCAATCAGTGAAAGACACTGGATGCATCCGAAGAAGGGAGAAAATACGCCTCCGTTCAGGGAAAGAGCTGTGGGAGCCACGGAGTGAGACTGGGACAGAGAAGCTTTCAGAGAGACGCCATTGCCCCACAAGGGAGGCAGCCATGGGAGCTTGGTTTTCTTTTTCCAAAAATAGAGAGAAGGAAAAAGAGACCTAACCTGCCCCATCCCCACATTCCCCTTTAAGCCTTGCACTGACACTGGGGCACCTTTCTTGGGGGTGCCACGCACACCGGGATGCAGGAGGCAGAGCCGTGCAGCAGGAGAGGCCGGCCGCTGCCGTGGCCGGTCACTCACCACACGGAGCATAGCGGCTGGTGGCCCCCTGGAGCTCCTTGCTCGCGTTCCTCATGCCGGCGACGCGCTGGGCGGGGTCCACGGTGAGCCGGGTAAGCAGCGAACCGCGCCGGGGCTGAGCTGCCGGGCCCACGTCGGCGCCCCTGCTCCGTCCGCCCGCCCGTCCTCCTCCACCTGGCACGGAGGCAGGCGTGTCATCGCCGAGGAAAGGCGTGCATGTCCCAGCAGGTGTACAGCAAGGACACGGTGATGGCGACACGCAGCAGGTGCACCGACGCACGGCGCATACAGCCGGGCCACGGCCGCGCCAGGAACACGGGCCGGCAGGGCCACGCGGGCGTACAGCAGAGGACAACAGGTCCCCCGTCCCGGTGACAGGTGGACCCCTCCCCGCCCACGCCCCCGGTCGCCCGTCCAGCTCACCGCTAGCCGAGCGTCTCCGTCGGTGCCTCCCGCGACGGCGCCGGAGGCCAAGGTCCGCACCGCGGACGCGGCAGCCAATCCTGACCTCCCAGAGCGGCGCGGAGCCACAACAACTCGCGTCGCCCGGGCAACGGCCGGGTGGCCAACCGGCGGGCGCGGCTGGAGCCCAGCAGCCAATCGGAGCAGCCTTGCTTCCATCGGATTGGCCCAGAAGACCAATCAGAGCCAGGGGCGGAGCGCGGGCTCTGCCAGTCCCCCTCCCGGGACCTAGCGGAGTCCATCGGTGCCCCGCTCCCTGTCCAGCACTCCGAGTTTCCCCAGAGCGGTCCAGAAACCCTCCCGTTACTTAATGCGTTTAAAAACGAGGAGGAGTAAGTAAGTAAACTCAGCAAACAGACATTTCTGCCGAGTGTGTCTCAGCAGTAAAATTTATCTTATAAACGTCCCTTCTGGCATCTAGGTTTTTCAGGATTCTTTCTGGTGGGTGAGTTGAGACACTTCTCAAAAGCCTTTGTCCCCTGGCCGGGTGGCTGCGCTGGTTGGAGCGACGTCCTGTGCAACAAGAGGGGGCGGTTCGATTAGGTCAGGGCACATACCTGGGCTGCGGCTTCCATGCCGTCCAGGTGCAAAAGGGAGGCAACCGATGGATGTTTCTCTGTCTTTCTCTCTCCCTTTCTCTCTCTCTAAAAGCAATAAACATATCCTTGGGTGAGGATTAAAAACAAAAACAAAAACAAAAACCCAGGAAACCCTTAGCTGCGGAGCGCGGGGGGCGGGGGGCGGGGGGGGGGGCGGGGGAAGGCCTCCGGCCTGTTTCTCCGGACCAGGGCTCGGAGTCCCAGCCTGGACTTCTTTAGCGCCTGCGAGCTTTTTTCCCGGCTGCATGAGGGGTCCTCACAGGTTGGGGCAATCTGTGGCATGCATCCCGCTCCCCAATGTGGACGTCATCTCTGCCCACGGCTGGGTGACGCCACCCAGACCCAACAGCCAGGGCAACTCCGTCCCCTGGAGAGCTCCACGCTGCCCTGGCTCCTGAGGAAGACCCCGTGCTGACCTGGTGAGGGTCAGACCAGGGGCGCCACGGAGGAGAAGCGTCCGAGAAATCCCGTTCCGTGACGGGGCCACCGGAAGGAGCGCGCTTTGGTCTTCTCTTGTTGAAAAAAATTTTTTTCACTCAGCATCTTTTAATGGTGGTCATTTGGCTGCTTTTGTTAAACAAGGCACTGCTTTCATTACACAAGTAAAGCCTTGGGATTCTAGCAGGAGGCAGCGACCTAAGGGAGGAGGATCCTAAGATAACTCGGCCTCGGCACCGGCCCTGACTCTGGCGCCTGTCCGGCCCCATGGCCCTATAATGACAAGTTTTCAGGGTCTTCAGCCGGCCCCTCGTGTGGTCAATGCCTGGTGTTTGTCCTACTGCAGGCGGAGCTGCGGAGGCCGCCGCCAGGAGTGACACAGCTTTCTTCTGCCAAACGCACAGCCTCATCCGCTCCCGTGCTGGGGGCGGGGGGGCGGGGGGTGCCTTCAGGGAAAGGGTGTGTGGAGCGCAGCAGCTGGAGCCACGTGACTGAATGAGAGCATCTGTTTCCATTTCTGAGCTGGTTTCGCGGAAGAGCACGGGACTTACCCGAGGCGGCAACCTCCCTCGCTAATCCAAGTCAGGATCTGGGTGGTGACGAAGAGTGATCTTTCCTTAGAAGAAAGTTTGGACCCTTGGGGTATGATTGGAACCACAAGTATTGGCAGGTGCCAGATCACATTAGAATCTAGGTAATGTCTTTAGAGTGAGAGCAGCTTGATATCTCTATTTCCTGCACTTTGTCCCCAGTGGTCTTCCTGTCACATAATGGGTCTCAGTGCGTAGAAGGATCCCACACCTCGTGAATGATCTCACTCTGTACACAATCTTACTCAGCTTTATTTGTGGGTGTTTAGCTAAAATGTCTATCTTATAACTATTTTATATTCCTACCTATAGAGAGATACTTACATATAAACCATACATCTCTTATTATGGTACACAGACACCTTATTGTAGGCATCTTATATCTTCTGTAGGTATCTCCTGTCCCTGACTAGTTTGAGAAGAGGAAAGCATGTCGGAGTAAATTCCGAGCTTCCGAAGCCCTCGCCCCCTGCCGGCCGGGTCTCTCCCCTCCACCCGGCTGCTGCCCGCCTCTGTAACCCGTCTCAGGGCGCCTCTCGGGTGCCGCTTTGCGCCCCGTGTTGCACGTTCCAGCCCCGCAGCTAAGGGGCCACCCCCGGCCGCCTGCACCCCGGCTCGATTGTCCCCCCTGACCAGGCTTGCACAGACCCGGGGGACTTCCAGATGCGGTGGTTTCTCTCTGATGCTTGTCTGCAACAATTGAAGGACACACTCCAACCTTTTGACGGATGTGTGGGTTTCAATATTAGGTGGCAGCTTCGTGTCCGGTGTGGCTGGGGGAACCAGACGTCGCCTCTGCTGGGGCGGAGGGGCCAGGGGCTCCTGAGGCCTCCGTCAGCGCCTCCTACAGTCGCTTTGAGAAGCCTGGGAGCACGGGGAGCCCGTCCGCGGGCAGGGGCAGGAGCGGGCGTGGAAGCAGGGAGCCCCGCGCGGAATCAGCTGCCGCCTCAAACCCTAGGCCACGGGGAGCCAGGCCACCCAGAGAGCCGTCGTTCACCAGGAAACGTGCGATTTCCAGACAGACTTTACTGTTAAACGAGTAGTTGGAAAGGGCTTTAAAATCAGTGTACAACATGTAAATAAATAAATTTTAAAATAATATTGATTTAAGAAAAGAAATCTTCACGCAAAAGAGAAATGGAACGTTGATCGGTGGCCCCCCCCGATACACATCCTGGCCAGGGAGTGAACCGCAACCTGTTGGTGCCTGGGACAACCCCCCAGCCGACGGAGCCCCGCGGCCAGGGTCCAACACATGTCTTCAGGTGGGAAAAGCATGGTGCAGAATGTGGTTTATAGTGAGGTACCCCTGACTTTAACTGAGGTAAAGAGGTGACTATATGCACATATACAAGTAAATGTACATAAACACATTTTACCTAAATATACGAGTATATAAGGTGGAGCAAAAGGAGGTTTACAGCTGTGAGCACACGAAGCACAGGGTTTATCCTTGTATCATTATTTATTAATCGCTGCATTACTCTCTGTACAAGCAACTGTAAACCTACTTTGGCCCACTTATGTATTTGTGTGTATATATTTCGTATCTTTGAAAGAAAACGTAGCCTTTTGCCAGCAGGGAAGAGGAGCAAGAGTGCAAGGCAGGGGGGCGAGCGAGCAGCTCTTCGCTGTGCAGCCTTGGGGGGGTCTCTTGGATTTTGGACCATTGGGTTAGAAAGTGGAAAGTTTGGGATTTCTTGGGATAGAGCGAGATGCCGCAGAGTCAAAGAGCAAATGAACGAATTGTAAAGTATCATTTACCCTGAACCCAGCAGAGAGTAAAGAGTAAAAAAAAAAAATCTCAAAAACAAATGTGAAGGGTCAGCCGAGTTGCACAGAAGACGCTGACAAATGTCACAGCTGCATCGTCTCAGGAAAACAGGGCCCGCGACAGAGCAGCGGTGTTTGAACAGCTGGCAGCCGAAAGACATTCCGGAATGGGAGACAGACTCGCGCACTTCCGCCGAGAGCGGCACGTATCTGAGTAAAGGAGGAAAAACAAAATCTGGTAGCACACGCAGGGATTTTGAAGTGAAACTGAAGAACGTAAGGGACAGCTGAAAGGCCCTAAACACTGCAAGAGGAAAGAGGCCAAAGCGTCCCCGAAAGCGAGGGGGCGAGGCGCAGAGGTTAGGCCGAGCCCTCGCCCTCGGCTGTCAGCTCCGAAGTCCACGGGGCGGCATCTCCAGAGGGCGGCGCCGAACAGCGACCGGCCCCCGGCGCTTTGGCCCCACGTGAGCGTGCCCGTGGTCCACCCACGCCTCGCACCTGTGTGTGCTGGGGAGCAGGTGCGCGAGGACTGGCGCTGACCCACCGGCGCTGCTGGGGCCCAGACCCACCCAGGGTGCACCCGCTCGCCGGGCGGCGACGGTCGCGTCCGCACCCTGAAATGCTGCACCAGGCCGAGGGAGTGGGCTGCAGTTTACAGGTCCCCAGACGGACACCGTGAGCCACGCAGCGGTACTGTCCTTTCGGCTTACAGCACGGGCCCCACGTGGCATTATTTACAGACACACACCCACGGGGTAAAACGCCAAAAAACAGATGGCAATGACAACTTTCAGGTGGCAGCTGCTGGTGGGAAAGAAAGGCGAGGGCCGAGTTTGGGGGCTGCTCTTTTGGGGCCTGGCGTTGTATCGGTGACATTTGGGTTTTTAAAAGCCCCACAAAGAGACGGATGGGCGCCACAGAGGGGTCGCCTCCGGGGCCTTCACGTGCTCGGGCACATTTGGAAGGCGCTGCAGTAAAAGCACTGGGGACGTGGCCAGGACGAGAACCCCGGGTGGAGAGGTGGCCAGCAGCCTCCGGACACGGCCACTGTGATGCGTCACAGAAGGGTGACGCGTCACAGAAGGGTGACCCAGCAGAGGAGCCCTGGCACGGGCTCCCTCTCAGTTCTCCCTGGAAGGAGAGGCGTCGCGAAGCAAGAAGACAAAGCAGCAGCCTGGCCCACTGCGTGCAGTGTCGTGGTTTCCATGAGGTGAAGACAGAGAACGAGCCGGACTGCCCCTCCCCCGGCCACCTGCTGCCATCTGTCACCAGGGCATGAGCGGAGGGCCGGAGCCGACGCCGGGGGCCCAGCACGTCCGAGATCCCGCAGAAGAAGCTGGCAGGAGCTCGCGCGCTCCAGCTTTGCTCCGGGGGCAGGAGCGCCTGGCCGCCAGCAGGTGCGTAGCTTCGCAGAGCATGCCCCGCCCGACCTGGTCGCACCTGCCGTGCCCGGGTGGGGGGCCGCCCGGGAGGACGGCTCTCCTTTGCAGAGACCATTTCCAGACCTCTGCTCGGAAGGCTTCCCCGGGTCACAGGGCTCTGTGGCAGGCTGTCCGTCTGCGTCAGAGGTGCTCAGAGTGATCCCCGCAGGCTGGGGCCGGGGACCGGGAGGGGAAGCCGCTGTGGAAAGGAATGGGTCCCCGGTCTTGCCTTTCTCTGACTGGCTTGGTTCACTGAGCGCATCACGAAGGCAAACACACTGATTCCACCTATGTGTGGGCTCTGATGAGCAAAATAAACAAGCGAAATAGAAACAGAGACTAGAGACAGAGCGCAGACTGACCGCTGTCGGCGGGCAGGGGCCGGGGGACCACCGGGAAAAGGGGAGGGGACGAGGCAGCGCAAACGGGGCTGCGAGCCGCCGCGGAGATGTGGGCCGCAGCACAGGAGAGCCAGCGCCTGAGGTCGCCCGGACCAGCGTGGGGCCAGCAGGTGCTTGAAGCAGTTGCGGGGGGGGGGGCGGAGCGGGGGTGCTCTGTAAAGTACACAACTTCCTGAACACATTGGGGTACATCCCAAACCAATGCAGGATAAAACTGAAGGTGAACAGTAACTGAAAAATACATTTAAGAATTAGAGGCTGACCCTCAGCAGCCGCGAGAGGACAGCTCGATCTCGCAGCTCGCGGACGCTCCTGTCTCACCGCCTGCGCGGTCTCCGTGGGCCGCAGCGCGTGGCGGGCCGCGCAGGGCTCCAGACACACGTCCTTTCCCACGTCCCCGGGTGGGGCTTGGCCACACAAGGCTGAGAGGACACGGCCTGAGTCCACAGCGGCGGCTCGTCCCTTCAGAACAGGCGTGGAGCCACCCGTGGGGAGGCAGCGGGAGGGACGCCCTGTGCACCCCGGGGGTGCTGAGGACCCCGGCCCCCGGCCCCCGTGCCTGCCCCGCGGAGCTGCCTGCTGAGAGAGCAAACACTGAGAAGAGCCAAACAACCATCCTGGTGGGAACGGGGAGGCGCCTGCCAGGGGCTGCCCGCGGAATGAAAGGGGTGCCTCCTGGAGATTGTGCGAGAAGAGTGTCCCCCACAATAGCAGAGGCGGCGTGTCACCACCCACGGTCGCAAAGCAGCTCCCCGGGAGGCAGGACCCCAAGGGGAGCCCAGGGGCTGTGGGGAGCGGGGCGGGGGGGCTTTGCAAAGCGCAGCCTGACGCCGGGTTTGACCGGAGAGCGTCAGGAGCCGCGGGTGCATGGGTCACGCGGGACGTCCACTCAACTCGGCCCGTCAGGAGCGCTGCCCTGGCCTGGCGGGGCCTTGGGGCCGCCCCGAAGACTCTCTCCAACCGATGTCAGAGATAACGGATGAGGAATTCGGTTAATTCAGAGTCAAACTTGAACAAGCACATTTGTTGGCGTGCGTGTGGCGGCTGGAAGGCAAGGTTTGTGACGGTGCTGAGTTCCTTCTGTTGCTCTCTTCTCCCCAGGCCGGCGCCGCCGTGGAAGGCTGTCCTCGGTGGGCTTGTACTGACGTCCCTTCTTACAGGTGAGCCCCCCTCCGGAGCCGTCCTCACGGCCGCTTCCGGGATGTCTGGTGAGGAAAGATGGGGAGCCAGGCTTCGCTTTTGTGAACAAAGGGCAGGGAAATCGCTGGAGGGGACTGCACTTCCCTGAAGCATTCCTTTTTGTCTTTTATTTCTGATTGTAAAAGTAATACCAGCTTATTTCCTGACAGCGTAGAAAGCACAGTTTTTTCTCTTAGAATCATGGTTTAAAAACACAGAAGTTGCTTTGAAGTGAAGACAACATCGGATTGACCTTTTCTAAATCTGGGTGACTGAACTTGGGGGTTGTACAACCACAGACACTCATCACAGGATTCTGGACAAAACGGCCACGAACGTGCTGTGTCCCTGAAACACAGGTCACCTCCCCACCCCCACCCTTGCCCCCAATGCTGGAAAATTGCTCTTTGATATACGGACAATATGAAGAGAGAACGCCCGTGAAAATCAAGGCTTCAACCCATTACTGCCAGGAAATGCCACTTGCTAGTTCGGAGGCTCCGGGGACTGCTTGCTGGGGCTGCCCCTGGGCACCTGGACCCCGGTCACCCCTGCCGGGCTCTGCCCCCTTCCCACTGGCCGCGCCTCCACAAGGTCCTAGACCAGACCTGAGTTTGCCGGTTTCTGCTGACAGCTGCACACTTTGCCATGTGGCTTTGCTGCTTCCGGCGTCTTGTCCCCACCTCCGATGACCTTGGCTGTCGCCCTCAGCGGGCCCCCCACCTGGCTGCCGCCCCCGCCTCAGGACAGCCCTCTGATGGATTTCCCACGGGCCCCCCAGCCCGCTCTGCCCCGCCCCGCCCCCGACCGCCTGGGGCCGGCGCACACGTGTGAGCGGGGCCGCCCATGCCTGGGAGCCCTCGTTTGGGCCTCAGGCCCCGTGTCCCTCACGTCTTCTAAGTCCGGCGTGTGTCCCCCAAGTGGATGCAGACCGTCCCCACTGCGAACTTGCCCGCTCGCCCCCCGACGTGCTGATCCAGTTGAGACACAGACGTGGAAATGATTCGTAGGACATACACCCGCCGCGGGCCCTTTTCCTTCACTGCGGGGGAGTCCACCTCATCTAAAACCAACCGTCGTAAACCGAACAGCCGAACTCAGCTGCCTTTAGTGCACACACAGCGCCGTGCACCAGCTCTTCCGATTCGGCACGGTTTCATCGCCGGCCCTCGCTCCCCGGCTCCGCCGCCTCGGCCCCCAGCGCCCACCTGCCTGCCTCCCGCCTGTCTCTACGGCGGGTGGAGCCTGGGGCAAAGGGGCCAGCACCATTCAGTGGGTGGGGGTGGGGACGGCCTTTTCGGCCAATGATGCTGAGCGCGAGGGTACCGCTCTCCCAGGCTAGGCTGCTGGGCTCTAAGCCGGGCCACCCAGGACTTGGCCTGAACCCCCCAGGGGTCGGCCCGGGGGAGCCCCGCTGCTCTGCCTCCTCCCTCCACGCCTCTGTGTCTGTCTGCCACGTGCCCCGTTCTCTGTCCCTTGACCAGCTGGGCTTGGCCCGGTCACGGCAACCCTTTCAACGGCCGTCACAGCCTCCCAAAAAGCCGCTCCAGCCCAGAGGAGCGGGCCGAGCCAGGTCGGCCTCTGAACCAGCCCTTCGGGGCGGCACCGGCCGGCTCCAGCTCGTGGCAGCAGTGGGAGGGCACGCGCCCCGGGAGTGGGGGCTGCCGCCCCCGCAGCCACTGCCTTCACACTGGGGAGCGGCGGGGGGCAGGCGGGCAGGCCGGCCAAAGTGCCACGCTGCTCTCTTACCAAAAAGAACCTGCCCTTCTCAGTCCTCCAGTTGCTGGAAATTTTGGATCAGATTTCGGAATTCCCGAGAAGCAGACCCTGTTCCTCTGGCTGCTCATGGCCGTTTCGGTGGAGGATTGGGTTTCTGAGCCCCTCACGGTGTCCCGCGAGGGCCCGGTGTGTCTGAGTCTGCGCACCCTCCCTCCGTGCTGAGGGAAGTCTTTAGCAACACACGTTACACTGCCTTCTAGACGCTTCCTCTCTTTAACCCGAGGTGACCTTTTCTTTGACAGGATTTATACATCACGTGTGGCTCAAAGAAAAGGAGTTTCCTCCGAAATCCAGAGGGTTGTGTGCGGCGATCACAGAGCGCGTCTCCAGGCTCTTCGACTACCAGGTGACACCCCGCTCCGGCGTCTTGTAGGTCACTTGCTTGAGGTGCCACTGCCACCAGGCGAGTCTGCCTGCCCCCTTCTCCTTGTCGTGCCCGCGAAGGGCTCCCGGGGGCCCCGTGGCGGCCAGGGTCTCGGAGCAACTCCCTCCGGGGCCTCCCGCCCCTGAGCTGCTCGGCTCGGCTCGCTGCGCGGCCGTCTTACCGGTCTGGACGCGGAACGGCGCTCTGCCCGCAGCCGCCTGAGAGAGGCAGTGACTTATTTCTTGGACTCTTCACAGCTTCCGAGCTCCATGCAAAGGAGCTGTGTAGAGCTGCTCTTTATTCAACTCACAAAGGATTTTAAACACATTTCCTTGTCTTTCCATATTATTTTATAACAGCTTTTTGCAGCTAATAATGCAATAAATAGTATTTCAGTAAATAGTTTCCACACAATTGAATTGTGTGCCATTTTTCAGTAGTGAAACATAAGCATCCTTGTTGCTAAATCTTGTCACCCATCCTTGATTTTTGTTTTTTTACTCAGGATAAACTCCGAAAGGGGTAAACAGAGAATAGTCCATTTTCAGGTGGTCCTTTTATACAGACCCCCAGGGACATAAAATTGCTCTTCAAAAGCGAGACGTCTCCATCTCCCCGTCTGCCCCGGACGCCGGGATGGGACGGCCACCGCCCAGGGGACTGTGGGCGCATTAAACGCGACCTTCCTCCTGCTGTCAGGGCCTCCTTTAAGGAGGGCGCTAGGAAAGGCGGCGAAGGGGGAAGGAGCCGGATCGGAGCTGCTCAGGAAACTGACCTGCGAGCTGAAATGCACCCCCAGGCTTTTCCGAGCCCGCTGGCCAGTCTGAGCGGCTCACTGCGCAGGCCGAGGACCCCGCCTCCTTGTCACGGGATGAGCAGCCTCAGGGGCCATAGGCCCACTGTTCCAATGGCCGCGGAAGACGAATGATCGCAAAGGACCCGCTGCGAGCACTACGCTGGTTTACAGCTGAAACCCTCCGCAGAGCAGCCGCCGAATCATTCACGCCGCCGGCGACCGTCGGCCAGTCCGGGATTCACGGGGGGCCCCGGGGCTTACGAGGAGATGGACGCCTCGTGGGAGTTTTGTTTGCGGGGCTCGTCAGCAAGCTGCATGGGGCTTGTCCCGGCTCACATGACTGGAGCCACGTGCTCGGGCTTCACACTTTGGGTCTCCGTCAACCTTCCCCTGAAAAAACAAAAGAACGCAGAGGAGAAGGATGCAGGCCCCGCCCAAGGACGATGCGCCCACCCGCGAGGTGCCGCAGCGCCCGGGGCCAGATAAACCCCAGGGAGCACGGCCGTGGCGGTGCCCGCCTCCCCAACCCTCGGCCCTCGGGGGCTGCACCTGACTGGTCCCTCCACGGCACAGGCAGGCGGGCCTCGCTCCCTGGGCAGCTGCGGGGCTGGGCCAGGGGCTTCCCCGGGAGCTCTGTCCAGGACGCGCCATCCTGGGGGCCGGCTGGCTGACGGGCCGCTCACCCTGACCTCCCTGGGGTTCTGCCGGAGGAGGCCCGGCCTGCAGGGGGCGCGCCCTGGGACGGGCCTCGGGGAGGTGGCATTGCTCCAGTCTCCGGCTCACTCAGGGCGCAGAGGAAGGGCCCGCAGCCGCCCTCCGCCGTCCCCCGTGGGGACGACCTCACTGAGGCCTCCGCTGTGGCCCAGTGGTCGTGTCCTTGGCGGCAGAGGCCCTTCTCGGCCTGGGCCTGGGGCCGCGGTGACCCTGTTCAGACGCCTCGTCGCGTCCGGTCAACGTCCACCGTCCAAGGCTCTGGCTAACCGACAGCAGGGGCCAGGCTCCCGGGTCGGAGGGGACGCCCCCGCTGTGTGCAGGGCCAGTGGGGGCTCATACGGCCCTCAGACGTTGGAACCCAGGCTGCCCACTCCGCGCCTGCTCCTCCGCTGTGTCCTCAGAAGGCAGGTGGCATCGGCCCCTCCTGAGAAACGGCGCGTCTGCCGCCTTCGAGCCTTGGTACGAGGCTACGTGTCACTAAACAGATGTGGGCGCGACCTCATGTTCCCCAAATGCAACTGTTTACAGGAAGGGCTGAAAAAGAGGCAGGTGTCCCTCCATCAGGCCTGTCTGTCCCGGGACGGGCTGGGAAGGACAAGAGGAACGAGTCTTCCGGAATAAGCAGGGTTCACAGCAACCTTTTCTTCCAGGCCCGACTCCGGATGCCGAAGGAGCACCTGGAGCTTCTCAGGTGGGTGCCAGTTCTCGGGGGGCCCTTCGGTCGCGGTTCCAGGTGCTGAAAGGCCCTCGTGAAACTGTAAAACGAGGTTCATTTCAGCCTCTGTGGATAGCCGTCTGCGGAATACGCCGGGGGAGGTGCTTTGGGTATTACTTACGATTCAAACGAGGGAAACGGCCAAGACCAGGAAGGCAGGCCGGCGGGCGGTGCCCAGAGCCCGTCCCCGCCCTGGACACGGGGCAGCCTTGGGGGCCTCTCCGAAGTGCACTCCACAGTCAGGGAAGGGCGGCGGACTCAAAATCACAAACACGATCTCTAGTTTGTTCCAGTTTGTTTCCCTAGAACACAAAGAGTCATAAACACGCGCACATGGGTTTAATTCCCCAGAGTCCTTGCATTGTCCACGTTGCAGACACGTGGTGTTTCACGGGTTGGGAAACGGTGCGAGGTTAGCGCTCGTCTCCCTGGTTTCCAACACGACGAAGTACCTGCCGCGTTGACACCGCCCGTGGCTTTCAAACTGCAGAAGGAGCGGAGCCCATTGTCCTAAAGCAGCACCGGGCCGGGGGCCGCGCCCTCCCCCCGCCCCCTGCCCCAGGCTGGTCCACAGGCCCCCCCGGGCTCCCTCAGAAAACCTGCTTCCTCCCCCCGCAGTGCGAGGGGCTCCGAGAGGAAGGAGCGACAGCGGAGGCCGCCCAGCCTCCGGCCAGGGCGGCAGAGCCCCGGGGGACACTGGCCGCGCCCCACGCACCTGCCCGGCGCACACCGCCCCCCAGCCCTCCGGCACCCTCCCTGGGCCCCTCCCTGGGCTTCCCTCTCTCCTGGCGGCCGCCCGAGCCGCGCGGCCGCCGCCAGGCACCCGCCTCCGCTTACTCTCACACGGGGGCGTTCCTCTCGCAGGAAGGAGAGCCAGACTTTGGAAAACAACGTGCGTGAGATTCTACTTTTAACTGAAAAAATTGACGTCCTGACGGTGTTGCTTAGAGACGCGCAGGCCGGTCTGCACAACGGAAGCGGAACCCCTGGCAGAAATACCCCCGAGGCCCAGGGCCAGGCCGAGGACCTGGACAGGGTGAGGCGGGCCGGGCGGGCCGGGTCCGCGGCTCCCCCTGCAGCGCTGACGGGGCTCCCCTCCTCCACCGCCTGTCCCTGGGCCCGTGCTGCCATCTCGGCTCCGTCCCAGAAGAGGCTGCAGGGCAATAGGGCTGACTTCCCACCCAAGCAAGTAACCAGTTCTGGTGTGTTCTCCAGTAAACAAGCCAACCAAGGGTCATTCAGGACTGGCGGTCTCTGAGGGGCAGTGCACAAGGGGTTAAAAGGCACAGGGCTCTGAGCCTGGCCCCTCACTGTCCCTGGCTGTCCCCGGTGGGCCCTGCTGGGACGTCTGCTTTGATAAATTCAGAGTATCCTTAACAAGCCCGTGCTAATGCGCAGGAACACAGGCCAGCGCAGGCAGCCCCGGACTTTGTGGGGACCGTCTTAGCTCCCGAGGGTCCACAGAGCCCGAGTCTCCTTTAGCCGACCGAGATGCCAGGGAAGGGGGGGTCCCCGCAGGCAACGCCGACGATGTCCTTTGACCATCTCGCTGACTGCTGGCGGTCATTAGGGCCGCGGCAGGGCCTGCCCTGCGACCTCGGGGCCGCGAGGGGGCACAGCTCAGCGGCGCGTGGACACCGAGCTGTGCTCAGTGTGCTCCTGGGAGCACGTTCTCTTCCTCCTTCTGCAGGTCAGGGGACGTCAGGCCCCCGTCCACAACGCGAATGGTCAGAACTTCAGCAGCTGGCGGGGGTTGCTAACAGAAAATTCTTCTTTAAATTTGTACAGGAAATGTCAAACCTGGTAAATTACGTACTTAAAAAGCTGAGAGAAGACCAGGTCCAGATGGCCGACTATGCGCTTAAATCAGCAGGTGAGCAGAGGAGGGAAAATGCATCTGTGGAGTCTCTGTCCTTTATGTTCTGCTGTGTCTCCTTATTAGGAAAACCTACTTATTGGTCTGGTCATTTGAGAAGGAGGAAAATGAGCTCATCCAGGCAACAAAGGAGAATGGAAACAGCTGTAGTTGAGCGCTCCTAGTTGGTGCAAATCTCAAGGCCAAAGAGGAGCCCTACGTGGGCGTCGAAGAGCGGGGCTGTGCAGAAAGCTGGGACCCCCCAGCGACGTGGGGAGGCGGCGATTAGCTCAACGTCGCAGGCGTTATAACCCTGTATATTTCATACACCAAAATGACTGATGATAACTAACAACAAAGGTAGAAAATCGGTCGGAATACGGAAGAGCTGAACAGCGCTACCAGAAGTTTGACGTAATTGACATTTACAGAACAGCGCGCCCAACGACATCAGAAGACCCCTCTTCGTAAGTGCCCACGGAACCCTCATAAAGGCCAACCATAGTCTAGGCCACAAAGCAAGACTAACTTTAAGACAACCGCAGGCAGACAGAGGGTGTCTCTGAATGGAACGGAAAATATAACCTAGAAATCAGTAACAAACATATCTAGAAAATCCCCAAGGCATTGGGAATTAAGCAACACATTTCTAAATTACCCTTGGGTCAAAGAGGAAGTTAAAACAGAAATTAGAAGATATTTTAAGTGAAATAAACATGAAAACATAAAATGTTGAAATTCATAGTGCGCCACTAGAGCTGCACTTACGGTGGAGTTTAGGGTGACAAGCACTTACACTAGAAAGTAAGGCTGGTCTCAAACCAGAGGCCCACACTTCCACCTTCAGGCTGTTGAGAGGAGTGAAGAGAGAAGAAAGAAGCCAGCAAGGAGGAGAGGAAGCAATGAAAACCTCTCTATTCATAGACAACAGGATGATTTACCTAGAAAATCACCCCCAAAATCTACTGGAAGTAATTGGCAAGGTTAATAAGTTAAATTCTATATACATATATGATTTCCAGGTACTAGCAATAAAAAATTGGAACAGGAAATTTTTAAAAGCTGTACCAGTCACAACAGCAGTGAAAAACATAAACTACTTAGGCATAAATCTAATAAGCTTTGCGTAGGATCTCTGTGCCTAACACACATACACACACACACACACACACACACACACACACAGAGCAATAGGAGGGATGAAAGAGGAGAGCAATAAGTGTGCAGACGCTACACGCCGGTGTGCAAGGCCCAGAGCCCCCCCCCCAGCTCGCCTGCTGGCTCCACACCATCCACTCGGAACCGGCGGTCGCTCCCAGACGCCTCCAGGCTACGGCGGGTGCCCAACCCGCGCGCTGCGGCCGCATGCAGCCCAGGCCGTCTATGAGTGCCGCCCAACGCAATGTCGTAAACTTGCTTAAAACATTAGGAGATTTTTAGTGATAATGTGTCACAATGTATTTAAATGTGTGGCCCAAGACAACAACTCCTTTTCCAGTGCGGCCCAGGGACTCCCAAAGGCTGGGCACCCTGTGTGCAGAGTGTGTTCAGTGGGACGGCCGAGGACTTAGAGCCACCAGGCAGGTCGGCAGGGAGAGGACAGAGCGGGAGGAAGCTCTTGACTCTGAGGCTTTCTGTAAAGCGGCCGGAATGCGGAGAGCGCGGTGCTGCTGAGGGTCACAGGAACAGAAGAGAAAGTCCAGAGAGAGGGCCACCCCGTGCTCGGGAGTGAATTAATCTTTGACAAAGGAGAACAGGCAGGCCAGTGGGGCTGGAGGACTTGCACATTCAGATGCAAAAACACACCCTCAGAACTCACAGCTCGAAGGAGCTCAGACCCAGTCAGGGACCTAAGTGTTAGGCTTCACGCCCGTGCGATCCGACCGGGGTAGGAACGCCGACTGGCTGAGTCCAAGACCACATCACCCAGAGCAAGGTGCGCCCGGCGGGCCGGAGGGAACAGAGGACCCCAGTTTCCTTGAATTGCAGGCAAACAGCATATCACTTTTTTTAGCATAGGTATGTTCCAGATATTGTATGAGACATACTAGTACTACAAAATGACTGTTTCCTGACCTTTAAGTTGCGCCGGCTGTCGTGGGTCTTCCCTTGCTCGGTCTCGCAGCCCCAGGCACACGGCCACGACCTGGGATTGTGCCACCTTAGAAGAAGCGCCGTCCGCGGAGTCAGGCAGGCAGGTGCATTTTTAACGGTGTATTGTGCGTCCAGGCGAAATTTGAGGACGTGATTCGCATTTTCTTTATTTCTTATCTGCAAATACATTTTGTTTCTAAAATGAAGTAACCGGATGGGATAATATTTGACGAGCATGTTTTATATACGTCTGATTGAAGTGGAAGCTCATGAACCTGCAGAATGGCTACTCTGACTATAACTTGTTAGCACGTCTAGGACACCATAGTTTTTGAGTGAACTGGGCCGACGCAAAGCGCCCTCTGTCACGTGAGATGTTAAACTGGGTCTCCGGGCAACAAACACAATCCACGCCCTGTTGCCACCTCTGAGTGCCCGGCTTCCGAGTCAGCGCTCGATCCTAACGGCAGCTTCGGAGACGCTGTGCGGGCGCGCGGAGGGCACCTGGCTTCTCAAGCGGCAAACTTCAGTGGCGAAGAGGCGGGAAGTCGGCCTCTTTTGGCCAATTCCTGAGTGTGAATTTTATCTCCTTTATAATTTGCCCAATGGTTTTCCAACAACAATATTAACAGCTACATGAGGTGTTTGGAGTTCTGTCCGTTTTTATTTTAAAAACGTTCATCCCTTTAGGAGCCTCCGTCATTGCAGCTGGGACCTCGGAGAGTTACAAGAGTGAGAAGGCCAAGCTGTCCTGGCGCGGGGTAGGGTTCCTCAGCTACGAGAGGCCTCCAGACGTCATCCTGCACGTGAGAGCCAGGCGCGGGGTGGCCCTTTTTACGTTAGGATCCTGTTCATGGTTTTTTCATCTCGCGAATGTGAATGTCTAAAATGGGGGCCGCTCTGAATTTGCCGCAGACCCTGAACCTACCTCCTGGTATGTTCGCAGCCACCAAACTACATGGATTATTTCTTAATTTATGGCCAGTACACTACGTTAATTATTAACGTGTGATTTTAAGCTCGGTAAACTGGAGCACTTGCTTCTCCCATAAGGCAGAGATAGTCCACACCTCCAAGTGGATTCTGCGGCGGCCGCCCCGCCACCCGCTTCGGCCCTTCCACGCACGCCTGTGGGAGGCTCGTGCCCCCAAGCGCCGGGCGGGCCCCACGCGACCAGGCTGGCACGTTCCTCAAAGGCCGGTAATAACAGGAGAAATTTCCAGACAAGGTTCCCACGGACGCCTCGCTTCCCTTCGAAGGGCACGAGGCGCCCACAGGTGGCAGGGCTCCCCCGCCTGAGCACGTTTCCACTTGAGAAGCCCTTTCCGGGGCACACCTGCGCCCCTCGACCCAGAGGCGACGCCAGGTCTAGAAAGTGGCGCACTGCGCTTTCCCGTAATGTGGGCACCGCCAGCGCCATGTCCGCCGCCGCCGCCGCCTCCACCCTCCCCACCCGCGCCAGCTCCCTCCGCAGCGCAGGGGCGGCCCCACCGCACGCCTCCCGCGCCCCCGGGGCCGCTCCACCACTCACGCCCGCGGGCCGCCTGCCCCGAGCGCTACAGCAGCGAACGAAAGGTACAGGCCGGGCCCTCACACGCGCGAGCACAGCCCGAGCTGCGAGGGCGACCAGGCCTCCAGCGTCTGAGGCTTTCCCGTGTGATGCGCGGCCCGCGCGGGGCCTTCCTGGGACGATACAGGCCTGTGTATTCCCAGCCATCGAACTACGGGGGTTATTTCTTAACGGATGGTCAGTTCTCCGCGCGAGGTCCACGGTCAGGGCGACCAGCCGGCCGACGTGGCGGGGGCGGGCTCACAGGACCGGGCGAGGAGTGAACTCTGCTCTCTTTCCAGCCAGACGTCCACCCCGGCAAGTGCTGGGCTTTCGCAGGCCCCCAGGGCCACGTCCTCATCCGGCTTGCCAGCGCAATCACGCCCACCGCCGTCACCGTGGAGCACATCTCGGAGAGGGTGTCCCCGTCGGGCAGCACGGCCAGCGCGCCCAGGGAGTTTTCTGTCCACGTGAGGAGCGGTCTGAGCCGCGGTCACGGCGGTTATGGGGGAAGGCGGTGGGCCAGGAGCTGGGGGCTGGGGTCTGATCTGCGTCACCGTGAGGGGGTCACTTATTTCCAGGACTCCTCTGTGTCCCTGACAAAGCAAGAGGGTTGGATCGGCGGATTCCTACCCCTTAATTTTACTTTCATCAACATCATGCATGTACAGTGAAAATATCGAACGTTGCCACACATTTATAATGAAACACGGTTTTTGCTTGTCCTGCCTCTTCTGCCCCTGGTTTTGACTCCCTGGAAGCGTCCACTTGCCGCAGGTGTAGCCGAAAACAATTATTTCGGTTCTTGCTGGTACTGATGTCTTAAGTTTTCAGTATTGGCGACTGTCTACTGACGCTCTCGGATGGACTAGCTCTCTCCCGTGGTTTCCCATCCTGCAATGTGTTTGGGTCTTGCTTTACCACTGAGACGCCCTTCACACACCCTGTAATTCACCCGTTTAAAATGTACACATCCGAGGCTCTTAGTCTGTTCACAGAGCTGCGTATCCATCACCAACTTAATCAAGTTTAGCATATTTTTGTCCCTCGTCAACGAAACCCTGCCCCTCGCAGCCCCCACCTCCCGTCACCGCCCCCTCAGTCCCCCGGCCCCCGGCAGCCACCCACCTCCGCGTCTCTACGGACTGGCCTTCTGGAAGCTTCCCGTGAGTGGAATCACATGTGTGGTCTTTTGTGAATGGCTTCAACTTAGCATCATGTTTTCAAAGCTCATCCATGTTACATATTTTGTAACACGTGTTGCACATACTGACATACATCTATGTCAATATTTTCTTTTTTAACTTGCTGAAAATATTTTGTCGCACGGATGCGCCACCGTCTATTTGTCCACTCTCCACTCGGTGGGCCTTGAGTGGTTTCCATGTTTTGGGCCATTGTGCACAAAGCTGCTGTGCACAGCTGGACGAGCTTTAGGGTGGACGTGGGTCTCCATGCCTCTCGGCCCTGCACCGGGGGCGCGGGGAGGGCTGGGTCACGTGGTAAAGGGCCTCACGTGCGGGACGCGGCCAGGCGGCCCGTGTCCCCTTTACTCGCGGTTACTGTTGACCCTGGGCGCTCAGCCCACCTGTTTCCCGAAAGGGCTCTGGGTCCCCAGGGTAGCACCTCTGGGTGTCTCGGGTGCCGGCGCCCAGCGCTGCGCCCCTGGAGGGGCCCCCAGAGGCCTGGAGGGTCGCTGCTACCTGAACGCACGACCACCTCCGTTCGTTCCACAGAAGCGCCCGCTGCTTACGACCTGCTCGTCTGCTCCTTTCTCCGCAGGGCGTCTTGGCGCAGTGTGCAGGGGCGGAGGTGCCCCTGGGCCGCTTTGTCTATAACCGGACCGGGGCCACCGTGCAGACGTTCGTGCTCCAGGTACGCGAGCCCTGCTGAGGACGGGCGCGGCTCCGTCCCCCGGGGGGGGGGGGTGTGCTGGGGTTGCAGGGTGCACAGAGGCGGCAAAAGTGAGGAAGGCACGGCCCCCGAACCCTGCGCTTAGCTCTGAGTGCTTACGTGCATTGTGACGCAAGGCAGGCAACAGCAAAGTGGTTTCCAGGCTTCCTTCTCCCACGCTTGCTATTACTTTAAAATGGAAGTGTGTGTGTGTGTGTGTGTCTATGGGTGTGTACACACACACACACACCCCCACAAGATCCAGCAGAGGTAAGGCCCGCCTGAGTGTGGTTGGTAGGGCAATAATAGGGGTGTAATAATTGATGGTTTTAATTTGAGCATCTCACCTAAAATGTCATAGGGTGTGCCTGAGTGTGCTACTGTCACGTCACGGAATGACACGCTTGTGGTTTTGTAATAAGAGCTTTTGGAATAACCAAGGGGCGTTATTTGTGCCGGACCCTGCACATCCACCTTCTCGGCCCTTATCTCACCGGCTGGAGTCCCCGGCTGCTATCAGCTTAGACAGTCACTGTCCTGTCCTCCTCGTAAGGGGACCAGGCGATGGTGCACCGGACATGGTTAGAGGCACAGAGGAGCTCAGAGGAGGAGAGAATAAACATGTAACACCAGAAAAGAGGGGTAAACCTCCCTTCCAAACACAATGGGAAAAGTACCAAGCGCTCACCATGTGGCCCGTGAAATGGACGTCACCGCTTCTCATCGGCCCCAGGAAGTAACAGGAGGCAGACGCACCTCGCGCCACGCGAACGCAGGGGCCGCGGCACCGCTTGGCCAATGGGGAGGAAACACGGCGTGAGAAGCCGACGTCCCGGGGGTGCTCCTCTTTGACTGACTCTCCGTGTCTCTGCCCCCTGCCCTGCGGCCTGCAGGCAGCGCCACGGGCTGTGACGGTGGCCAAGGGGGGCGCGGGGGCGTCCAGGCCACCATGCCACCCTCCCTGCTCTGCCTTTGTCTTCTCCGGACCTCTCTCCTTGTGGGGCTCCTCTCTCATCCAGCGGAGCGGGTCTGATTACACTCACGGAGGCAGGAAAGAGTTACTGTCCCAAAACGTCACATCCCTTAGGATTCCTTGACGTGGGTTGCTTGACAAGGCATTTATGTTATCTTCTCTTTATTTCCAGCATGCAGTTTCTGAACCCTTACTGTGTGTGAAGCTTAAAATCCTCAGCAACTGGGGACACCCACAATACACGTGTTTATACAGATTCAGGGTCCACGGCAGCCCAGGGGGTCACCGCTAGAGGACCTGGTGCCGACAGCCACGGCGGCGGGTCTGGAACCCCACGTTCTCATCCTGCGGACTTCCTGCTCTCGTAGGAATCGAATGTCGGGTTCATACTTGCCAGTAAAGAGTGAATGAATTTTACTAATAAAAACTGTGAGCGTGATTTCAATCTCCTTGTGGTAGTTTAGCTTTTGAGGATGAATCATGTTGTTGGAGCATTGACATTTGTGTCGAGAAGATCAATCATTCAATAGTCTTTCTCATAACAGCATCTTTGCCTTCATTGGCTCATTCACACCGGGTATGGCTGTCCACTGTTCCCACGTCACTGACCTCTGATCTGGAGGTGTGGGCCAGTGCACTTAAATAAGTCAAAGAAATTAGAGGTTAGAAGGAGTGAGGACACCTGGAAATAAATATTTGCAGATGATTGGATGAATTCCTTGAAATGCAATAAAGTTGATTTAAAAATATATTACAAACTACAAACAAGGGAAAACTACAATGAGTTAGCGGATACAAAATGATCACTTTTAAATCAATACCAATCATCAATACATACAACAATCGGTTAGAGGATATAACGTACAAAAGCCACAACAGAAGCTTTTTAAAAAGATTTTATTTATTATTAGAGTGAGGGGAAGGGAGGGAGAAAGAGAGAGAAACATCACTGTGCGGGTTGCCTCTCCCGCGCCGCCTGCTGGGGACCTGGCCTGCACCCCAGGCCTGTGCCCTGACTGGGAGTCAAATCAGCAACACTTTGATTCACAGCCGGCGCTCAGTCCACTGAGCCACACAGCCAGGGCACAACAGAGATTTTAAAAAATCAGATAAAAGAACTAAAACTACCCGTTTGAAGAGAAAGCCTTCCCGTGGTGGCTTCCAGTCTCTTGCGGGGATGAAGACGTGGCAGCCTGATTTCCCACGCCACGTCCTGACCGCCGTTTCGGGGACAAGATGGGGGCACTTCTGCACAACAAACAAAATGAGCATCAGCACAGTCCCCAGGTCATCCTGGGGCTGCACTGCTGACCCTGCGGCTTGGCTGGTTTTAAATCAGAAAGGGAGTCGCTGGCTACTCCCACGGCCGCGTGACAACACGGCCCGGCCGCGGGCGCGTCTGCGTGGTCTCCGTGGTCTCCGTCCTCGCCTCAGAGGCATTTGAAAAAATGCGGGGCGGTAGTGTCAACATAATATCAGTTCTCAGATACCGAATTACTAGTGGGCTAAATTTAATTTAAAATTTAAATTTAGAGAAACTGCAGGATTCCTTTTGTCTTTCAAGGAAGGGTCATTACAGCTTAATTTTATATCTATTGGGTCAAAAGTCCTTGCATTATTTGGGCCTTTTGTCTACACAGGATGTATAATCACAAAGTCTTAGGAAGTTTTTTAAAAGTTTTATTTTTTACAGAGTAAAATGAAATGATCTAAAGTAAAGGTCAATGTTTTATGAAACTGTTTATAAAGCTTATGTGATACATTTTAAAATCATCTTTTTAATCTCCACAGTAACCACCTCATTCAATAATTTATCTCACTTTTAAAATGAATTTACAAAGTAATCAAGCCTGTTAACAAAAAATTTTAATGTAACATTTATCGTGTTTGGGTTGGCCAAGACTTGTCTGTAACAATGTAGACTGGAATTCAGCTTCATGTCACAGTCTTAAAACAGGCAGAACTGTTGGTAGTTTTTACATTTTGCGCTTTTATAATAATCGAGTGATTTTTTTTAAATCTAGATTCTATGTCAAGCTTAAAACAAAGCCGCAGGCTCCTATTGGCAAAGCACATTAAAAATAACATTGCTAGCGTGGATAATTTTGTCTTTGAAAACCGGGGTTGGGTACAATTTTTGTTCTATCTCACTTTGTTGTCGTTTTTTAAGTCTGCCTAGTTTCTGTTCATGCTGTAAGAATTTTAACAGGATCTGGTGGAATCCATCATGAGATAAAATTGCAGAATTATCCCTGGACGTCAGCGTTCTGTAAAATCCTGCGTTTACCGCCTTTGGAAACGTGAACACACCGTTAGCCCCGCAGGCCAGCCCGGCGCTGCTCCTGAGCGGCGCCCCCGCAGACGCTGCGCATGCAACCGCCCTCTCATTGCACCGTCTGTCGGAACGACCCGGCTGATTGTCGCTGTCCTAACAGAACTGGAAATCGGCGTCTCAACGCCCTTTCAACCCAGGAACCCTACGAGCCACGGCCCGCACCTGCGGGGCCGAGGGATCCGCGTCCTCAAGGCGGCGCCGCCGGCCGGGGCGGAACCAACGCGCGCGGCGGCGTTTCCAGCCGGACGCCGGGGGCGGGACCCCAGTGCGCCGCCGGCCGGGCTCCGCGCGCGCCGCGCCCACCATGAAGTTTCGCGCCAAGATCGTGGACGCAGCCTGTTTGAACCACTTCACGCGTGAGTGGGTCGCGGCCGCGCGGGGGTGTGGAGAGGGGCGGGGGGCGAGCTTCCGGCGGGGGTGACGGACGCGAGTGACGGCGCCGCGCGGGGATGACGGGGGCGGGGACCGCGGGCAGCGGGACAGGGACCTGGGCAGCGGGATAGGGACCGCGGGCAGCGGGACGGGGATGGGGATGGGGATGGGGACCGCGGGCGGCGGGACGGGGACCGCGGGCGGCGGGACTGGGACCGTGGGCAGCAGGACAGGGACGGGGACCGCGGGCAGGGGGACGAGGACTGAGGGCAGTGGCCCGGGGACCACAGGCAGTGGCGCACGTGCCCAGGATGGCGTGGGGCACCTGGGGCGGGTGAGGCAGGCCCTGGCACTGCCTAGGAGGCTCCCTCCACGCGCGAGCCTCTTGTCTGCACTCAGCTCTGGTGCACCTGTGGCCGGGGCGGGAGGCCCGCCGGACCGCACGGGGCTCCAGTGTCAGCCTGGTGCACCCGCTGTCCTGCTCAGTGACCCCACGCTCACCCGGGCCCCCCCCCTCCCGCCCCCCCGCAGGCGTCAGCTGCATGGTGGCCAAGCTGGCCCGAGCCTGCACCCTGCGCATCTGCCCGCAGAAGCTGAACTTCATCCTGGCAGACACTGCAGCCGGCGGCGGGGTCAGCATGTGGTGCGAGCTCCCGCAGGTGAACAGGGCCCCGCGGCCCCCACGGTCCCCACCGCAGGCCGGGGGCGCCAGTGCACCCCGGTGACCCGTGCCCTCCTGCAGGAGAACTTCTTCAGCGAGTTCCAGATGGAGGGCGTCTCCGAGGAGAACAACGAGATCTATGTGGAGCTCACGTCGGAGAATCTCTTCCGAGCCCTGAAAACGGCCCAGAACGCCCGGTCCCTGAAGGTCAAGCTGACGAACAAGCACTTTCCCTGCCTGAAGGTGTCCGTAGAGCTGGTGCGTGGTGAGCAGCAGGCGAGGCCCCCGACCCCGCAGCATGGGGCCCTGCGACACTGGGAAGGTGCCGGTTCGTCACAGTGGAGGCGCCCGCCCGTCCCCCCACAGCTTGCCCTGCGCTTCCGCGTTGTGCCTTGCGAGGCCCACGTGGTAGAAGCAGTGCTCACGTCTCGTGGCAGGCGTCCTCGTCAGCCAGCAGCCGCATGGCGACCCACGACATCCCCATCAAGGTCATTCCGAGGAAGCTGTGGAAGGACCTGCAGGAGCCGACCGTCCCCAGCTCTGACGTGAGTGGTGCCGCCCTCCCGGGGCTCACCCCGCTCGCAGCGGCGTCGCCTGACCCCCGGTTTCAGCTCGTCTTTGCAGCATGTTTCATGTGGAAGTGATGCCCCCTTTATGAAGGATGTTCCAGGGAAAAGGCAGCATTGTGGCCTTTGATTATTCCCGTAAAGACCCTAAGCAGCGCGGCCCGGGACAGACCGCGCCTGCCGCTGGTGGGGAGAGCACGCGGCCCAGGAATTGCACTGAGACTGAACCACTCTGAGGCGGCCTTTGCAGGCCCGCGCTGTTGTCGGGAGCGGTGGCCTCAGGCACCGGTTTGGGGTCACAGAAGGCGGTTGTTCCAAGGAGAGAGGCCCCTTCGGTCCTGCTGGGGACGCCCAGGGCTATGGGAAGGTGACACCCGCGGGCCCGTTGCCTCTCGTTCCCGAGTGGGCGAGGGGGCGGCGATGGAAGGGGAGGGGTCTGCCCGGAGGCCGCCCGTGCGCTGCTGGGAGCCCACCCGGCGCTGTGCGAGGGGAGCAAGGACTCCCCCAGGCGCTTTTCCGGGTAGAAAGGCCTGGGTCCTGGGCACGTCCCGCAGGGGACCCGTTTCCCTGGGCGCACCCAGGGCCTTGGGCAGCAGGCGAACGTCCTGGAGCCGGACGTGCCCCAGGGACCTGGGCCCCGCCGAGGTGACCGGAGGCAGGTGTGAGGGAGCGAAACTGTGTTGTTTTTCTTTTCATGTTCTAAAACGAGCTTCATGCAGACAGTTTGGAAACACGGGACTGCAAGCGCTCGGGCACAGAGGCCCCCGCTGGGGGGTATGAGGCGAGCAGGCCCCTGTCTGCGCCGGCCGTGCTGACCTCGTCCGCTCTGGCTTCCCCCTTTGGTCTGCAGGTTAGTATTTATCTGCCCGTCTTGAAGACCATGAAGAGCGTTGTGGAGAAAATGAAGAACATCAGCAATCACCTCGTAAGTTACAGCTTCTTCAGACAACACCTCTGAGGTTCGCCTCAGGCTGCCGGCCTGCCAGAGGGGGGCCCTGGCGCTCAGCCCGGGGGGGTGTCCTGGGAAACCTGCGGGCCTCCTGGCCACGCTCACAGGGTGTTAGCAGGGCTCGCCGGCCCTGGCCTCCTCTCCAGGTGTCGGCGCAGACGTCCCCCTCTGCCCGCTACCGTGGGTGTTCTCGCGAGGCGCCGGCGTGGGCCACAGGTGGGGTGCCCTGCGAGCCCGGGACCATGCCCCCAGCCACCACCGCTCGCTCTAAGCGCTCCACGCCAGGCAGATGGCATGCCGCTCTTCCGTTTGCTTCTCTGGCGGCCCACCGCCACGCCAAGCCACGCCACAGCGTGGGACAGCGCCGGGGCACCGTGCGGACGGCCCTCGCTCACAGCCGGGCGTCCCCGAGCCTGCACTCAGCCCCAGCGTGGGCCTCGCCCCGCCCGCAGGGCCGGCTCTTCCCTGGCGCTGCCTGGCCGCCCGCCCCGGGGCGCGCTGCGCCTGCTTGCCCTTTGCCGAAGCACCCCGCTCTGCCCCCGCTACCGGGCCGAGAGGCGCCGCCTCTGAGCCGCCCGGGGCTCCCTGCCGAGCTCCCTGCCAGGGTCTCGGACCCACTGCTGACCCGTCTGCTCCTAGGTCAGGGCAGCACTGTCTCAGCCGTCGCTGCGTCCCCACGTGACCCCCGCCCCCGCCCCCGCCCCGGGACTGGCCCTCAGCGGCCGGTGCTGCCACGGGCCCGAATGAAGCCCGGCCTGTAGAGCTCTCGGGGGCCGCGGGGCTTTCCGGAGCCTGGGAGGCGCGTGCCGGCTGTTTAGTCTGCGGCTGTGCTCGCTTCAGAGTGATTGCCTTTCTGGCCTAACAGCGGGTTCGGTTTACCTCCCAGTCGGCCTCTGATGACGTGGCGCGTGCCACGTCGCGCTCCCGTGGCGGCCTTGATGTCGCCTGTTGTCAGGCTGGACGCTTCCTCTGGGGACACCCGAGGAGCTGCGGAGCTTCAGGGCCCAGGAGGGAAGGGCAGGGCAGCTCCCCGAGGCCGAGGGTCTGTTCGTCCCCTGCGGGGCAGCTGCGAGGCCTGGAGCCCTCGCCCTCGGCCCCACCCCTCCTTTGCCTGGGGCCGTCCCCCTCCATGGGACCCCTGCTCCAGCGGCCCTTCTCCTGTGAGGAAGCCAGACCTCCAGCCCCGCCGGCCCCCCGCGGCCCCCTGCCTCCAGGCGTCCCTGCCGAGCTCTCCGCTCTGAGGGCCCCCCGCCTGGGGGTACCCAAGTCTCGGCTCTTGGCCTGTCTCCTCTCTGTTGCTGGTGCCGTCAGGAGGGTCTGGGGTTTGTGGGGTGACCGGTCACCTGGTGTGGTGGAAGCCTGTGTCTGTGGCGGTTTTTTTTAAGACTGTAAAATACTCTACGTGCAGATTATTGAAGCAAACCTAAACGGAGATTTGAACTTGAAAATAGAAACTGAAGTAGTGTGTGTTACAACTCATTTCAAGGATCTTGGAAATCCTCCATCAGGTAAGTCTCGTGCTGGGTTGGCGTTCGCTTCTGGAAGGCTGGCGGTCTCACGCCTCGCTGAGGCCCAGGCAGGAAGAGGGGACACCCGGTGCCTGCTGCGTGCCTGGGAGCAGACATCCGGCCGGCCGCGGGGCCGGGGCACCCGGGGCCCTGCCGGCTCTGAGAGCCCCGCGTCTGCCCCGAGCAACGGCAGGGCCTCCCCTGGGCGCGGTCGGAAAGCGGGAGGACAACTCTAGCTTCTCGTACCTGGGTCTCTGACACGCGGAAAATTAGATCAGCGAGTGCGGGCTTTGCGGCGTGCTCAGGTCGTCTGCCTCGTACGAGGGGGCAGGGACCACGGGGCAGCTCAGCGAGTGTGAACAGCGGGCTGACGGGCGCTGCGGGGCCGTGCGCGGCACTCACAGCGTGGGCGGGGCGGGCGGAGGGGAGCAGGCCAGGGGCCTGGGGGAGGGCAGAGCTCCTGACGTGGAAGCCCTTCGGGTCACGCACGTGTCCCGAGCAGGCACCAGGCCCTGCTGCGTCAGCGTCGGCCTGCCTCGCTCCAGGGCTGCTGCCGGGCGGGCCTCGCAGCGCAGGGCGTGTGGGGGCAGGGCCGCGTCCTGTCCTCCTCGCTGCGGTGGTTCAGTGAACAACACGCAGGGCCCTACCCCGAGGCCCCACCAGAGGTGAAAGGACCCCCCTCTCCGCTCTGGAGCGCGAGGCCCCGCACTCCCCGCGGGCACACGCAGTGAGGGCCCTGCCTCCTTGGACCCGGAGCTGGAGGTTCCCTGGAAGCCGGCAGCATGTTTCAGAGTCAGGACGTGGACGTGCCGGTGTGACAGGCAGTGACGGCGCCGTGCAGCGTTCCTCCAGGAGGCGAGCGCCCGGCGCCGCGCCTCAGTTACTTAAGCAGACAGCCCCTGCGCGGTCTGCTGTCTGCTGTCTGTACGTCCCCTGTCACAGACGAAGGTGCTCCTGTCATTTTAGCCTCTGGAAACGCTTCTCAGGACAGAGACCCCGAGCAGATGGCGGAGGTGCACGTGGACATCAGGAAGTTCCTGCAGTTTCTTGCTGGGCAGCAAGTAAACCCCACCAAGGCCGTGTGCAGTGAGTGTGCCGTTGGACTCGCTTCCGCCCGTCAGGTGCCGAGCCCTCGGCGGTCTCCCGGCCCCGGGCGGCCCCCTGGCTGCCTGGCAGCTGGGTCCCGTGGCCTCTGGTTTTCCAGGGCGGCGGGTGCTTGGGCTTTCCTGGGTTCAGAGGTACGGGAGACGGGTCTGAGCCGCTTTGCCAGGCCTCAGGCGTGGTCGGCGCCTGGAGGGGGGCAGGGGTGCGTGCTGACCGCCCTGTCCCGGCAGCCTGACAGGGCGCCGCGCAGCCGTGGTGCCTCCGGCCTGGGCCCAGCGCCCCCCGTGACGCCCCCGTTTCCTTCCCGGGCCTCGGCCTGACCTGCTCCCTCAGTTGCCCGTGTCTCAGGTCCGGGTCCCTTGGTGCGGGCGGTCCTGGCGCCCTGAGCTACACCCCTGCCCCAGCGCCCAGCTCGGCCACTGACACGGAGCCACCAGGGGGCAGAGCTGAGGGGAGGGGCCTGGGAGTATGCCTGGTGGTGAAGGGGCGGGGCCTCAGGGCAGACAGCACATTCGGGGGTTGGGAGAGCGAGGATCCAGGGACGTGTGTGCGGGGGCTCCACAGTAATGGGGGTCTTCTGTCCCCAGACGTCGTGAGTCACAGGATGGTCCACTTTGACTTGCTCCACGAGGACGTGTCGCTGCAGTATTTCATCCCAGCCCTGTCATAGGTCGCAGGCCGCGGGGTGCGGCCTCCGCGGTGACCCGGCGGGTGGCTGGGGGGCCCCAGCCACTTGACTGTCCTCGCCGCTGCACTTCCCACTACCGCTTCTCTCTGTGATGTCTTAACCAGGAATCCAATTAATGAAACACAGTTGGATAAATGTTACTTTGTTACTTTGTTCTTGTGTCTGTTTTGTTTTGCTGTTAAAGCCGGGATGCATTCTCTTCCCAATGTCTTAAGCCGGACTCACTGCGGAAGCTGTGATGATCTTCCTGTGTTCCGACCTGTTCACCTGGTGCTTGTGCCCCAGGCCCCGTGTCCAGCGCAGCACAGTGTGGCCGAGCGCCCGCGGCGCAACCCCGAGCCCTTCGGGGCCCTGTGCGCGCCCGTCCGGCGAGGGCAGCCCTGCGTCCCTCAGAGGAGCGCTGGCTCCGGCTGCGGCTCACGGGCCCTGTGGCGGCACCGTGACGTCCTCCGGGCTGCTGGCCTCCCGGGGCCCGAGGCCGGCGTGCGCCCCGGGGGACCGTTCTGTCCTGTAAGGCAGGGGACCTGTCCTTCTGGAAGGAGCGCCTGTGTGTCCAGAGGAGGAGCCGGCAAGGCCCCCGCAGCCCTGGTCCCTTGCTCGGCGGCGCCTCCCACAGTCTGAGTGCGTTCCCGCTGCCACGATGGGCTCCTGCCACGTGACCAAGGGGGCCGACGGCAAAGGCTTCCCCAGGCAGCACCGTCGGTTTCAGGACGTCAACCATCGCCCTCGAATGGCACCCCCTTCCCCGCAGCTCTAGGGGGCGCTCCAAGGGGCAGGCGGGGGGCGGGGTGCGGGAGCCGGTCCAGGTGGGCGCGCTGAGCCGGCGCAGGGGCCGGGCACCACCCCAGCGGAAAGCGCGCGCCTCCCCCCGGAACACGTGTGCTGTGTGCCCCGCGTCACGGCCCGGGAACAAGGTGATGCCGCGGTGGTCGCACTGACCTCCTTTCCATAATGTGCTTTTGAGAGACATGACTGAGCTCCGGCCCTTCAGCGCTAAAACGTGGTTGGCACCGTGACGGCCACTGTGTCCCTCCAGGGCACCTGCTGCAAGTGTCTTTGCAGAGAGAGCCGGGACGGGGACAGAGGGGGCCGTCGGGGACTGAGGCCACCCTCCACTCCCAGCCACCGAAGGACCAAACGCCTTTGGGGACAGCCTGTGGGGGGTTGAGCTCTGAGCTCCGGATGTTTGATGGGACTTGGAAGCCAGTGGGGAGGGTGGGCGGTGTTAGAACACCTGACGGCGCTTGTTGATTCAGCTTCAAGCTGTCAAGACACGGGACGCCTTGCAGCCCCAGGTGTAGCAGATCAGCATTTTCTCCAACTTGGAAAGTGGCTTCAGGTGGCCCCTGACGACAGCGCCCTGCTGTGTGTCCTGTCACCAGGCTGCCTCAGTGCAGCTGCTTCGCGCCTCACAGTGGACTCTCATTAGCACCTTTCAGGACACTTTGATCTGAGGGAAGCAGCCCTGTGGGGGGCGGGACCCCAGCTCTGGGGCGGGGCGTTGCCAGGGACTCCGTTGCCAGGGACTCCCTGTGGTTGGCTGACTGCCCCCAGGTGCGAGCCAGACGCTGCCCAGCAGCTCTCCCCTGCGCGGCTCTGCCGGGGGCTGGGAGCCGGGCGAGCGGGAGCCATGGGTCCGGGCTGGGGGCTGCTGGTCCCCGCCCTGGCCCTGCTCCCCTTGTGGCCCTCCAGCCCCCGGAGCCTCTCAGGTGAAGGTAAGTGGGCTCTCACCAAGGTCCGGCAGTCTCCTGGTGTTTTTGCCTCAGTGCGATTAGTTGCAGATGTGCCTGAGCCCCAGGGTGGCCCGGGGTCGGCTGGGGAGGGTCAGAGCGGCGTCCGGAGACGCGGCGCCTGGTGTGCACAGGGCCCTGCAGGAGCGGAAGGGACCGGGAAGGGACCGGCACCTTTGCCTCCGGAGGAGCCAGGCACCAGGCTTGGGCAGCGGCTTATGCACTGAGGTCTGGGGGTGGGGGGCTGCCGTGTGCGTCCCGGGCGCGCTCCAGGGGCGGGGGCGCCCGTCGGAGCCTGCGCCTCACGTGGCCGAGCCGTGGGCTTGCCCTGCTCTGTGTGCGCCCCTCGGAGCGGCGGGAGTAACCCCTCACCCGAGCCCGTGGCCTAGCGGCCCCAGGACACCGGAAGGCGGCCGCAGCCTGGGGGTCCCCGCCTGGGGAGGCGCACCGCCGCTCCCTTCAGCACCCGGACCTGGGCGCGGGCCGCCCGTAGGCCCTCTGCCGCCTGCCCAGCGCGGGCCTCCAGAACATTCCACGGACACAGGGCCCTGAGTCTGGACCCTGAGCCCTCGGCATGTGGCAGATGTGATGAGAAGCTACCCCGACCCTTAACTTTATGTTGGTTTTAACACGGGCCCCCCTGAGGCCGCGGCCAACACTGGGGCCTCGCGAGGACCGCTCTCCCTCGGCCGTGCCGCCTGCTTGCCGTCTGCGGGGTTGGCTGCATGGCCTTCGCACACCTCCGTCCTGGGCCGTGCTGGGCACCCTACGTCCAGTCCCACCGTGACCTGCGGGCGGGCCCAGCTCTGCGCCGGGCTTCCTGCTCGACGGCAGGGGCAACAACGCCAGGCCTCCGAGTGGGAGGGCTCTGCGGGGGCCTCCAGGGGCTCGGCTTGTGGCGGGTCCTTCCTCTCAGCTCCAGGGCGTCAAAGAGCGTGTCACCGGTGGAATGAAAGTGCACGTTTCCTGGAGCTTCTGGGCACGAACAGACAGCGGGGGCTGTGGGTCAAACCGGCAGCAGATGCTAAGCCGTCCCGAGGCTCGGGCTCTGCGGGCGCACCAGCCCCCCAGGGTCCTGGGGGCGGAGGGATGGAGTTCACACACCTGCCGCACACCCTGCCCCCTCCCCCCGTCGCCTTGGTGACCCTTTCTTCCAATTCACCCCGGGTCCTGGAATGGGAGGGGCAGTGGGGGGTGGGCAGCACGACCTCCCTCCCAGGGGCAAAGGAGGCCAGAGCACGGGATTTGTCCTGCGGCTGCCCGGCTAACACGCTGGCCTGGCGCCCCGCACAGGAGGGCGGGGACGGCGCAGGCTGAACGCTGTTCGCTGAAACCTGGGCTTCGGTTCTCCGTTCCGCTCGCCTTGGCTGGTTTGGTGGACGCTCACTGTGCGCCTTGGTGGTTGTGCTGCGGTTGGGGGCGAGGCTGCGGGGGCTGGAGGGGGAGGCACAGCCCCCGTCCCGTGGTCTGGCTGTGGCCAGAGGGAGAGGTGCGCCGCTCGGCCGGGGCGACGGGCACGTCGGTCACGCGCCTTCTGTCACCCAGCGGGCTGGCCAGCTCCTTCACGGGGACACGCAGACGAGAGCCGTCCCAGTGCACAGGCCCAAGTCCAAGTCCATCGGCCCGGCCGCCGAACGGGACGGTGTGCAGAGTCCCACGTGGCTGTCCCCTGAGGAGCAAAAACAGGGAGATTTGGGGCTGTTTCTGTCACCTGCCCTTGCAGTTCTCCAACACATACGTCTGTCGGGCAGTGAGTGTACTTAGTACATGTTCTCCCAGCTGTGGGACGGCCCGTGTCTGTTTCCATTCCCGTGACTTCCCACTGCACAGACGTGGCCACGCAACCTTCACTCAGGGCCTGGGGCAAAATGGAAATGCCGCCACCGGTTACAAAGTGTTGAGAGAGCAGCGTGGAGCCACACGGTGGGCATGAGGCCCTGAGCCCACCCAACAGCCCTGTTCCCACGAGAGCAAAGGGGAGTCGCCTTTGCGAGTTGGTCGCCCCTCGCAGCCTTTCCGGGAACGTCAGCTGTAGGCGTGCCTTTCCCAGCTCACCGAGCGGGTCCTTCTTCCCCACGCAGACGGCATCGGCACGCTCAAGGCGGCTGTTCCCCGCGAGCCTCCCAGAGCTGCCCTGCGGCTCGGCCTCGCTACGCGGCCGTGGGCACAAGGCCGCGGCCATGTCCATGAACACCCGCAGCGTCCACGGGGACCAAGGTCTTGCCTTCGGCAGCTCCCCTGCGGGTCCAAGACGTAAGCCGGGCCCTGGGGGCGCGCACCCAGCCCTCAGCCCTGGGCGTTCGAGCTGCGGCAGCTCCATCTGCAACACAGCACACACCGTGGGTTCTTCCTGGCTCAGAAAACAAAGCCTGTTTCCCAGGAAGTAATGCCTTTACTCTGCAGGGCGCGCACGCTCTCAAGAGAAAACACCAAACATTTTTAATGAAAAACTGTGACTAAGTTTGTTTCCCAGGCCCGTCTGATTCCAAAACACGCGCTTCGGATTTCGACACCCAGCGGGACTGAAGGAGGGAGGCGAGGAGATGGGCAGCACAGCCATGTGCGCGAGGAGGGGCCACGTCGAGATGGTCCGCCCCTCCCCTTCCGCTGTCCTTTCAGGCACCGTCGCCACACGCTGGCCTTCCTCCACCTCTGCCTACAACGTGTCCTTCGCCTCTCCGACCCCCGGGGGCGGCCGGCCGGCCTGGCCCGACGGCACTGTCCGGCACCGGCCGCTGCGTATGTTTCTGCTCTCATTCGCGCCAGTGGAGGTTACAGGCCCCGCAGCCCCAGGGTCCGGGGCCGGCTCTGCCCAGGCCCCGCTCGCCCTCGCACGGTGCCACGTCCACCCAGACGGCCCTGGGGCTTCTCCAGAGGGCGCAGGCCCTCAGGCCTCTGTCCGAGCGTGGGCGGGCGGGCGGGCGGGTTTGTGCACAGCCCGGGGGTGGCCGCCCGCTCGGTGCCCCCGGACCCGCGGCCAACCCCCGCCCCGGGTCCCCTGCGCGGCCCCGGGCGTGGCCCGGAGCTTGGCCTCACGGCGCCATCCCCCCTTGCGGCCGTGCCCGTGTGGGAAGCTGGGGGCGCACCTTCCCCGTGGGGCCAACCCAGCCCCTCCCTCTGTCACAGCCATATCCATCTACACGAATGGGACCGTGTTTGCCACCGACGCCGATGTCACTTTTGTGGCTGTGACCAAGGAAACCGCGCCACTGGAGTTCACGTGGTTCTTTGGAGATGCTCCGCCCGTGAGAACGACCCACAGGAGCATCAGGAGGAGGCTCAGTGTCCCCGGGGGGTGCGTACGCAGTCGTCACCACCCTCGTGACGTGGGCTCAGTGCCGCCTGGAGGTGTTGAGCTGCCACTGAAATAAGTTAGGGACCCACTCCCACTGGTGCCACCTGGCGCCTCTGTAAATGGGGGCGCCAATGTGGGTTGAAGGAGCGGGGGTTGGGGAACTGGGGACCCGGCAGCCCCAGGGTGAGTGCATCCCGCAGCCCCATGGCCGCAGCGACCTCCTCTTCCAAGAAGGTGACAGCGCCCCCCGTGGCTGTGAGAGGTGCATCATGTCATGTGAGAGGAGCGGGGCCAGCGCCGCGCCTCTGTCCCCAGCGGGCGGAAGCCACCGGGTGCTCTGATGGCCCTGCAGATGAATGCCAGCCCCCGCCCTTCTCTGAAGCCGCGTGGGGCCTCTCCCTCTCTCTGGCCTGGCCCTCGTCACCACCTGTCCTCCCTGTCCCCGGCCCCCACAGGTACCGCGTGGTGGTCCAGGCTTCCAGCGGGCTCGGCAGCGTGGCCTCGGAGCCCCGCCACGTCCGGGCGCAGAGGAGAGTCGTCGCCAACCGGCTCGCCTCCGCCTCCTGGGCCCTGGTGGGCGCCGCCGTGGCCTTCGAGTGCCGGATCAGCTTTGGCACTGACGTGGCCTACCTGTGGGACTTCGGGGACGGTGCTGGGGGCCTGGGGAACAGCTCCGCCAGCCACGTCTACAGCAGGTGAGGCGCCCGGGGCTGCGGGACCTGTCTGTCTCATGCTCCAGGACAGAGTGACACCGTGGTCCTCTGAGGGACTGCCCGGTCCCCAGCCAGACGTCTTGCCCAACGGTCCATTTATGTCATTTACAGAACACACGTGCATTTCCCCAGCAAACCCGGCCTCCTCGGCCGGGAGCTGCCTGTCCCACGGTCCCCGGCCCTGCGCCTCCCCAAACTGTGTCCCTCCACCCCTCCCGGGGCTGCTCCCACCTCCAGGCCGGGGCGTGGGCTGTGCCTCCTGGGACCGGGCGCAGAGCAGAAGCCTCTCGTCCAGAGATCCCCAGGCACAGGCCCGGGGTGCCCAGCGCAGGGGGCCTGAGGGCGCCCTGAGGTGGACAGAGGAGCCAGGCCACGGCGGCCGGGAGGGAAGCGGCGGGTCCCCACAGGGTGCCCATCTCTCGTATGGTGGGCAACGCCCCGGCCTGGGCTGGGCCGGCTGCTGTGGGCTCTGGGGAAATGGGCCTCGTGGCCTGTGGTTACACAGACCAGACGGCGTGGCCACGAGGGAACCGCCGATGTGGTGGAGCCAGCGCCCCGTATCTGCGCCTTGTCCCCTCCCAGGGAAGGAGAGGTCACGGTCCAAGTCCTGGCCTTCAATGACGTCAGTGCCGCCTGCCTATCGAAGCGCCTTTTCGTTGTGCGCCGGCCCTGCCAGCCGCCGCCCGTGAGGAGCCCGGGGCCGGGGAAAGTGCAGGTGAGGCCACAGCCCCTGACCGGCGCAGGAGCCCTCCTCCGGGCAGCGGCTGCCCCGTGGTCCCGGGGCGGGCACCTCAAGCCCCAGACGTGGCAGGGGGACGAGGGAGGAGGGACCGGCCGGGGCCAGGCCTGTGGGTGTGCACACGTGTGTGTGTGCACGTGTGCACAGGCATGTGCATGATCACAGGGCTGCCTGGCCAGGGTGGGGCGTGGCTGTTTTCTCCTGCTCTGAAGTCTCTGGTCACGTGAGTTTGATGGCGGCGTGACAGCCGGCCGGTGTCGGAATCGCCTGCCCTCCTCCCGCTGCTGCCCTGCGGCTGCTCCGCCTCCTAGCGGCGCGGGGAGGGCAGCCGGTGCCCCGGCTCCCGCAGGCCCGGGCTTCCCCGCAGCACAGGGGCGAGCCGCGACCCTGCCTGCCCGCGCCTCGGCCCGCCTGCCGCTCCGCAGGACCAGCTCTCGGCAGCCTCCACCCCTGGCGCCTGCGGTCTTGTCGGTCTGTTCCTAGTGACGGGTTCGCGGCCGGCATCGCGGTGTGAAACCGCTCGTGAGCCCGGGCCCTTTTGTGGGGAATGCTAGAATGTCATAGTCAGAGGAGAAGCAGTACAAACAATTTTAAAGTAATTTAAATCACGATTAAAGTCAGCCAAAGAAATCTGACAGTGCAATTCCGTTTGTAACCCGTGTGGACCTTTTAAAATCTGTTTCCCAACCCCCAGCCATAGGTTTCCCTTTCCAACTGCTGCGGGAGGTCTTCATCAAAAATCCTCCAGGGGGCGCCGTGCGCCCGCGTTCCGCCCCAGCCGCGGTGCCTTCCACGTGGGGCCCCACCCGCCTCAGCGTTGTGTTACCTCGCCGCTGGGCTGCAGGCGTTGCCTCTAAATGCTGCAAGGGCCCCGGGTGCTCCCCGGCCTCCCTCGGGGGGCTCTGCCCAGCCCGGGCTGGGAGAGCTCCCCACACGCCCTGCTGACCGGCTTCGGCTCTGCAAGCATTTATCAGCATTTTTCTAAAAACTATGTGAAACACTTTCAGAGCAGCAACGCTAGTATTATCACCAGAGACCACACTTCTCAGCGAGCTTTCAGATTGGTCTGAACTTCTGGCTGCCCTCAGAATAGGTCCTCGAATGCCACACAGGAAGGTCCCTTGAAGAACATCTGTATTCTGTTACTTGTTTGAAATACGGTTACGTTCTTTTGTTTCCAATGATAAGAAATTGTTTTTTGTCTTTTTGCTTCAATTCCCATTTTAAATATATAAAACATTTACATGATTTCATAGTCAAAACCATACAATAAGGTAAGAATTTATGTTATTGACTTGCCTATTCACCTTTGATCGATTGTCTATTGGAGACTTTGAAAATTTTCTTGATTTTAAGTGAAATTAAAGTATATTTTAATATATATTTTACAAATGATTTTTCTTTTCCTCTGCTTTTTAAAATTTTATTTTTGATGTTCAGAAGTTAAAAATCTTTATGCGATCCAGTCTGCGAACCCCTTCCTTGGATATTTTCCCATGAATTTTGGGCTCAGAAGGGTTTCCTCATTATGAGCGTCTAAGTCTTTGTTGTTCTCGCTGACTTAGTGTGTTGGCTCGTCACCGTTCTCTGCGATGCAGCCGGCAGCGGTGGCTTCGTGCCTCGGGGTCCGGCTGCAGGCCCCGCTTCCTGTGCTCAAACCCATGCGGTTTTAGCCGCTTGCTCGGGCCCAGACCGACCCCCTGCCTCGTGAGACGCCCCTCTGTCCCCACGCAGGTGTGGCGGTCCCAGCCTGTGACGCTGGGGGTCGCGTTTGACGCCGCGATGCTCTGTGACAGCGCCCGAGGCCTTTCCTACGCCTGGACCTTCACGAACTCCGCAGGGTCCCAGGTGCCCCTGCCGCCGGCCGTCCACACGCACGGGCAGACCGTCACTGTCCCCGGCTGCTCCCTGGAGCCCGGGAACTACACTGCACTCGCCAAGGTGGGCTGCTGCCGTCGGCGGATGCCCCCTTCCCACCGGCCGCCAGGGCGTCCATCCCCCAGACCTGCTCTGCCCCGGGGAAGGGCATTGTTTTTGTTTTGTTTAATTGCACTGGCTTGTCGTTAAGTCCCTGATACATTCGGGCTTTAGAAAAGGAGCTTCAACGGAGCTGAGCTGAACAACACTCCAGGCCATGGGAAGCTACGGTCCGCAGAGCAGGCTGCAAACCGTGGACTGTCCGAGGCGGTGGGATGTCCACAGGCCCAGAGCCCCGGCTTTGTGCTGGCCCAGACCTGGGAGGGAAAATGCCCCCGCCCCCGTTCATGGCAGCCCCCGTCCCCCAGCGGCTGGGCACACAGTAGGCTGCTTATTTCGACAACGGCGACTGGCCGGGGGTTGAAAAGAACTAAGTCTTCCCGGGCAGCACCGCAATGAAGCCTCCGTTGGAGCCGATGGCCCATTTAGACGCGCGGGATTCCCGCCAACATTAAGCGAGGCCAGGGGCCCCTGCTGCCTGCCTCACTCACGCCCCCTGGTGGTCACGCTGCAGGTGCAGGTGGAAGGCAGCGCCGTGCACAGTAACTACTGTGTGCAGGTGGAGGTGCGCGCGCGGCCGCCGGTCAGCGTGATCTCGGAGGGCACGCACCTGTTCGTCCCCAGGACCCCCTCGTCCACCGTCGTGCTCACGGGGTCCCTGTCCTACGACCCCGACTGGCCTGGGGCTGCGCTCAGGTGAGCACGGGGGTGGGGCTGGGTGGACACCCCGCCCACCTCCCCACCCCCACCCCCACTCAGCTCTGGAGCCACTGGCTTATCATTTAAACATTCAAAGCGCCTGAATTTCGATTAACCAAAACACACGTAGGATCAAACTATGAGGGAGTTCGGGGCGGGGCGGCTGGAAACAAGCACAAGCTGCTTCCGAGGTCAGCGGTCACGGGGTGGCGGGTTGCAGGCCGGGACGCGAGGGCTGCCTCCGCCGTCCCTGCGGCCGCAGCAGCCGCCGGGGCTGGGGGACAGCAGAGGCTCGTCCTCACGCCTGGAGACCAGAGGGTCGGTGCGCGGGCGGGCCCACACCCGGGGAGGGCGGCTCCTGCTGCGTCCTCACCTCGCAGGAGGCGGGGGCTCTGCAGGGCTCTTCGTGGGGACACCGACCCCATCCACGAGCCTTTACCTCCCACAGGCCCCACACCTGACGGCATCCCCGTGGGGCTAGGGTTGCCCCTACGTGAATTTGGGGGGGCGACACCTTCTGTCCATGGCAAATACGCGACTTTGTGCTAAAACCACTGGTCTGGGAGACCATTGGCTCGGGGGGGCTGGATTTCCGAGCGCGGCGCATCGCTCCGCGGCGGCTCCCCGCTCCGCGGCGGCTCCCTCCATGCTGGGTCCCCTGGCGCGCGCCTCAGTCTCCACCCAGCACCCCCCACGCCCGCCCTCCGCCGCGGGGGGCCTGACCCAGTGTCCACACGCCATTCGCCTCCAGCGCGGACCCTCCATGGGTGCCATCCGTGTGCTCCCTGGAGGCCCCAGGGGAGCCCCTTAGTGGCCACCTGACCCACCTGAGCAGGCCCGCCAGCCCCTCCAACGCCTCCCCCAGGTATCACTGGACGTGCGCCCCGGCCAGCGCCCCCGGGCGCCCCTGCTTTGCCGGGCCCGGTGCCCACAGCCTGGACGCCCGGGCCCCCGCCCTGGCCTTCGCAGCAGACTCCCTCAGCAGCAGCTACGACCAGTTTCTCGTGACGCTGACGGTGTCCAGCCGCGGCCGGAACTCCTCAGAGGCGCAGGTGTTCCTGTCCACCCTCCCCGCCTCGGCCCTCAGGTGCCACCTGCCTGCCGTCCCCACTGCGCCTGTCTCAGGGGTGGTCCTGGGGGGCCCCGTGCCTGTCTGGGCTGGGAGCCACCACTGAGTCCCACTGGGCACGCAGGATGTGGGGCCCCGACACCAACATGCTGGGCGGTGGGTGAGCTCCAGAGGGCTTCCTGGAGGAAGCCGCACAGCCTCTCTGAGCTCCGGGGGGTGTGGAGGTGCGTCTGTCCTCTGCGCCTCGGCGCTGTCACCTGAGGTCGTGCCGGGTGGAGTCGCTGCAGGCTGGGCCGCCTGTAAGTCCCGGTCACGGGGACTGCGATTCCACTGTGACCCACAGAACAAAGGCCAGTGGAGGGCGATTCAAGGAAACGGGACCCTCAAATCAGGGAGCTCGCGCTGCTCCCTGAACGCGGAGCCCGATTGCGCCTTGCAGACTCGTGCACGTGTCCTGGGCCGCCTTCCCTGGTGTCCCCGTGAACTGGAACGAGCAGCTGTCGCTGCGGGCGGCCTGTGAGGGCTGCGGGGAGGCCGCCGTGCTCACCTACTCCTGGGACCTCTTCCTGGTCAACGCGACAGGGAGGGACCGCGAGGAAGGTACGGGCCACGGCGCTGCATTCCGTTGGCTGAGCGAGCAGTTATTTTGAGATGGCTGAAAAATTTGCGAAACCTGATTTGCGGGCCCCTGCGCCTGGTCTTGGCCACGAGTTGTCACGTCCCCATCGCTCCTGGTTTCACGCTCCTGTGGACGGAGGCTCGGAGGCTGCGCCTTGGCCGGGGGTGCCGGGAGGGGCTGCCTGGAGGCTGCTCCCTGTACCAGCTGGGGCAGGGCTCCTGGCGTAGAGACGCACGTGCCCTGTGAAGTGACACGTGGCACAGCCACCCTCCAGGGTCCCGTCTTTCCTGGCGCTGCTGTCCTCAGGGTCCGTGTGGCCATGAGGCTGGCGGGGGAGCCGGTGGACACCGGCCCTCGCTCCCACCGCGGCTGTGTCTCGGAGCTGCTCCGGGACTCCATTTCTGGGAGAAATGTGGGTCCTGAGAATCTGCAGGGAGGGAAGTCCAGGGAGACGGGCGGGCCAGCCTCTGGCCACTGCCGCCCGGCCCCCACCGGCCGCTGGTCTGCCCCATGAGCACTTCTCACGATGATGTTGGGCTTAAGACAGAAGGTGCGGGTGGAATCTGTTCTAAATTCTTAGAAACCAATTTGGGTCCAAGTCTTTGATACTCTGAAATCTTCGTTTAAGTCCCCTTTTGCAGAACCGTGGGACTGCTGGGCCTCTTGGACTTTGGGGACGGATTGGAGCCACCAGAGTCACACCCCCCGTCCCCGGGGCCAGGCGGGGCAGAGCCGCCTGCCACGCCTGCGCCGTCCTCGCGGGCGCGGTGGCCGCGGGCCCCGGGCCGGCCGGACCTCTCAGCCGTGGGCAGAGCCTCCACAGGGCCCACAGTCCCTGTGCACCACGTCCCTGCTGCGGGCGACACTGTGGTCCCAGACGGGGATCCCTGGGACGAGGGGACCCCGGCGCCCCCGCCCCCTCCCCCGCCTGGTAAGTGCCGCCCCTGGTGTGGGTGTGGGGTCACACCTCCGCGGGGCCCACCCGGCGCCCGCCCCGCCCATCGGGCCGCCCCGCCCATCGGGCCTGCCCCGCTCCGGTCCCCGGACGCGGGCCGTCCGGCTGCAGCCGCATGCTGGGCCCGTCACCTCCTCGTCCTTCCTCCCCGGATGACCAACGGGCTCCCTGCAGCGCCGGGTTTCAGGCTGGACAGAAACGAGTTCTGTGCCCGGAAGCTGGGAGGAGCTCCCCGTCAGGCACCCAGGTCCTGGCCAGCGCCCGCCTCCTCTGTCACCACCTGTCCCTCGCCCTGCTACCCTGTGGCCGCTCTCGGTCACAGGAGACGGTGCTGCGCCTGGGGCCCCGGCCAAGGCCGCGGCACCGGAGCCCCAGCCTCCGGGTAGCTGTGGGCGGGCGCCGTGGGTCCCTCAGGCCGGGGGAGGGAAGCACCCGGGGGGCAGAGGAGTGACAGTGGCAGCGGACGGTCATGCCAGCCTCTCCTGTAAGAGGCAAGAGCAAGGCCTGTCCCCATGAGGACAGCCCCAGGCCTCGTTGCCCACCCCCTGCCCCCGTGACCACGTGGAGCCCCAGCCATCGGGGCGGGGAGGACAGGGACGCCGCCTCCCGCTGCCTCGAAGCGCTGAGCACGGCCCGCGAGGGGTTCGCCTCTGCGGGGCGGGGCTCAGGCCCGAAACGGGCCCGGGCGGCGTGTGTGCCCCGGGGAGCCGAATGAATGTCAGGGGGTCTGGCCCCCACGAGGCACCCTCCTGTGGTCCTGTGCGCAGACTTGGAAGCCTATTACAGCGACATCCAGGAAGCGGCGCCATCGAAAGGAAGGGGGACCGCCCACCGTGAGTCTGCGCTCAGGCCTCCGCCCCGCCCACGCCCCGTCCTCCGCCCCCACCCCCGCAGCCGGCGCGCACGCCCCCCTGCCCGCCAAGGCCGAGGGGAGGGCGACGCCCCTTGGGGCAGCACAGCCGGGCCCTATTTTCAGCTGGGGGTCCCCAGCTCAGGCACCCAGAGGAGCCCAGGCCCGGGGACGCCTGTCCCCCGCCCTCGGTCCATGGGCCAGCTCTCACCGGCCCGAACGCCTCCCTCAACGTTCTCCCTCCTTCCCTGGGGGCTGCGGTCCCTGCCCGGAAGCCCCGTTCCGGTCTCATGCGCCCCCAACCCCTGCCCCGGCCCAAGGCCGGCCCCCGCCCCGCCCCGCCCCCCCCCCCCCGCCCACTGTACTCTCAGGCGCTTCCTGCCGCTGCCCCTCTGAGCTCTGCAACGGAATCATTTCCTTTCTTTAAAATAATTTTTTACTTTTTAATTTCAGTTGATATATAACACTGTGTTCATTTCAGGTGTACGACATAGTGATTAGACAGACATATGGGATCCAGCACAAATAACACCCTTTTTTATTACAAAATCTTTCATTACAAAATCATAGGCATGTCATTCTGTAACGTGACAATATCACACTTGAGCACACCCTGCGACATTTTAGGTGAAATGTTCAAATCAAAAGTATAAATTATGGCACCCGTATTACTGCCCTACCAGCTGCGCTCAAGCAGGCAGGGTTCCTGCCGCCGGACCCTGTGTGTCTTGCAACGTGTCCCCCCCGACGTTTCCAGGCCCCGCCCGACAGCACACGCAGGCATCACGCCGTTCCGGCCACCCGTCCTGTGCTGGACCTCGCGTCCCGTGACGGCTCCGGGGCCACCAGCCTGTCCGCCCCGGTCCCCCCAGTCTCCTCTGTGTCTGCCTCTTTGTATTCTGTTCACTATTTTGTTCTTTAGAGTCCATGTGTCAGGAAAACTATACAGTTTTGGTCTTTCTCTCACTGACCTCGTTTAACACAACACCGTCTAGGCCCGCCCACGGCGCTGCAGGCGGCAACTCCGTTCCTTTTTACCGACCGTCGCGCTCCTTTGTATTTAGGAGCCGTGCCTTTATCCGCTGTCTCCAGGCCCCCAGGGCAGCTTCCAGAGCCGGCGGCCGCCCCCGCGTGCGAACACAGGGCGCCTGGGGCCTGTCCGACCAGGTCCTCGGGTGCTTCAGACAGACCCCCAGTGGCGGCATTTCTGGGTCCGTCTTTGGCTCGTTGTGCCCGCGCAGGTGTTGCTGCCGGGCCCTTTAAGGCCCGGTTGCCATGAGGCAGCTTCGCCGGCCCCGTGGGTTCAGCCTCCGTGTCCCCGGCCCTCGCAGGCCCCTGGGGGCGGCGCGTGTGAAGCCTGGCTGCTGGCCCGCTCAGCGTCTGCGCCCTCAGGCCAGAGCGTCTAATCCGTTCCCACTTACAGTGGTGGCGGAGGGACAGCCGTTGTTGCCATTTTATTACTTACTTTTTTTATCTTTTTTCCTTCTTTTTTTCAAAAAAGTCCCTTTACCGTTTTTTGAAAAACTGGCTTGGCGGTGGTGAAGTCCTTTAGCTTCCTCTTGTCCGGGAAGGGACAGCTGATGCCAGAGGGGCACTCGTTGTCCCCTCGCTGGGCGCGGTGCCCGCTGCGTTGGCGCTCGGCGGGCCCGTGATCGGGGGCAGGGAGCGACCGGCGGGCCCGTGATCGGGGGCAGGGAGCGACCGGCGGGCCCGTGATCGGGGGCAGGGAGCGACCGGCGGGCCCGTGATCGGGGGCAGGGAGTGAGCGACCGGCGGGCCCGTGATCGGGGGCAGGGAGCGACCGGCGGGCCCGTGATCGGGGGCAGGGAGCGACCGGCGGCCCGTGATCGGGGGCAGGCGGGCGGCTGGGAGCGGTCTCTCCTGGGCCGAGGCGTCCTCGTCACGCTCCCTGCGCTGTGCCCCACGGCCCTGCCCTGAGCCGCCCGGGCCCGGCTCCCCAGGTCGCCCACGTGCCTTCTGTCCCGGCACGTCCACCTTAGGGGCTGTCTCATGCACGGCGGGTGCGTAGGAAGTGACACGGAGTGAGGGAAGGCGCTGCGTTCACAGAGCCTTCTCCCCGAGGGCTGAGTCCGGTCCCACGCCCAGCACGGGTCCGTTGTACCGCTTCGCCCCTTGTATTTGAAGGCCGGAGTCAGCGTCCTCCCTGCTCTGAGCCCCTCCACCCCACCCCGGTTCTGCCCCGCCCGCCTCTGAAGGGGCCCCTTTCCGCCCCACCTCCCCCCCCCCTCCATCGCCTGCTTCGCGCTGCGCTGGGGGCGGGGCCTCCGCCTGTGTTCCCACGTGCTCAGCCGGACGCCCAGCCCGCAGGCTCGCTCTGCTCCGCGGCCGTGGGTCCAGTAGGCGCACCTGGGCCTCAGGGGCCCAAGCACAGCTGTGCTGAGTGGAGCGCCACGGCGCACGCCCCACGTGTGGAGGGTGGAGAGTTTAGATAAGCAGGGCCCGGCCAGAGCGGAAGGGGCGCGATTGTGGCCGCGAGCGGCTGGGGCTCTCGGGAGACCCTGGCGGCCTTTCCCCGACCGTCCCGGCCCCGCCTGTCTCCCCAGGGACCCACCCGCACCCGCACCCTCCGGGGCCGGGACCGAGTGCCAGCGCCGACGAGAGCCGCAGGGACGGGGACAACCTGGTGGGCCCCCTCCTCCCCGCCTGGGGCGCCAGGCCTGCGCTGCTGGTCGACTGGCCCAAGTCCCCCGTGAGCCGAGCTGCTTTCCAGAGCTACACGGCGTCTGGTACGAGCGCCCCCTTTGTCTGGGCCCTCGGCTGTCCCAGGGTGGGACACAGGCCCCTGCCCTTGCCCTGCGCCTTCTCCGTGGACCAGGCAAGGCTGGGGCACACGGCCTCGGCCGGGTGGGGTTGGGGGAAGGGCCCGCCTCCCAGGGCCTGCGGGCCGGGCCGCACTGCAGGCGGAGGCGCCCAGGCCGCCCCAGGTGCGGGGGCCCCGGTGTGGGGGCGGTGCCGGCCCGTGGTGAGCGTGTCCTCCGGGGCGTGGGCGCTGCCTCTGCGGGGGGTGGCTGGCTGCTGGGTCCGCCGTCCCCTCTGCGGAGCCCCCGGTTTCCCTGCTGTCAGGCGATGTGGAACCGGCGGTCGCCCGGGCGCCCGGACTGCCCGCCCTCGGGGGCTTTCCTGCTCTGGGCGCACAGGTCAGGGGGCCTCTGTCTCCTGGGGGATCACCGTCCCTGGCGGCCACACCCAGGCCCCGGGGATCCCCCTGCGGACACTTCAGTGTTGCTTTGAAGAGGGCAAACTAATTAAGTGGGTGAACCCACCCGTGAACGCAGGACTCGGTCCCCCCGAGTCCTGTCGGCGTCTGGGACGACAGCGTCCCCTCTGACCTGGCTGCTGCCGAGCTCAGGTTGCCTGTCGGGTGGGAGGCCAGACAGGAGCTTCCAGCTCCGTGACGAGGGCGACCACCGCTGCCGGCAGGGCGAACGGGCACCTGCGTCACCGTCCCCTCGGGGGTGTGCCTGCCTCGCTGTTCCCCCGAGTCCCTGGTGAGCGTGTCCCTGCCGCCCTCCTTCCCCGTAGGGATCACGGGACAGACGGTGACAGTAAAGCCGTACTCACTGAGCCCTGGCGCGACATACGTCCTGCAAGCCGCCGTGGGTAGGTGCCGCCGCCGCCGGGCCTGCCGCGGGGAGGGGAGGGTCCCGGCTCTCGGCCGCTCTTCCTGCCGCTGCAGCCCCTCGTGCCAGGGGCCCGGTGTCCCCTCCGTGGCCACTGCTACCTCCCTGCTCATCGGCACCTGCGGTCCGGCCGCCAGAGAGGGAGGTCTGGTGACTGCAGTTGCCGCCTGTGGCCTCCGCTGCGTCCCCCTCGGGGGCAGGGCGAGCGGAGGCGGTGCCTTCCATTCCGTTGCGTGTGCGTTTTGCGGTCCTGGGCAGCTTGCCGCCTCCCTGCGTGCCGGTGGGCGGCTTGTACGCCGGCCGGAGGGCCTGCCGTGCCGCTCCTGGTCAGCGCTGCTCCAAACGTCTGCGTGTAGACCTGACCCGTGTTCCTCTGGTGTTTCCGTGACTCGGGTGATGTCTTCCTTCTGGGGGGTTTCCAGACGCTTCCCCCGTGTCTGCGGTGCTCAGTGCCCCACAAGCCCAGAGGGGTCAGCGGTTTACAGGGCGGGAGGGTTTGGCTCCGTGTCCACATCTGGCAGTGACTGAGGTCCATTGTGTCTCCGTTTCCCCATCTTGTTCACCATCGGCTCACCCAAGTGAGAAACACACGGTCAGCTTATGTCTGACGCCCCGGGAGCGTTTTGCTGAAACGGTCCTCCTGCCCCGCCCACGATGCGTTCAGACGCCAAGGCCTGGGTCTCAGGAAGCCCGCCCTCAGCGGGGCCACGGTCGGAGCCAGGGAGGACCCGGGTGGGTCCCAGCCCTTGCCGCCACCCCCATCGCCCCCCTCGCCCCGTGGCCGCCTCAGCGGCGCCCGCTCCTCCCCCCGTGCCCCTCCCAAGCTCAGCGCCGTCCCCGTCCCCTCATCTGGCCTGTGCTGTGGCGTCCGTGTCCAGGGTGGGGGACGGCGGGACGGGGTGACATGGGGACAGGCCGTAGCACGGGGTGTGGGGGTGCACCTGCTGGCAGCGTAGGATCAGCATCGTCCCTGTTTTAAATGGCTTAGCACCTGTGACTCGCTCCTGTCGTTCATCTCAAGACAGACGCCAGGAGTGAGAAACAGCGTAGAGTAATTAACGGCAGCAGAAAACGGATAGTAAGTAGCACGTTCAGTGGTTGGGGTGTTTACTAGAGGATACTGTCTTACGACACAGATGCTGAACGCCCTTGGGCGTCGCAGAAAACACGTGCAGTATCAGCACAGCTAATGAGGGCGTGTGGGAAGCCATGCCGGCGCCGCAGCGTCACGCCCGCGGCCCCGCTCGGTTCCTACGCCGCTTGCGCACGCGCCGCCTGCAGAGGCCGGCTTTGCTCAGGGTGGGCTCTGCCGGCCCGGCTGTTGCCTGGCTCCCTGTGGGGACCTGGCCTGTACGTCCCCCCATCTCCTGGGGCCTCGGGCATGGCTGCCCCGCCAAGGCAGCACCCAGCAAACAGGGTTACGTATGTGGGTGCCGCCCAGAGGGGGTCCCCGGTCCCCCAGAGTCCCCTGGAGGACGTGCTAACTAGCACCAGTGGCGGGGCCCTTGGTCCTGACCCCCCAGGGCTGGCGGCCCAGGAACCCAGCTGCAGCGGGGACGCGGGGACGCGACGCCGCAGGTCTGGGGGCCCACGGGCCCGTGTGCTCGGAGCCCTGGGTCCGCTGTCATCCCCCAGCGTGGGGGTCACCCTGTGTCCTCCTCCGCAGCTTCGGGGCACAGCTTTCTAGGGAAAGCGCAGCTGTACCTGACCGTCAACCCAGCTCCGTGGGGCGTGGCCTGCCAGGTGCAGCCGCCTCGTGGCCTCGAGGTCCACACCGTCTTCAGCGTCTTCTGCACGTCCGGGAGGCCGGTGAGCATGGCAACCCCTGCGTGGTCCTCAGCCCTCCCTGCAGCCTCCACCCGGACGCCCTGCTCTGCGCTCTGAGGCCGGGTGCCGTTGCCACAAGGGCACCCCCTGTCTGCGTGTGCCCCGGCAGGACGTGGAGGGGCAGCCTCGAGCGCCGCGCGTCTGTGGCTGTCGGGAGGCCCCAGGCCAGGAGGGCACACCCCCCCCCACCCCGGGCGACAGGCGCAGCCTGGGGGGCGGCCCCTGGGCCCCGTGGACCAGGGGGCCCTGGAGGCAGGAGGTCGCATCTGCTTGTGCGATGGGGACGCTGGTCACAGCCGCCCACGCCTCTGTGGGAGGAAGTGGGTGTTGTCGTCGGTCTGTTCACCGGCGCTTTCTTTGCTCCCTGGAACGGGCGGCAGGACTTCCACTACGAGTTTAGCTACCGGGTGGGCAACGCCTCCCAGCGCACCCTGTACCGTGGGACCGACGCCCAGCACTACTTCGCGCTGCCTGCGGGGGAGCCCGGGGACAACTACCAGGGTGAGTCACCCGGTGACCGGGGCGTGGGCTGCATTTGCTTCCAGTCCTGAACCTTTCCCCTGGTTTCCCAAAATTAAAGAGACAACACCCGTACTTACCCACCTGCGTAAGCGGAATGCTTTTCCGTGCTGGTCGGTCAACTGCCACCTCTTGAGCAGAAAGGACGCGTCGAGCAAGTGCGTTTTGGAACCCGAGCCCCCTGTCAACGAGAAAGTGCCAGGAGCTCTCGGCCTCTGTGAATCAGGCACCCGCGACGCGGCCGACCCTTGTTTACTCATGGAGCGCGTGGTCCCTGGCCAAGCCGGCGTTTGCAGGGGGAGCCGTGTCCTGGTCTCCCGCGGCGGGGAGCCTGTGGGGCAGGGTGCAGGGCTGGGGCCGGCTGTCCTCGGACCCCCGGCCCCGTCCGCCCTCCGGCTGAGGCCCTCCCCGGGACCCGCTTCCCCTTGGACGTTGGACGCAGAGCCAAACAGGAGGACGTTGGGGTGGACCCGGCTCCGCCTCACCTGCAGGCCCCCCACAGCCTGGGCCTGTCGCAGGGAGGGGTTCCTGAATCCCCAACAGCCACCTCCTGCCGCGCCCCTGAGTCCTTGCGCCTACTCCCCTTCCCCGGGGGCTTCCCCGGGGCTTCTCTGGCCTCCCGCGGGGCCTGTGTGCTCCTGGACCTCTCGGGGCTGGTTCTAGCGGAGCTGCGGCCCTGGACGCCGCGTCCCCTGCTCTGGGCCTCCCGGTCCCTGTTTACCCGTCTTACACGCGTCGCCTTTCTGCCATGACAGACTCGGGAGCCGGCAGGGGTCCTGCGGGGGCGTCTCAGTGCTGTGGGCGCGCGACGCAGGGCGGGCGGTAGTGGGCAAGCGGAGAACCCGCTCCCTGGCCCGCGCATGGCGGTCACCTGCCCTCCACGGGGACGCAGGGGCCCGCTGGCCCCCTCCCCCTCCCCCTCCCCCTCCCCCTCCCCCTCCCCCTCCCCCTCCCCCTCCCCCTCTGCTGTTCTGTTTCTTGCGGGGAGCGGCCACCGCCCAGGCATGCGGACGGGCCAGCAGGGGCTGGGACCACCCTGCAGGCCTGTCCCTCTGGCCGTCGGCACCTGCAGAAGCACCTGCCGACGGCCCTCGGACCCTCCGCTACCGTGTCCTTTCCAGTCCTGGTGTCCACGGTGATCACCGACGGCGAAGGCTCCCGGACGCTGCCCTGCGCCACCGCCGTGACCGTGCTGCCCCGTCGCCATGGGGACCGCTGCCCCGGCGAGGACGTGTGAGCGAGCCTCGCCTGCCCCCCCGCCCCCGTCGCGGCCCCCCTGCAGAGTGCGCAGCGGCTCCTGGCCTGCGCCCAGTCCCCCGCGTCTGCCCAGCTTCGTGCTCTGCTCTGGGCCTGGCACGCGGGCTCCCTCCCTGAAGCAGCGCCCGGTCTCCTGGGGCGTCCCCCCACCCAACCCTGCACACGGCGCAGGTCGCCGGTCGCCCACCGCAGGTGCACACGTCCTTGGGTTTCTGCACACGTGCAGAGCGGTGATTCTAGTTAGGAGCATTTTCACCGTCCCCCAAAACCGCCTTCTCGTGGGCAGTCACGTCCCTGCCCCTGTCCCGCTCCCTGTCCCGAGTGGCAGCGCGGCCCCTGTCCCGCTCTGCGCTGCCTCCCTTTGCAGGCTTGCTCCTGCGTCGCTCTGCTGGCTCCTCGTGCCAGTTCGGCGCTGATGTAGGTGCTTACAGAGTCGACATTGTGGCTCTTCGGGTCCTTCTGGAGTCCCCTGCCCCGCCCAGCTCCTCTGCGAGCCCCTCTCTCTGCCCCGCCCCCGCCAAGGAGCGTCTGTAACGGAGGTCCCCCCTCCATGGCCGGCGGGTGCGCGCTGCCGTGTGTCAGAGCAGCCCCGTGGCCCATCTGTTTCCCGCAGGTACGATTCCAGCCTGAAAAGCCTGTCTGCCCTCCGGCTGACGGGGCGCCCTGCGGACATCCGGAACTACGTCTCCATGACGGCCAGGGCCCTGCGTCGCTGGGCGAGGGACGGGGGTCCCTCCTGCGGCCTGTGGTCCCGCATGCAGGACGTGCTCCTTTCTGCGGTGTGCGCTTCAGCGGCCCAGGACCAGGTGCGGCCTGGGCCCGCGTCGGCGCGGCAGCGACCGGCTGGCCAGCTCACACGTGGGCGGCCGCGCTCGGGACGCCCGCTCGGGACACCTCCGTGCCGGGGCTGCCACGTGGCTGTGGCCTCGCCTGCTCCTGGGTCTTACAGACCCGCACAGCTGGCTTCCTAGAGAGAGTGGCAAAGCCACCGTCCCCGCAGATAGGCCCACGTTGCTGTAGGAGGAAGTTAGGTGAACACACCCCGATTTTACCTCGGTGGCAACGTGCAGCAGTTAGGGCTACGACCGGTGCGGCCTCCAAGACCCCGACCTTGCCCACAGCGCGCCGGAGGCCCCTGTCCCCACGCCGTCATAGAGCAGTGACATCCGAGGGCACGCGGGTCGCTGTCTCCCTGGCGCGGGCGCTGGTATCACCCTGCTCCCCATCGTTCCCTCTCACCCTCGCTGGGGCCCCCCCGGGGATGGCCGCCTGGTCCCCGATATGTGTCCCCTCCCGAAGGGGCTGGGGTGCCTCACAAGCAGGAAACTGGGACAGGCGGGTGGTCCCCCCGAACGCCGCAGGCGCCCCTCAGCCCCTGAACCCAGGAGTGGGGCGTTGGCCCACGCGAGCGGAGCCGCGGCCGGGCTGACCGCCTCCGCCCGGCCCCCGCCCCCTTGTCCTGCCCAGGAGGAAGTGGCCGACTCTGTCCTCGTGATGCGCGACCTCCTCCGCCTCCCCAGCAAGGTGAGCCCCTCTTGCCGAGAGCCCCCCCTGCTTTCTGTCTCATGACGAGGACCTCAGTCAGTTCCAAAGACGGAGCTGCGCCAAGTAGTCGGGGCCCTTGGATCAGAAGCAGGACTTCCTCTAAGAATGAGGTTGCGCGGCCACCCCGAGGCCACCGCTGACCCCTTTCCTGACGCCGCAGCCTGAAACCGGCCGTGCACTTCGGGTCAGATGAAAGGTTATTCTTTCCCTTCTGCGTCTCTGTGGATGACAAGGTGCCTCGTCACCATCTGGGACGATTCGCAGTGTTTCTGTGTATTGCCCAACTAGTTTTATTGCTGGGAACAGCGTTTCATTTTAGGAAGATTCCTGAGCCAGGTGCCGTTCAACCCAGCGCGGCCGGCGGAGAGAACCTCTGTGCCCTCCCGCAATGGGCGCGTGCCAGCAGCTAAGGGGCGCGCGGGGGCCCCGTGCTGACCCTCGGCATGCACGCGGGGGCTCCGGCCGCTGGCCGCCAGGCGCCGCGCACGGTCTGGGCCCTTGAAGCCCGAGCCGGGGGGTCACGGCCGGGCTTGCCGGCTGTCCCCGGCCTGCGGGCACGTGCCTGGAAGAGCCTTGTCCGTCCGCAGCACCTCCCGCTGTCTGTGAACAGAGCGGTGCCTGAGACTTGCGGCTCAGCCCTCCGGTAGCCGAGGGGCTGTCCCCTGCTGTCCCGTGGGCTCAGAAATGTCCACGGGGAGGGGTCAGGAAAAGGGAAGGGCTTTCACTGGCAAAGTTAATGAAGGCATTGCAGGGGCCTCGTTGTACCAGGCAACAGCCGCAGTTATTTGGCAGCAGGAACGGGGACCATGTGGCTGGAAGACAGGATGGCCATGGAGGGAGAGAAGGTTCTAGAAGGAGGGGGGGCCCCTTCGGGAAGGGACGTGTGAGGTGGTGGATGGGGTTCAAAGCAAGTAGCCTCTTGGCATCAAGGGCTGTGAGAGACCGTTCTTTTCCTGTGAGTGAGGAAGGGCTTCCTGGTTGAGAGCACGCCCGACACGCCCCCCTCCCCCCGGCCGCCTTCTCAGGGAGGCGGACGTCCTGGCCGCGGGCCCCCGAGAACGGGCTCCAGGCCAGCGCTGGACGTCAGCCCACGGCGGCCACCTGCACGAGTCACAGTTCGCCCTCCGAGAGTCAGCTTCCTGGCCCGTGAAAGGACCAAGAGGACGAGAATGTCCCGGCCACTTGTCGAAACCAGACTCGTTTGGCAGAGGCACTTGTTCTTGTCACTTCGCGGGTCAGGATGCTGACGACCAGGAGCCGACCGTCGCTTCTGCAGTCGGTGCCGGCCGGGCCGGGCGCTTGCGCAGAACTGTCGCCCAACGCCGGCGACGCAGCAGCGCCTCATTCTGTGTTTCCACGCAGCTAAGCTCCGCCAGCGCCGCCCTCATCCTCGGCTACACGCGGGCGCTCCTGGCTCCCGGCCAGCCCTCCGCGGGTGTCCTGGTGGACGTGGGGCAGGTCCGGGAGCTGGTCCTGCTGGTGTCTGCGGTCCTGGAGGGCGCTGGCCACCATCCCCAGGGGGACGCGGCCCTCCTGCTCGAGGAAGGCATTCGGGTCATCTCGGACGTGCTGCTGGTACGTTGTCCCCCCAGCCGTGACAGCCCCTCCCTCCCCCGCCCCCCAGCCCGGTCCTGTGCAGCCACCGCGTCCCGAAACCCCAGCTGCGGGGGCTTCCGAGGAATGATGTCGGCGTGTTTGTGGTGCTGGGTGGCAGTGTGACGTTGGAAAGTTGTCCCTTGCTGTGTCCTGTGGGAGTGTTCCTGGTGACCGTGGCTGCTGCCTGGTCGCGTGGGCCCTGCCCAGCTTCCCTGGGGGGCGTCGGCCCGGAGCACGGTGTGGGTGCTCCCTGTCCCCCAGGACTGCGGGAGCCACGCGGACGGCCGCCGCCACCTGTGGGAGTGAGAGGCGGCCCTGCATGCAGAGCGGTTTCCACAGCCATGACCTTGGGGAATTGTCTCGGGGATGCGTTGGGCTCCTTCCAGAAGCTCCCGTGTCTCCTTGGTTCCCCGGTGTCCTCCACCCGCCAGACCTGCGGGTCGTCTCCCGGATACGGGGTGTGATGCCAGCAAACTAGAAAGCAAGCAGGCGCTCAGTCTGGGGTCCGTGGCCGCGGCCGACACGTTCACGCGCACAAGCCGCACACTGGGCACCCTTGCTCCGTGTCCCGTGTCCCGTGTCCCGTGTCCCCGACTCCCAGTCCCCGGCTGCCGGCTGCCGGCTCCCGGCTCCCGGCTCCCTCCAGCTGGGCCAGGCACCCCAGGAAGCGGGGTAGTTGTCACCAAGTGAATGAGATGCCCCAGGGAGGTGCTCCCCAACAGAAGCAAGTGGCCGGTGTCGCTGTCCCCCGGTAGAGCATCCCTGGGCCCCTGCCATTTCTGCCCCCACCCCGGGCCGCCCAGACAGCGGGCCATACATGTCAGCGCCGGTCCCTGCCGTTCTAGGGCTGCTTGTTGGCGGGCTGCGAGCGCCAGCTCCACGTGAGCGCCGGGCAGATGGCATTCCACGCGCAGCTGCATCGTGGCCCCGGGCGCTCCGTGCAGAGCCTGGGCCCCGCCCGGGTGCTGCTACCTGCGGACCTGGCTGGGCGAGGGGCGCCGAGCCCCTGCTACGTCAGCCAGCTCACGCTCTTCTGGGGGCGCCCCGCCCCGTGGGGACGCGCGCCTGGCCAGGTACAGCCCGCAGCGGCCGCCTCCTGCACGCAGCGATGGTGTGGGGGCGAAGACGGCGGGGACGCCGCGGCCCGTGTTCCCCTGGTGTCTGCCCCGGGGGCTGCTGCCTGGGCCCAGGACACAGGCTCCCTCAGGGTGTCCTGTGGGGTCGCGATGACCCACAGTCAGAGCCAGAGGCCGGTGCGGGTCTGAGTGTGTGTCCCAGCGAGAGTGGCCGCAGGGTCCCCAGGGGTTGGGGACAGGAGGGAACCAGCGTCGGCGGGCGTGTGGCAGCGGCCACACCGGACGGGTGGTGCCAGAGCCCCACGGCTCTGTGAGCGTGGGCTTCCCTTCTGCTTGTGTCCAGGGAGCCACATGCACGGCCCCGGGGGGGCGGGGGGCGGGGCAGAGCGCCCGCACCCCAGTGTTTTGTGTCCCAGACCCGCTCACGTGCCCTCCGACACGTCTCTGAGGGATGAGCATGCAAATGGGTGGCAAACTCATTATTCTGTTCGAAAGCATTCACACCCTCTTCTCAGGGAAACAGGCCTGGCCACGCGGCCCGTGAAAATAATTCCAGCCAACAAGTGAAAGAGACTTAGAAAGCAAAGTTGCAAGGGCGGCTCTGTAAAGACTCGCCTCTGTGGAGGCCTCTGGGCTCCGGGGGCAGCTTGTCCCAGGCGCCCGGGGCTCCCAAAGCCCGACCCGTCGCCCCTGCTCAGGGACCTGCCCCGGGGAAACGAGAGCAAGGCTTGCTTCACAGCCAAAGGCTTGGTGTGTGCGTTCAAAGCAACACGCGTTCTCATAGCCTGGAGAGAAATGTACCTGAGCCTCCGGCAGACAGATGAGTCCACTTGTCCCTTAAAGAATCAGGAGAATCCCTCCGTTGCCAATTAAACCATGTCTGTCAGGGGTCCTAGAGATTTCGGAAGATTTCATGCAAAAAGTAGAGCCTTTATCCCCTGCCTAGCGTGTCCCCAACACCCAGGAACATTTCTGATGTAACTCCCAATGGAGTTCCTGGCCCATCCACGCTCGGGGGGGCACCTCCGCTGGCCGCGCTCGGCACGCGTGGCTTTTCCCTGGCACGTGGATCAACTCCAGGGGTGATTAACTGAAGTGGGAGCAGCAGAAACGCAGCCCCTCTCACCCCGGCCCGGGCCCTGCTGGTCCAGCCGATGAGCCCGACTTTGCCTGAGCCCCGCCCCCGCCAGGCCCGCAGCGTGAGGGGTGGCAGCGACGGAGCGGCTGCCGCCACCGCCTGAGGTGCGCACTGTGTCCCCAGGTGGGCGCGGTGCTCGCCCTGTCCTTGCACCGCTGGCCCAGCGGGGGCCCCCTCTCCGTGCAGGGGCTGAGGACGCCCGTGACCGTGGAGTTCGGGGAAGACGATGGCCCGGTAAGGACAGCCCTGCCCGGTCCCCTCAGCCGCGCTGCGGCTGCTCCGGTGACGTGGGACGTCTTGTCTTTTCCGAGGGCAAACCCGGCTTGTCTCCCGTGTGCTGGCAGGGCCACGGCGGCGGGGACCCAGCGTTCGTGTTGCTTCGGGAGGCCGTGAACGTGCACCGCTTCGCGGGGCTCTCGGCGGCCCCCGGGGAGTCCCTGCAGATCCGCATCGCGTTCTCCCCGCCCGCCGCCAGGGCCTTCCCGGTCGCGGTGCTGGTGAGGTGCGCGGGCGATGCTGCGGCCGGGACGGGGCTGGAGTGAGAGGCCGGCCGGGTGAGGAGACCCGGTGGCCGTGCCTCGGAGACGGGCGCCTGCCCCTGTTTCCGGGACTGTCAGGCGGGGCTGGCGTCGGGCCTGGGGGTCTACGTCTCAGTGCGCACCTGGGCTGGGACCCCTCGGAATTTGTCGTCTTAAGGGAAAAAACTTCCAGGCGATGAAATTAGGGAACGTGGCAAACGCACTGTCAGTGACGCTGTGTTTCTGAGACTTGGGAAGTGGCCCCCCACCCCGATGACAGTGACGTCACACACGGCCACTAAGTCACTGGGTACCAGCTCACAAAACTGTGCGGCTGCCTTTGGGAGGAGAAGCCAAACGTGACCAGACGCCGCGGCTTCCTCTGCCCCCAGGTTCTCCGAGAGGCCGACGCCTTCGGATTTTCTGCTGAAGCGGACGCACACCTGGGAGGGGCTCACGGCACACGTTTCCGTGCCGGCCGCCTCACTGCGAGGTCGGTGGGCAAGCCGCCCCTCGCCCTCGGCTCTGTCCCCGGACCGGGCCCCGCTGTGGCACGCACGTGCGTCGTGGGCTGTGCCGTGCTCGGCCCCTCCCCACTGCCCGCCGCTCCGTCCACCTTGGGTCCGGGCTGGGCCTTCGGCAACCTTCAGGTTGTGACTCTGGGTGTACCCGTTCTCTTTCAGGCCGCACCTGGGGGTACCTGTCCTTGCTGGACGCGGACTATGACAGGGACCCTCCCAACAAGTACTTGGCCAAGGCTGTGAGGTACGGCCTGCGTGTCCAGGGCATCCGCTGCCTGCTCTGGGACGCGAGGCGGCAGGCAGCCAGGAGCCTCTCCCCACAGCCAGGAGCTTCGCCGGGAAAAGTGAGCTGCAGGTGCGGACACAGGGCTCGGGAGAATGGGGTGCTGGCGGCCGCGGCTCCTCTCGCGTGCGGCCCCGCCCCAGGCCCCTGTGAACACCTGGCCATGTGTGCGCGCCCCCTGCTGTGCCTGCCCCCGCCTGCCCCCGCCTGCCCCCGCCTGCCCCCGCCTGCCCCCGCCTGCCCCCGCCTGCCCCCGCCTGCCCCCGCCTGTCCAGGGGAGCAGGGTCGGGTGATTCACGTCCCTCTGCGCCTCCCTGACTCGTGGGGCCGCACACAGCGCGTGCGTGACCCACAGACGACTAAGTGGAGAATGGCAGAGCCACGTGGCTCAGCCCTGTGCTCCGTGGCTGGTGCAGGCCTTGACTCCACCCGGCTCCCCCGCCCCTCCCCACAGCTATGACCGCCCTGCCGCCTTCTCTGTCGCAAGAAGGGACCTGAATGTCACCTTTGAGACGGGTGACGTCTCCGAGCTGCGCAGGTGAGTCCCACTTCCTCACCAGGACACGCTGTGCCCGCGCCTCCCAGCGCCTCCCAGCGCTCAGGCCGCCCCCGGGGGAGCCGTCAGCTGTTCGGTCCCTGGTCCCGTGACCGCTTTGCTTTTCGAATATGCACGCTGGTAGGTAGCTGTCCCTCGGTGTCACCAAGTGAGCCACATCCTCCTGTCTGTCTCTCACCCGCGGTGGCGGGGGCGCGGCCACACGGGGGTCACTGTGGCCCAGCTCGAGGCCCATGCGGACAAGGCCGGCTGCGACCGACGGGGTGGGTCCGCGTCCGCGTGGCAGCGCTGCCCCGCCCGTGGGGCCTGCTCCCTCTCGGTGTCCTCAGAAGCGCCCCGTCTCAGGTGACACACCTAAGCGCCCTGCTCTGCAGCCGCTGTGCGGCTAGGACAGGTGTGCCTAGCCCCGAGGAGGGGACGCGGAGCGGGGGCGCGAGCTGCAGGCGCTTGTCTGCCTCCTCCATCGCCCACCGGCGGTGCCCGTGGCTCTGCCCAGGGCACGTCGGCAGGGAGCTTCCCCGCCCGGCGTGCTGGCTGTGACCATTCCCCATGACGGTCATGTCGTAGGGACGCCACCTTGACGGCGAGTCGGCCGTCAGGAGTTGTTTCTTCACAGACCAGTAGTGGGTCTCGTAGTCGGTGATCAGTCACGGATGCCGCCAATGCCGGGGGTGGGGGCCGCCCGGGGTCCAGGGACTGCGACTCGGGGCGGCCGGTACACCGCCGGGGTGGGGGGACCCCCTGTAGGCGCGGCAGCCTTTGTGTGCACGGGTTTGCTCTGCGTGCGTGTGTGCGCCTGCGTGGGGGCATGGCCGACCCCGGCTGCACACGTGTGCCCTGATGGACCCTCTCTGTTTCTCTCCTTCGTTTGCAGACGCCCGGAAAACCTGCTTCCCAGTCTTGTGGTGGTGGTGTTTACAGCTCTCTACACGCTTTTGCTTATTAAAAGCAAACGCATGGATCGTCGTGAACGAGAGAAAACTGGTTACATTTTCCTACAAGAGAACATCCCTCCCGGCCACCAGCCGTACGCCGTGGTCGTGGACACAGGCTTCCGGGCTCCAGCCCGCTTCACCGCAAAGGTGACTGGGCGCCCGGGAGACGCAGGCGGGGCGAGGACCCACGGCTCGGCAGTTCAGCGGTCGGTCTGTCCCTGTCACCCGGCACTGCTGGCCCCACCTTCCTCCTGGGAGGGCGCGCCCGCCTGCCCCCAGCTGCCTCAGGCCCCCCCCCCCCCCCCCCCCCCGGCTCACTGAGACTTTGAGAACCAGGTTGTGCTCCCCTGGTTAGTGTGGACCCGTCCCCTGTCACCCGCCACCCACTGGGAGACCTTGGGAGAAAGCACGAGAACGGCCCACACCGACTTTGGGGACAGGCAGGGACAGGCGTGGGGGCCGTGGCTTTCCAGGGGGAAAACGGCGACATTAAGTCTCTGCCACACCTTGTGTCCGAAAGGGAGCCCCTGAACCCGAGAGCGAAGGGTGGAAACCACTTAGAAATCCCTCAAAGGGAGCGCACGCTGGGCAATGGGGGAGCGTGGAAAAGAGCGAAGGCTTAACTGAAAGTTTGGCGGCTCGCGCTGTGTCAGAATTGCACGTTTCTGTGCTGCCAAAAGCCCGGCGCAGAGGCAAGGCCTGTCTGCGGCGCCCCTTGCCCGCCCAGTCCCCCCGTGCCCCCAGGCCCCGGGGCTGAGGGAGGAGGCGGCGCCCCCTCGTGAGGCGGGCACCGCCCCAGTGAATCAAGGGGGCGCCCAGCCTTTCCTGGCCTGCACTGGCAGGACTCCCCCCGGCAGCCCCGGGGGCCCGTGGGGCGGGGGAGGCGCTGGTACCAGGATGGGGGTGGGGGAGCAGGGGACCGGGGGGGGGCAGGGGGAGCAGCGACCGGGGCCCCACCCCCCCCCCACCCCCACCCCCACCCCCACCCCCACCCCGCACCCCGCACCCCGCACCCGGTGGGGTCGCGGGTCCAGCGCTTGGCCTCTCACCCCCGCGTCTCCGTGTCGAGGTTTACGCTGTCGTATACGGTGCCAACGGATGCTCGGGGCCCAGAGAGCTGTACTGCCCAGGGAAGCCCCTCTTCGAGCGGAACTCCAGACACACCTTCATCCTCAGGTACCGCGGCCTTGCTGCCGGTGCCTTCGGGGCACTGGGCCGGGGGTGGGGGGCCTGGCGGCAGCCGCGCCCTCTGGCAGGGACCACAGCTCCACGCGGGAGGTCCACGAAGTGCCACGTGAGGGGCGGGCGGAGGGAGGCGTTCTTTGCACGCTACTAATTCACCCTCAGAGCGGCACCTGCTTAGGGGGTCAGTTTCCGCCCAAACACGGGGGAGCAAGGCGCCGGGCAGTGTGGACACGGGGGCCGGAGGGAGGAGCCGTCCCCAGGAGAAGGCGCACCCGTCCTCTCCTGCAGAGGCTCGCGCTCGGGGTCTGCGGCTGCAGTGTTACCTGCTCGTTGAGGCTGAGGCTTAACAGTGGACAGGCCGCGCCAGGCAGACCCCAGTGGATCAGAGGGACCGGGTGTGGAGACGCTCCAGGGTCACGGCTCCGTGCGGCCGGGCGCCTCTGTCCTGTGACTGGAGGGCCTGCGGGAGTCGCCGCCCGGGCGCCCGTGCGTCCCCCTCTCTGCGCACGGGCCCCAGCCCACGAGGCTGACGGCGCCGTGTGTCCGCAGCACGCCGGCTCCGCTGGGCCCGCTCCGGAGGATCCGCCTCTGGCACGACAGCTGCGGGGCTTCTCCCGCCTGGTATGTCAGCCACGTGATGGTGCGGGAGCTGCGTGCGGGGCCGGCGCGCGGCTGGTTCTTCCCTGCCGAGTGCTGGCTGGCCGCGGGCAGGCGGGACGGCCGCGTGGAGCGGGAGCTGGCCTGCCTGCGCCGCGGCCTCGGCTTCCGGAAGGTAGGTGGCACCGGGACCCCGGGCAGCCACGGGCAGGACGCGGCGCCGGGCTCTGCCTGCCTGGGCCGTGGTCTCCCTGAACTCCCAGAGCGGGGGTTCGCGTGCCCCCAGTTCATGTCGGGCGCTGCGCAGCAGTGGCTGGGTCGGCCCTGTCCCCGTCTCTGTTGGCTCTCGTCCCGTGAAACGCATGCCCTGGGATTGTCACTCTGTGTTTTCGAATGCGACGCTGAGCACCAGCCGTTCTGTGGGTTGGGCTTCTGGGCTCAGCGCATGATGTGTGGCAGCCGCTGCAGGGCGACGGAGGACACCAAGGTGGGGGCCCTCCCGGCTCTCGGGGGGCTCAAAGCCCTGTGAAGTTTAGCTGTGCTGGGGAAAGGGCTGAGCACAGGGGCGCTCGAGTCTCTCGGGTCCCCAAGCAGAGACCTGATCGCTTCTGCCAGGTGAGGGTCTGTAGGCAGAGGCTCTAGAGAGAAGGGCGTGAAGATACTTGGGGGCGAGCCAGGCGAGTCGGGGGACAGGCGCCCCAAAGCTCCAGGGCCCGTGGGTGGTGGGGCTGGGCGCGGCCGGAGTGCGGGGAGCGTGGCAGGCCGAGGGGCTGCAGACACGCTGAGGCCGAAGCAGCTCCAGACGGGCTCTGCGCTCAGAGTCGCCAGTGGTCGGCCGGGGCCGCGCGGGCTGGATGCCAGTGTCTCCTGCGGTCCGTTCCAGCTCCTGCACTCCACGTTCACGGAGCTCCTGGAGGACCACCACGCGTGGGCCTCCGTGCACAGCCGGCCGGCTGCCCGGGGCCTCCCGCACACGCCGCGCCTCAGCGTGGCCTTCGCCCTGCTCTGCGCCTACGCCTGCCTTGCGGCCCTGGTCACTGCCGCAGGGCACGAGCAGGTGGGACATGGTCCCCCGAAGGGGCGTCCGAGCCCCAGGCCTGCAGCGCGACACCCTCACCGGGGAGTTAGCGGGAGTCACGGTGCTGGGAGGGGGTGACAGCAGAGGAAGGGGCCGGCGGTGACACGGGCCTTGCAGGGGCTGGGGGTCCACAGGGCGGCCGGCGCTGCCTCTGCTGACCGACGCCATGCGGGCGCCTTGTGCCGCCACCAAGCCTGGCCCTCCCGGGGGCGGGGGGCGGGGGGCGGCCTGGGTGTCGTGTGGGATGCTGCTGACTTCTTCTAAGGTTGGTGATCAGTTCAAATTTTAAAATCCTCTGATGGAAGCAACAGCGCAGCTCCGATGGCCCCACTCGGCTGGGGGACGCCGGTTTGCAATGGGTGCTCGGGTCTAGCTGTCCCCGCGAGGCAGAGACGGGCCCCAAGTCAGGGCATGCAGCCGGGGCGGAGGCCCTGCCGCTCTTCTGAGGTCGACCAGTTGTCTGATCTCCTCTCTGTTTCTCTGTGGACTGGGGACCCTTGGGGACAGTAATGGCCCCTCGTCAGATCGTAGCAAGGATCAAAGCGGCTTTGTATGCTGCGGGCCTGGCATCCAACAGGCGCTCAGCAAATGTCTGTTCAGTCTAAAAGGGCTTGTCCCAGTGAGAAGCAGGAGGATTTCTGTGACTCTCCTTTCATTCCCGTGTGGGAGCTCTGAGATGCGGGGGAACCACAGCGTGTGCCCCGACGTGAGCCGCCCGTGTGGTGACAGGTGGCTGCGGGCTCCGAGCCACGCTGCCTTCGGGTGACGTGCCTGTTGCTGTTGCCACCACAGCTCCCGCCGGGCGCCGGCCCCGCCGGTGTTCCTCTCGGGCTCTTCGGGACGGGTTTCCTCTGCACCCTGCTGGCTTCTCCAGGAGCTCAGCTCTTGTCACTGCTCTTCAGGCTCAGCCAGGTACCCGGGTCCCGCCTGCATGGCCCTGTCCCGGGCAGGAGCCGGGGACTCCGCCCTGAGCCGTGTCCTCGCCCCGCAGGACGCCCGCGGGCCCGGCCGGGCGCGGCTGCACCGGCCCCTGAGAGCAGCACCGGCCGACGACGCAGCCCCAGGTGAGCCGGCGCCTCCAGGGCCGGAGAGGTGGCTTTTGTCAGCTTGGGAATCGCAGCGACGGGAAAGCGGCCACGTCTGAACGGGAGGGTCAGACGCCGTCCCGTCGTGCCGACCCCGTGTGGCCAGTCCTTGGGGTGGGGGCTGGGCCTCCTGCCTCCCGTGTGCTCTGGGTTCCTCGTTCACCTCGGGGGCTGTGCAGTGGAGCCTGGGGACGCACGCCGTTCACCACAAGGGATGTTCAGCTTCATCTCCTGTGTCTACAAGGCATTGAAGGGTGTCCGGGTCCCGCCAGGGTGGCAGCATCCTCGCTGCATGTCCCGTGTCCCAGGAAGGCCCGTGCACCGCTGTTGAGGGACGAGGGGGGAGCATTTCGTGAGGAGAGGGCCCTCCCTGGAGCCCCGCCCCCGCTGCAGTGTTATAAGGCCGACCTTTCTCCACTCAGGCCCTGACTCCCAGCGGAGGGCGCCAGAGGCCCGGATGCTGCGCAAGGTAAACACAGGCCGACAGCGAGTCCTGAGAATCTGACAGTGAGGGCTCCCGGCTCCCGGCTCCCGGCTCCCGGCTCCCGGCTTGGCGGCGGCCTGGTCCCCAGTGTGGGACGGAGACGGGGATCCCACCTTGCGGGTCCTGTGGACCCAGAGAGCCGCCTCCCGGGACACAGGCCATGGGGAAAGCTCTCCGGGGATCTCAGCGGAAGGGAGCAGCGGGCAGAGGGCGGAAAGCCACGGCCTGGGCCTGGGCCTGGGCAGCCACCCTCTGGGCCACACGCTGTGTGGATGGGGGAGGCGTTCTAGTGGCTGGGCCCAGGGCCAGGGCAGGGGCGGCAGGTCGCGCAGGAGAGCGCTGGGAAGCAGAGGGCACGAGGGGACAGGAGATGCCACCCGTGCTGGTCGCTCAGGCCTCAGTCACGCCTGAGCTTCAGTCTGTCTCCTGTCCTGGAGGCACGTCAGACGCACGTGGTTCCTGAGCTTCCTGGTCTCCACCTCCCTGGTCAGAGCCCCCTCCTGAGTGTGGTGCGCCTCCAGGCCCACGCCGCCCACGCCGCCCACGCCGCCCACGCCGCCCATGCCGCCCACGCCCACGGCCCTGCCCCAGGCTGTCCTGCCCCCACACCTGGGCCCCGCCCCGCCCCGCCCCGCCCCGCCCCGCCCCGCCCCGCCCCGCCCCGCCCCCTGCTCTGGGTCAGAGGACCCTCTGTCCGGCAGCTGCCGTGCCCTCACGCTTGGCTGCGAGGAGCCTTCAGTAATTAGCGCCCCGCCATCACCCGGGGCCCCCGCCGCCCTCTGGCCCAGGGCTGCCCGGTGCCGCCTCTGAACCCCTCCCCAGCCTGAGGCCTGTCGAGGTCGGCCAGCCGGGCCGTCTCCCAAGAGGCTCACCAAGCTGTTGCCGTGGAGGCGCCATGTTCCACAGGACACAGCTCATCCTGACCTCGTCTTTTCTAGCAGAGCGCACCGGCCACTCTCTCTGGGGCTGCCCGGGCCCGGAACGCAGCCAGCGGCGACGGGGCAGGCCGCCCGCCCCCTGACCTGGAGGCCTGCGGGGCCGACCTCGGCCAGCGGGCTCTGAGGGAGAGGAGCGACCACTGTGTCCTCGGCTCGCGAGGTGACATTGGTGGGGGCTGCCCCGCGCGGGCCGTTGGGAGAGTTGGGAGCAGAGCGGGAGCGGGGACAACCGCGACCAAAGACCCTGGTCTGGTGTCATCCAGGCCCATCTGAACTGAGGCCCCGGCCGTCCCCGAGGCCCCATGATTTCAGCACGTGCTTGGGTGGCTCGCTCATGTCCTTTTTAAAAAGTCAGCAGCAGACACGTAGCTTTCCCTTAGCGTCCTGAAGTGTAAAGCCTCACATTTGTCGCTACAAATTGGGGCGAACGTCACAGCTCATGCTGTGTCCCGAGCCCAGCGATGGGCAGGGGACACAAGGGCTGAGTCATGGGGCTGGTCCTCCACCAACGGGGTCCTGGGGGGCAGCTACGCTGTGCTCAGTGTGTCCGGGGGGCACCGTCTCGGGCCAGCCCAGGGAGGCACGTGGGGCAGGACCCCGGTGGCGTCCTCACAGCCGCGGCTGCTAGGCCCCCAGGCGCCAGGCCGCGGTCGGCAAGGCCTGTGCTGCCAGCCTGAGGAGGAAGCCAGGCTCATCCCCAAAGGCTGGAGGCATCCGTGTCTCAGCCCAGAGGCCGCGGGCAGGCGGGCCCCTCTCAGCGGGGAAGAGCGGCCTCGGGGCCCTGGCCCGGCCTTCGCCTCGCTGGACGAGGCCCGCCCACTCCGGGCAGGCCAGCCTGCTTCCCGCGGAGCAACCACGTCCTGTGTTCAGCTCCCCAGGAACGCGCCTCCCGGACTCCTCCCCCCGGACTCCTCCCCCCGGACTCCTCCCCCCGGGCTCCTCCCCCCGGGTGACGCCAGCTAGGTGCCTGGGTGCCCTGTGACCCGTCACAGCAACGCCCACCATTAACTGCCACCCTGGGCGTGGGGGGAAATGGCTCGGCCTTCTCCGTCTTCTCTCGCTCAGCCCCCGGCCGACTCGCCACATCCCAGAGGCCCCGGGGGCCGCTGCCGTGGCCGGACTCTGCAGCGTGGGCCGTGTGCGGGACGGTCTCTGTGGCCTGTGGCTTGGGGACAGGATTTCTAGGGTACAGGTGAGCTGTAAAGGTTTGCAAACATCCTCCGGCCTCTGGGCGGCCAGGCTACCATTGGCCAGGAAACCCTGTGTTTCTGGGGACCCGTAAGGTACAGCTCAGGCGTGGCCCTTGCTGTCCCAGCCCTCACTGCTCCCCCCATCGCCCAGGTGAAGGGTCTCTTGTGCCAACCCCCCAGGGGGGCCGGGCCCCGCTGTCCCGGGACGGTAGCCCAGCGCGGTGGGGTCCCGGATCCCTCACCCTGTGCGGGAGGGCGCCCAGCCGCTGAGCAGCCGAGAAGGCGAGTGAGGCCTTGATTGTCACCTGCTGTCTGAGAAGGCGCACGCCTGTGAGACAGGTGTGGCCGTGCAGCGCCATAGGTCGGATGCTGCCCTACCACCCACTGGCCTTGGCCTGGTCCCTCCGCAGCGTCCCCAGGGCCCCTCGGCGAGGCTCCGAGGGTGGGCTGGCCGGTGGCGCCCCATTTGCATGGTCTCAGGGGCAGAAAGTGCGGCCCCCCTGCGCAAGCCCGATAGCTTGGGCCTGGGCCCGCGGGCCCAGCAGACGCGTGGCCTGTCATCACTGCTGCTACGGCCGCCGCCCGCCCGCCCACCCCTGCTCGCCCACCCACCCCTGCTCGCCCGCCCACCCCTGCTCGCCCACCCCTGCTCGCCCATCTGTGGGTCCCTCCCTCTTTCCCACTGAACAGCTTCAGGGTGGCTGACGTCCCCTCTGAGCAGGAAGAGACGCCCCCCGCCCCCCGCCCCCCGCCCCCCCATCAGGCAGACGTGCCCGCCCACCCCCCAGCGCCCCGCCGCCATCCACCGTCCCCCGTCGCGGGTCGGTCCAGCCCCGGGCCCTGAGCGTGTCCCCCGGGCAGGTTCAGCCCCGCGCAGTGTGAGCAGTGGCTGTGCCTGCTGGCCGTCTCTGTGACCTGCTGCGTCTTCGTCACCCAGCCACTCATGGTGAGCAACCCTCCGGTGCGGTCCCGTCCTGGGGTCCGGGAGGCGGAGGGGGGCGGAGGCTCTGTGTTACTGCTGTTCACAGCTGACGAGAGAGTGGGGAGCCAGGGCGGGGCTGCGGGGGGCTGCGTCTCTCACCGTCCTCAGCCCCCGCTGCTCTCGGAGGCCCACAGAGCGGCCCCGCGGCCGGGATCTGAGCGGAGGCGCACGTGCGTCCGAGCCGGGCCGCGGGGTGCTGACCAGGGGCAGGGCCGGCTCCCTGGGGCCCTGACGGCGTGGCGCCTGGGCCGGGTCCCGCGTCTCCTTCCAGATGGGCCTCGTGGCTCTGGGCTTCGCTTGGAAACGGAGAGGCGATGAGAGCTTTTTCACCGAGTCTTTACGGAAAGCCACCGAGGGCCTGGACGCTGACCTGGACGGGCTCTCCCGCAGCCACGGGCCCCCCACGCCCGGCGGCGGCGGCGGCGGCGGCGGCAGCGGCAGCGGCAGCGGCAGTGGCGGCAGCGGCAGCGGCAGCGACCCCTGCAGAGCGGGCGCAGTGGAGCGAGTGAGGAGGGCCTGGGGCCTGCGGCAGTGGCGGAGCTCAGGGAGCCGCGCTGCGGCCCTGTATGGGGGTCAGGGTCACACCGAGTCCAAGCTCGGGGGACCTGTGGGGGCCTGTTAGTTTCTTAAGCTCCTTCACACACACGTGACGGGTGAACTCACGGGATCCACTCCCTCACCTCCGCCCCCATTTGGAAGGAACCAAACCACTGCAAAAAACAGCTTTTTTTAAGACACTGAAGCAAATGAGAAATGTGATTCTTGGCTACGATTGTGGCGAACTTGAGGCCGTTGTGGCGTTTGTGTTCGCAGAAGGCTCCCCCTGCTCCGCCCGTGTCCTTCCGATCCTGTGGGCGACAAGAGGGAGAGAAGGGGGTGCCGACCCCGCGGGGAAGCACGCGGGCCTGTGGCCCCTCGGGGCCCGTGGCCTGTGGGGGTCTCGGGCTCGTAGGCAGCCGTGACCACAGGAAACAAAGGTCACTCCTTGCTAAGACCGTCCACGTTTTGAGGGTCTCAGAGAGAACTGCCCTGTAGCTGGACGGCAGCCCAGCTGGTCCCTGACCACATTGGGGACGGGACAAAGCGGTAAACAGCCTCTCTCCCAGGCCAGCTGCCCGGAACCTGGGGCGTGGGACCCGCAGTGACACACTCTGTCCCCAAACCCCAGGCCGGGCTCAGAGACAGTGACCCTGCCGTCCTGGGCCTGGCGGGGGTGCTGGGACCCCGCCCGCTGGCTGGCGGCCCCGGCTCACGACGTGCTCGTCCCCACAGGTCTTGGCTGCACGCCAGCAAGCTCGCCGCCTGCGCTGGGCGCGTCCCCCATCCATGGCCCGGCTCAGGGTCACCCGGGAGAGGATGAGGAGGCAGGTGCGCACCCGGGCTGCGCTGAGGTGAGTGGGACCCGTGCTCAGGCGCCGCCTGCCCCGCCTGCCCCGCCTGCCCCGCCTGGGGGTTCGGGAGGGAAGGTGGGACGCCTTGCTGGCCCCAAAGCCACCACCATGTGCCCAGTCCGTGGGAAGCCGAGAAACGACCGCAGTCGCCCGCGTTCTGCAAGGACCCGCGGTGAGAAGGGTGAAGCAGCTCGCCCCCGGCGCCGGCTCCCCGCCCAGGGCAGGCCGTCCGCACACGGCCAGGCCCCCTCCCACCGCCCGCCGGGCACGCTGCCCGGGCCGCGGCCCCTCAGGCTGTGCGCGCGGGTGTGTGAGGCCACCGCCTCTGCCTGGGACATCGGTTGAGCCCGAGCACAGAACTTAAGGATGTTTTACAGTTAAAACATGCACACAGATGTCATGGTACTTAATACAAAACCAACGGCATTTTCTTGAGATAAAACACAAAGGTTAAGAAACACCACGTGCACAGTAAGCCCCCCAGCGTGGCCTCAGACACCTTCCTCTGGATGACACCCGTCCCACCACGTCGCGGGGCTGAGGCTGACCAGCTGGCAGGGGCCTCACACACCGGGCAGCTGAGTCCTTCCCTGAACCCCGGGCCTTACCTGGCCTCCCTCACACCTCGCTGACGCAGTTTGTCCAGGGTGTGGGCATCCCTGGTACGTTTCCCGTGCGGTGCCGCTGAGCACGCAGCTCGTGAAGCTCAAAGCGTCGTCCATCGGGGACCAGCTCTCACACGATGGCAGCGAAGGGCCAGCCGACTTCCCTGCAGGGACGCCACCCGCGGGCGGAGGCGGAGACGAGGGGCTGTCTTCTCTGTAGAGTGGCTCTGGCCACTGAAGGAAATGGTAGGACCGGGACCTGACCATCTGCAGCCCTTAACCAACCCGGCGTCTAAACCCTGACCACAACGACAGACAAGGAAGAAGAACGAGAGAGGACGAACCAGGCGCCCCGCCTCCCCGGTGGAAAGCGCGTCGCCGGCGGGAAAGAAAGGAAACAAGGAGATAAAAACTGAGGAAAGCGTGGACACCGTGCGTGCTGAGAGTGACTGACAAGCTGAAGGGACGGAGAGCGCGGGTCCGCGGGGCCCAAGCCCCGGGCTCACGGGGGCGTCTGTTCTGTCCAGTTTGACCTGTAGATTCCGTGTGATCCCAACCAAAACGCCGCGAGCTGCTTTTGTAGGTACCAACCAACCGATTCCAAAATGCACGTGTGAAGCGAAGGAACAAGCCACAGCGATTCCAGAAAAGGGGATCGGAGTCCGAGGGCTGACCCCACGACCTCGGGACCTGCCCCAAAGCCCCGAATCCAAGAGGCTGTGGGCTTGGCGACACAGGCACGCCAGCCACACACATGACACAGGGCCCAGAAATAGACACACACGCCCAGCTGACTTTTTTTTTTTTTTTTTTTTTGACAAAAGCACAGAGGCCGTTCATTTCAAAAATGGTGCTGGGAAAATTGGGTGTCCTTGTGCAAGAAAAAAAAAGATCCTCCACACAGACCTCACCCCGATACAAGGGTGCCGGCCCAGGGGTGTAAAAGCCGCTCCCACCGCAGATGTCTGGCTGGGTGTGCACATGCGGCGGCTGTGAAAAGGCTCGTTTTAAATTTCTTTCTTCCAGAGACACCTGCCTGTCGGCCCTCATGCTGCTGCTGCATCTGTTTATAGCCCATGGCGCGTCCTCCCGGGACGAACGCGCCCTCAGCCGTGCCATCCGGGACGCCTTTACCAGGTAGGACGCGTGGGTGAGCCTCTCTGGCCCCAGAGTCCTGGGTTCACAGCCACAGACGCCCACAGAGGGGCCACGGCTCAGGGCCGCCGGCCGGGTCACTGCGCTGTTACTTGGAGCCAATCGGGAGGAAGGGACGCTCCAGCCCACTAGTCCACATCCTCACGACGCGTCCCCCGTGGGAGGCTCCTCTGCATGTCCCTCGGAGGAAGCGCGGAGGGGCTGTCATTGCCTCGGGGACCCTTGTTCCCGCTCTTCCTAGGAGGCCTCTGTCCCCAGACTTTGGGCATGTGCATGGCCTCTCTTTTTTGTAAATAGTGGAACAAGGACATTTCAAGGCCCTGAGAGCCGAGGTGCCGTGAAAAAACAGATGTCGCAGTTCCATTGGGGGACAGCAGAGCTCTTCACCATGGGCCGGCGCGGTTCTCAGTAAATGACATCTATGCCAAGCAGCCGTTGGCCCCCGGCCCCCGGCCATCCACGTGTTTCCTTCCACTGTTAAGTGTGTGGACGCTCGTGGTGGGTGGGTGTGGAAGGACCGGCGAACAGAAGCAGGAAGTCTCACGCGCCTCCCCTGCCGGCAGCTCTGTCGTGCCGTTTCCTCTCCACGCATGGTGTGTCTGAAACCGAGCGAGGTCTCGGCCATGCCCCCGGGGGGCGGCCGCCGCCAGACCCGTGGTCCCGCCTGGTTCTCCCCTGCCAAGCACGCCCAGTCCCGTAGCTCTTGGAAGCAGTTTGGCTTTGTATTTCAAAGTGCGCGTTGTGACTTCGTATTGATCCTTTACTACGGTCTTGGTGGCAGGAAGTGAAGGACTCGGTTTCGGGTTTGCCTTTTCGGGAGGAGGCTTAACGGCACGTTCCTGCCGCTTTTCCGTGAATAGGCTGCCTTCGACTAAGGAATCTAGTTTGACGTATGTTACTTTTGTTGAATTCTTTCGGCACAGGTAGATGGCTGGCAAATCTATTTAACATAACCTGTTGTTTAAGGACGTTTATTTTTATCTTCTATGAGAGCAAGTGATTGACAGGCACACTGGGTAGAAGGCAGGCAGATTTAAGACCCAGGGGTGGAGTAGGACCCGGATGTCCTCCTGTGAGGGGCCTCCAAGACTGAGTGACCCACCCTCTCCCTGGGGAGCCCACCTTTCAGCCCCTGCCACGCACCCCACCCCCGCAGGGCAATTCAGGCCAGCAGGGGGCGCCATGTGCACAAGCAAGCCACCAGGTGGGTGGTTCCCTCTGGACCGGGGAGGCAGCCTGAGGAAACTCGGGCTTTGCCAGCTTACCTTGTATCTCCGCCTGACCCGCCGTGGGTCTCCTGTGAATTTGCCTCTCAGCGCCAACAGCAGCAGCGTGGCAGCGGAGCTCACACCCGTGCCTGGCAGTGTGTGTGGAGCAGGGCGCGGAGCTGGCAGGCACAGAGGCCGCCCCTGCGCGCAAGCACAGCCCCTAGGGCGCCCGCCTCGCCGCGGCCCCTCCCCCAGAGCCTCCTCCGCACGCCAGCGGCTCCTTGGGGCTGAGCAGTGGCCTGTGCCCAGGAGGAGCCCCGGAGCCAGGAGGGGTCCACGCGGGTCCGGCCCTGGACTCCAGCCCTCGGTCGGCGACCCTGGGCCGTAGTTCCCTCATCTGTGAAGTGAGGCCGTGGGGCTGCTTGGTTTCCTGCCCTTTAACAAAAGAGTGACACGTTGTTGGATTCTCACGTAGTTAACGTCCGTTTGAAGCCTTTCTGCACTCGTAAAACGTTCACGAAATTCCAAGTAGAAACACAAACCCCCCAGTGAAGCAGTGGCACGTGGAACGGTCACCTCGCGCCGCCCCCAACCTTGCTGTCCCACCGGGACCGACCCTGCAGAGGGCCCTGCGCTCGCCTCTCTGCGGCCTGCAGCCTGTGCTGCGAGGTCGCCTCCGGGGGGTTCCCACGGCCCCTGGAGCTCAAGTCCCCACCTGCGTGCGTGTCTCTACTTCGTTCCCTCTCCTAACCTGCGCCACCAACGGCGTTGCTCGTCCGTCTGCAGCGCGTCTCCCACGAGCGCAGGGGTTGGCTTATCTGCTTCCCGGGCGCCGGGAGCAGCAGAGCAGGGTCTTCACGTGGCCGCGAGTGACAACAAGGGACCTGCCAGAGGACTGAGCGGGTGGTTCCAGCCCCTGCCTGCCTCCCGGGGGCCACAAGCGGTCCCCTCGCTGTCCCTCACACTGCAGGCTGCCTGAAATCTGTCCTAGAGGAAATGACGCCCTGTTTCTGTTCTTGGTTAAGAGGCGCCAGGAGCTCCTTGGGAGGCCTGAGCGGCGTGGACGCCTGGTGGGCCTGGAGCCTGAGCACGTTGCTGGATGGCCTGTACCCAGGCAGCGGGCCCGCCGCCGCCAGCACCCCGGGCACACAGGTGGGCTTCCCTCCGCCCCGACCACTCGCCGTGGGGCTAACCCGTCCACGGCCCGTCCTGTTCCCTCCCCGCCCCACGTGTTGCCGAGCTCGCCCAGCTCCCTGCACGTGCCTGGCAGGGACTGGACACAGGGCGGGGCCCATCCACAGAGTCTCTGGGCCCTGGGGCTGGGAGGCAGCTTCAGAATGCCCTGTGCTGTGCGGCACAGGCACACGGGCCGCTGGGGACAGAGGCGAGCAAACAGCTGAGACGGCGTCCGAGCCTCCCTGGAAAGGCCCTGGCTTGTCTCAGGTTCTGAAGGAGAAGTCGCCAGTGAACCCGCATCTTGCGCAATAACCTCGTTCCTGGCCTCTCTTTCATTTTCTACCTTTAAAATAAATGGCTCAGTCTCACGTTCCGCGGACACAGTCGTTCCCGTGACGCTCTCGCTGCCGGCCATGGGGCGGCCAGGGTGACGGGAGAAACTGCAGCCAGAGAAGAGTCACCTGATCTGGCACAAAGACTGGGGAGGTAGCTGCCGCCTCTCAGGATGCTGGCTAAACCCTGAGGGCGCTGTAAAAGCGAAGGGGGAGTCTGGCCCTGGCCCTCTGACCCGGCCGTGGGGCCGTGCGGGCAGGCGCCCCGGGGTCACAGGGCTCCGCGCGCCCCCCCAGGCTGGCGCCCTCGGAGGGAAGTGCTACCTGCTGGGCCCGCCGGTCGTCGGGCAGCTCAGAGCTCCTCCCGGAAGCCCCTGCGAGGTAGCGTGCTCTCTTTTTTTAACCTCTCACAATCCATCGAACGAGAACGGTCCGGGCGACCCCGGGCAGGAGGGCGCAGGGTGGACGCTCCTCAGTTCTGCCTTGTCCTTCAGCTCCCGAGGCCGCTCTCGGCACTTACTGAAGACAGGCCGCCGGCGTGCTGCCCCGACGTCGGAGACCCCCGGGCCCCCTCCGTGACGAGCGCGGATGTCCCGACAGCAGCCCCGAGGGCCCCCGAGGCCCGTAGCCGGGGCTGTGAGCTCCGCCTGGGCAGGACCAGGTCAGTGCGCCGAGGGTCGGCCTGTCCGCGCCGGCCTGTCCGCGCTGGGGCCTGGCCGGCCTCGGGCCCAAGCTGTGCTGCCAACAATGACTAAGTCCCAGGGAAGGGAGCGCCACAGCCGCTGGACAAGCCAGGGCTCTTTCGGAATTTGCCAGAAGGTCCAGAGCAGCAATTTTCAACCTTTCATCCCAGGGCCCACATAAACTGCTAAAACGGTGAGGCACACACAAAAACATATTTTTTGCTGATCTGACAAAAAATACAGGTATAATTTTGATAGATTTACCAAAAAAAAAAAAAAGTAATTACTTACCCTCTTTGCTCTAAAGTGACTTTTTTAAAAAAAAAACCAGGTATCTGTACTTGTAGGTCAGGATTTCTTGTGCCAAGAATTAACCAATCAGATGCAACCTTATTATCAGCCGTGACCAATAAGATGCAGGTCTGTCGTATGACCTATGTATTTATATTCATGGTTCAAGACAGGGCGCCGCATGGACGGCCGCTGCTGTGTGGGCTGCTGTCGTTTTTCTTTCTGACCCTCTCGGGGAGGGAGGTCTGTGCCCCTGACTGGAGAGTCGGGTGTTGTGTGTTTTACAAAGGCCGGCGGCACCGGGGTTGAGAATTGCTGGCCTGGAGGCCACTGTGCCGGTGGGCGAGCCCAGGGCCCCGATGGGTCCTCAGGTGCCGGGCACGAGGGGGCAGAGGCTCCAGCAGGCTCAGCACCCACAGCACCCACGTTGTGGCCGCAGCCCACGGTGGCTGCACTCAGCCCGCCGGGCCTGCTCTGGCCGTCACACTGTCCCCATCCCCCCTCCACACTGTGCTGTGCCTGGTCACTGAGTGTCCGAGACCCACGGGAGCCGTGCGCAGTGAGAGTAACGTGCGCCTTTGAGTCTCACTAATGAGAAGCAAGGAACTTAGTCGTCATTGGCAACACAGACCGTGAAGGTGGCTTCCTCCCCACGACAGAGCAGGAAAAGGCAGCGACCGCCCTTGCACTTGGGGCAAGAGACGGCACTCTCTCCGCGCTGGGCCCTGCAAAACAGAAGGCTGCCCCACACAGGGTTCCTGCGGCCTGGGGTCCTGCCCGGGCATGCGGGGGCCATGAACAGTTCCTTAGGATCGCAGGGTGCAGCAGGCCACCCAGGCCGCCCCGTGAACGTGGGGGCCACGTCACCAGGAACCGGCAGGGCCCGGGTTGGACGCGTCGTGCACGGCCGCCACCCTCTCTGACGTGCGCGCTTTGCAGGCACGCGGCCCACGCGGCCCTGACCGGCCTCCAGGCCCACCGGTGGGCCGACAGCAGCACCCGTGCCCTGTCCGTGCGCTTCGTCCTCTACAGCCCCCCGACCCGCCTCCTCTCCAGCGTGTCCCTGAGCGCGGAGGCCACCCCGGCCGGCCGCCTCGCCCTCTCCGCCTGGGTGGAATCATTCCCCGTCTTCCGCAGCGACTCCGCCCCGAGGTTCCACCTCCTGCTGCCCCAGGTGGGTTCACGGGCCACTTGCGGAGCCCAGGCCCCGCAGGACCGGCCACGCACACCAGGCAGGCCTCAGCCTGCCCCTCGCCCGCCCTCCCCGCAGAGCCTGCCAGGGCCCCGCCATGCAGCCCGCCGCCCGCCAAGGGTAGGCGCGGGACAGGGATGACCCAGCTGTGCCCACCAAATGCTGGAGCGCTTGGCCGCAGGCTGGGTTGTGGGCGCAGGAAGGTGGGCGCACAGGGTCCCTGGCGCCCAGCCGTGGGAACAAAGCTTAGTGTTCAGGGTGGGTTGTGGGTCACAAAATGCTGTCCACACAGGACCCCCCATTCCAGTTCACCTTCCGTGACGTGGGGCCGCCGCGCCTGGTATGTGGCTGCTGCATACTCCTTCGTCCCCAGAGGGAGGGCAGACGGTCTCAAAAGAGGCTTTTATATCATAAAAGTGTTCACTGGAAGTGTTCACTGGTCCCCAGGGGCTCTGCGTGGCTGTGTGAGCTCAGACAGGACAGGCGGCTGTCGCTGAGCGCCGCCCCCTTCCGTCCCCAGCATGTGAGCTGCAGGGGCGTCCAAGCCGCGGCCCGCAGGCCGCATGCAGCCCGGGGGCGCTGTGAATGTGGCCCGACCCAGAATCGTAAATTTACCTAAAATATTAGGAGATTATTTTGGGATTACATGTCACAGTGTATTTAATGTGTGGCCCAAGATGAATCTTCAGTGTGGCCCAGAGACACCGAAAGGCTGGACGCCCCTGCGTGACTGAGTGAGTGAGCGAGCGAGTGAGCAAGCGGGTGAAGGCGTGGAAGGACAGGTAATGAATCCATCGACGCTGAGAACCGTGTACAGAGGTTGAAGAAGTTTCTTACATGCAGGACCTTACACTGAGGACACGTTTTAGTTATTCGCCACACACATGAAGGCCCTTGCTCCTGAGCCTCGTGGGGAAGGACGGGGCTGGTGTGGTGGGCAGGAGACCCCCCCCCCCCGGGCGCTGGTGAGACAGGGCGGGTTCCATGAGGAGGCCCAGCTCCAGCTCCAGCTCCCATGCATCCCTACTGCCCTCGGGTGGGCTCTCTGGGTGCTGGCGGGTGCAGAGGCACAGTGTGCCCCGGGCTGCGGAGACCAAGCTCACCCCGAGGCTCCACGTGGCCCGGAGCTGGCTTGAATCGGGTCTACCCTGCGGGCTGGCCAGGAGGTGGAACCTTCGCACAACCACTTATCGGTCCTTTGTTGTCTCCTTGTCTCACACGCCCTCAGCTGGCCCTCCTGGCGCTCACCCTGACCCACCTGGGCCTCCAGCTGCACGGCCTGGCGGAGAAGGGCGTCCACGGCTACTGGCGCCGGCCCAGGAACTGGCTGGAGGTAGCCCCCCTGTCGTGTCTTCACGCGCGCACTGCAGCGGCGGCCGTGGTGGGGAGCTCACAGCTCCCCTGCCCCGCCAGGCTCGAGGCCACATCGGTGCCTGGACGGCTGAGATCCGTGTCGTTCGCTGCTCCCCGGGGCTGTGGCACGGCAGCCCATCCACGCACCCGCCTGACGCCCTCTCTCTGCACCTGGCAGCTGCCCATCGCCGGAGCGGGCCTCGCCTGGTACGCAGCCTCCGGCCACCTGCTCTCTCTGGCTGGGGAGGTGGCCGACCAGGTCCGCAGGGGATTTCTGCCAGGGCCTGTGGACCTCAGTCACATGGCTTCGTGGACTCAGGTATGACAGGCGCTTGGGTCACACACAAGGCCCTGCTCTGGGAGGTCACCCAAAGAGCTCAGGCACACATGTTCTGGAAGGTTCCAGACAGACCAGGGAGTCGTCCCATATTGAGTAATAATGCTCTGAGCTCGCAGGCGAGGGCAACCCACCCTGTGGAGGCCGGGGGTCCTCGGGACGTGGGTCGCCAGCTGGGGTGCCAGTAAGGCAGGGAGAGCAGAACGAGGGAGCAGAGACCCCACTCCTGATGGCGTGACCCCAAGTGGCAGAGGGAAGCAGGCTTTTATACGGAATAATGTGGAAGTGCTATTTTAGATAGAATCATCTAAAGAAAATGTATCTTGAAATAAATGTCAACCGTTTACAAAGTGGCTGGCAACTAGAAAATTCTCCGCCCCACCTGCAGCTGGGTGGTTTTTCTGTTGGTGGGAGCAGCCGTCCTCCCCAGGGCTGGCCCTAGGGCTGGGGTGGTTTGGCTGTTTGAGGTCATGACCTTGACCACTCAGAGAGGAGGCACTCACAGAAAGCCCTGGTCCCCTGTCCACACAGACTGCAGAACACTTGGGGAGAATAGATGATGAGCTCATGCACCCCAAAGGGTTTTCTCAGTGAGCCCACCTGTAGCAAGGTGAGCAGCCTGCTCAGGCCCCGGCCCTGGGCCAGGATGCCCGATGTGGACTCAGGAGGCTGGGGCCTTGCCTGCTGCTTCCCCAGCCTGGTGGTTTTTGTTCAGTCATCTCGTTTTTCTGAGTCCCGGGCTCCATCGGTATAAAACAGAGTGCCTCTAGTTTTTATGAAGGTTAAACTTTTAAAATGTGCATGAAAAGTGAACGCGCTCCGTGCACACCAAGGCGGGCGGACCCCACAGGCAGTGAGCGCTCTCCGTGGCCCGTGTGGTACCCGACTCGTACCACGCTGTCACTGGGGGCTGCGGCAGGGCGCGCGGGCCTGCCCTCTGCAGGAGCGGCACGGTCAGACCCGAGCTGGTGCGTCTGAGAGGCCTTGTGAGTCTGCTGCCCCTGTTCTGGCTCCTCCCGACACCCCCGTGCCCCCGGGCGCAGGGCCCGCCTCCCGTGCGCACGGCCCTCAGGGGTGAGCCCGCCCGTGCGCCCTGTGCTCGTGTGACGCCCTGCACTGCTGTTCTCCTGCCGCAGAGGGCGCGATGGCTGCAGGGAGCGCTTTCCTTCCTCTTGACCCTGAGGTGCCTCCGTCCGCTCGGCTTGCAGAGTGCCGCGGTGTCCCGCTCGCTCTCAGGCATCTTCCCGCCAGTGGTGAGGCCCCCCTTCACCAACACATCTCGCAAGAAACCGGTAGAGTCCACGTGTCCTCCTCACTGCGCCCGACGAGGGGATGCCCCACCCGCACGCGGAGCCCCTGTGCTGGGTTACACCCCCCACGTCCGCAGCGACGGGATACGCGACGGGCGTGAACGCTGCTCCGCTCTGTGTTCCCCGTGGCGCGGTGGCAGCGGTGTTAGTGTTATTACGGATGTGGGTGCTCGCTATCGCCTCCTGGGTGCTAAGTGCCAGAACACTGCATGGGCTCTTCACCTCCCTCTCTTGGTGCTGTGCGGGGGGACGGAGGGGACAACATATGTCCTGGGCCAGGGACGCTGCCCGACGCTCCTGGGCCGAGTTCCTGGTGTGTCACCACACCCAGACAAGCAAACATCTAAACTAAACACAAGGTTTCTCTTTCCTGGCCTTTCCTAAGGGGTTCGTTTTACTGAGCCCCTGCGGGCGCCGGGGGCAGAGATGTGAGACACGTGCCCCTGGCAGTAAGTGTGGCCTCTGGCGGCTCGGGCGCAGATGGCACCAGCAGGAGGAGGACCAGGGAAGAGGGACGCAGGGACTGGCTCCTGGGGTGGGAGAGGGCAGGCCTTTCTGGTGCTAAGTTCTTACACCTGGATCATGCGATCAACCATCCAAAAGCTGCTTCTCCAAGCTGTTCCTTCCTTTAAAGCATTTAGAAGCCCCACCTGGGTCTCGGGTTCCCGTGGCCCAGTGCTTGGAGGTCAGCGTGGCGGGTTTTCTCCCTGCAGCTGGCGGGGGTCCTGCTGCTGGCCGCCCACTCCCACCTGCGCAGGATTTCGCTCTTCGCCCTGGCTCCACCGTCAGGCACCTTTGCAGACGCCTTCCACTGGCTGCTATTCCGTTTTAGCCAGAGAGACGCCTCCCCGGGCTCTTCCAAGTCTGACCTGCAGGCAGCGTCGGGGTGCTGTGTGGCCCTTCTCGCAGCAGGGACCGCTGTGTGGTTTGCCCTGGTACGTGTCCCACCCTGGGGTGGGTGAGAGTCCTTGCTCCCACACACACCTCCACCTGCCGGCTGAACCCCGTGGTCGTGAGTCCCCGGGGCTCATCTCTCCTGCGCTGGGCAGGGCTGAACCCAAGTGGCTGGACAGTTTCAGCACGATGACCCAGCACCCAGGTAGCCACCTCCTCCAGGAAGCCCTCCAGGCCCCACAGTGCCAGCTGCACCCCTTCTCTCTCTTACCGCTGCCTGGCGGACAACCCCCATCCCGTGTCTTAGTGTCCCCACCCTCCGATGTGTTGCTGCATCAGCCAGCCTGCAGGGGGCGCACTCCCTGGGCTCGGGGCACGTCCGCAGCGGGGCTGCCCGTGTCCCACCCTCCTGCTGACCCGCCACCTGTCACCCTAGCCGTGTCATGCACATGCACATATGCACACAAACACGGATGCACATGCAGACACGGCTGTATGTGCACACAGCCCCTGGCTTAACCTCCTTCGGTGGCTCCCGTGACCTCGGCCTGCCGCCCCCATGTAGCGCTCACGGAGCTACAAGCAAAAATGCAGGACACCTGCTGGCAGCTAAGTTCCAGCAGAACAATTTCTTAGCACCACCCTGTGCCTGCACTAAATCAGACTATATGGGTATATACCCGTATTTTGCCAGGTATAATGCGCATTTTTTGCCCAGATTCTTGACGGGGGAATGAGGATGCGCATTATACATGGGCATGATGCAAATTATTCTCGGGAATCAGTGCTGGGACGTGGGTGCGCATGACACAGGGCAAAACACGGTGACCCTTTTTCGCTTCTGGCGTCAGGGAGCTGCGCGGCCCTTCTTGCAGCGGCATTTTGGGGGTTCTACTCGCAGATGGTGATGGCCGTCTGCTGAGGCTTTGCAGCACATGCAAAGCAGGCTCTGAACGGCTACAACGTCGCTTGTTTGGGCTCTTCCTAAACCAGTCCGATGGGCAAAATTTGTTCCTTGCCTGCAGACTGTTGAGCTAAGAAGTCTAAGCCCGCAGCGGAGAAACAAACAGCCTGGGGCCCATTTTCGGGGTCGTCATTGGCTCATTGCTGTCACACGCGGGCACGTTCCGTCTCTGTGGCGCACGCACGTCGGTGGGCGGCGTGGTGCCCACCCAAGAAGCCCAAGCGGAGACGCGGGCCGCGTTCGGAATCTCGGTCCTGATCCGCTGCTGGTGAAAACACGCCCGTTACAGGACGGGTTTTCACGGCCGAATTTGCCTTGCTGCTGCTTAGTTCGATCCATGCGCGCGCTTCCTTTTCTGCTACGCGCTTACTGTCTTATTGCCAGGAAATAAAATAGCGTTATTGGAGAGAGTCTCTATTTTACAGTCGAACAACCGACTAAGTTTTTTGTTTTTTGTTTTTGCTTAATAACATGAAGTATGTCTTTTTTGTCTTCTCCGCAGCTGAGAAGCTCCCTCAGGGCTTTTACCCCCAAAAGAAAATCCCCCCGAAGCCGGTATCTCGTGGAGCCGGGCGACGTGGCAGCCGAGGCGCTGGAGCGGGCGCGTTTTGCGCTGGGCTGGCAGCGGCCGGAGCCAGTGGAGGCGGGGCCCGCGGAGAGTCACGTGAGCACCCCGCCCCCACCCCGCGCGGCGCCAGCCTCCCCGGCCCTAGTCCCCTGTAGCTCCTGAGACCCTCAGGAAGGCCCTGGGGGTCGGCAAGGGGGACACGCACACCCTGCTCAGTCCGTCAGTCTCTTCAGCGCGGTGACTGAGGCCTGGCTCAAACAGATCCAGGCAGGTGCGCGCACTGGGCCCACACGCCCCTCGTGGTGCGCAGGCGTCCCCCGGGGCAGCGCAGAGCCAGTCACGTGCCTCGTGACGTGGGCGTTTGCACAGGGCTCCGCGGCTGACCACGTGCTGTCCCGCAGATGACCGCCTGAGAGTCCATTCAGTAGTCCCTCCCAGGACTTCGGAGCGCGCCCGCGTGTGACGTGATGCATGAGAGGGGGGTGCTCGCCTGAGTGTGACGTGATGCGTGAGGGGCGGGTGCGCGCCTGTGTGACGTGATGAGTGAGGGGCGGGTGCGCGCCTGTGTGACGTGATGAGTGAGGGGCGGGTGCGCGCCTGTGTGACGTGATGAGTGAGGGGCGGGTGCGCGCCTGTGTGACGTGATACGTGAGGGGCGGGTGCGCGCCTGTGTGACGTGATGAGTGAGGCAACTGAGACGTGATATTCGGCCCGGGGCCCCCGCTCCAGGGCCCTGGCTCCAGGGCCCCGGCTCCAGGGCCCCCTGTGTTGTTCTCTGACAAAGCGCCTGCCCCCTGGAGTTGGGACCAGGAAACGCTGCTGGCGTGGAGGGAGCGGGACAAGTCCGTCCACGCAGGCGTCACCGGTTCTCTCGCCCCCGCAGCCCTGCGCCCTGGGCGAGTTCGCAGCCCTGGTGGACGAGCTGCTGCTGAGGGTCGATGGCTTGTCCGGCTGCCTCCAGCCCCCTCCCCAAGAGCTGCGTGACCCGCCGGGGGCTGGGGCAGCGGAGGGTCCCTTGGTGGGAGCTTCGGACGACCGAGCTACAGGGGTGAGCAAACGGAAATTTATTTTTACCAAGTTTCTTTATTTTTTAAGTGTTCGGGGGAGTTTAAAAGTAGCAGCCGTTCCAAGCCCTGCGGCGCATTGGCTTAAATGCTCCACGAGGGCAGATAACGCTCCGGCGCGCCCGGAGGGCCGCTCAGCGGTGCGAGGCGTGGGGTGCGGCTTCCAGCCCGGCCTGGCGGCACTGTCTGCCTGCCCCCTCGCTTCCCACGGAAACGGGAGTCCGCCGCCGAGAGACGGGGGCTGGGGGGCGCTGTCGCGGCGCGGGGGCGGGGACCCCCGCGATGGCGGCCGAGCGCGGTGAGCCTCGGGCCGAAGGCAGGGGCCCCTGCAGTGCCAGCGGCGCACGCAGCATCCATGGAGACCCCGGAGGGCCCCCGAGACCCCCGCTCGGAAGAAAAGATAACGGACCCAGAAGAGCTCAGGGAACCTCCCTGGACCGCACACCGCAGGGTGTGGGGACCGGGCCTGCAGGAAAGCCGGCTTTGCCAGCGGCTGCTGGTGGCTCTCACGCCGGGCGTGCGCCCGCCCGCCACCTAGGACGGCGAGCGGGGCCCGGCGCTAAGCGCATCCCTCGGGTGGCTCCCCTGAGATCCGCGGGGGTGCCCCGCAGCCCACAGCTGGCACGTCCCAGGCCCAGCCGCGAGTGAACTCCCTGGTGAAGGCGAGAAGCCGGGGCCGCTGCTCGGAACCCCCGGTCCCTCCCGGGAAGGACCCCCTGCGAAGAGGCGGCCCTGGTGCGGAAGTGACCGTCAGCGTGGACGCGGGCCATCACGGGGTCCGTGCCAGCCCACAAACGCAGGGCGGGGGTCATCCCCGGTCATGGTGGAGAAGGATGCGCAGGTCAGGCCTCTGAAAACGGCGCCACGGACAGGCGAGCGGCGACCAGATGCTCCCCGACAAACGCGAGCTCCGGGAGAAGCGCCGTCGCCCAAGTGAGAGGGCACAGCCCGGGTGAAAGAGCTAAGAGATGAAAAAAGTCAAAGGAGGAGACTTGAGGCCAGAAATGGGGAAGAAAAGAGAAAGCAGAAAATAGAGGTGAAGCCACAGAAAAAAAGAGTAATAGATTCACAGAAAGAGGAGTGTGGATGTGGGCAACAGGTTCAAGAAAACTCAGCAAGATGAGATGAAAACCAAGTTAAAATCGATTGTGGGGGGAAGGCAACTCCCACGGAAGTGGCAGGAGAAACCTGCATGGGGCACCGGACATGGCGCGGGCACGGTCTGGACGTGGCACAGGGTACAGACCGGACGGGGCCCGGGGCACGAACAGGACATGGACAGTGCGTGGCCAGCGTCTCCGCCGGCCTCAGGGAGCCCAGGGAACACGAACAGAAGCACATTTGAAGATAAGATGTGAGAAAATGTTCCTGAAATAAAGACATAGATCCATGTATTTAAAAAAGAATCATATCCCAGGAAAGAAATGGATTCCAATCTATTAAAACCAGAACAAATCCTAATAAAGTGACTGGATTAGGAAACAAAGACAAAGCTTATTGTCATCCAAGTAACTTCCTGGTCCCAAATCAAGTTATCGCTAGCAAAATTATTTATGCAGACGTTACTCATTAATTATGCACATTTACTTTTTAATAATGTAAATAATATGAGTGGAAAGTTGGGCAAGTGACAGGAAAAGCATAGTTTTTATAGAGTAGGTAATACAACCAATTGTGTAAAAAAAAAACTGAAAGGAAAAGAATATGTGTAAAGAAAAACAAAGTACCATTTACTACCTTTGTAACATAAAAAAGTAATTAGAAATATCAGAAGAAAGATGACCATACATTTATACACTGGCATTTCTGGATAGGATCAAATAAAGGACAATATAGATTGCTGAATTAGTGCTTGAGGACAGTCTGTGGCATGTGCTATAGAACAACAACAAATGACAGTAAACTCAGCTGAACTCAGGCAGGAGAGTCTGTGCAGTTGCACATGTATCAGAGCCCACAGAAGGGACCTGCAGAGCTGGAAGTCTAATCAAGGCAACGGCAAAAATGAATTGACCCAACAGATGACTCTGTTACCAATAATTAAATAGATAAATCATTATTTAACAACAGCTAAGTATGATGAGAAAAGTGAGTATAATACATATACAAAGTAATGAGAATGGGGAAAAAGCTTGAAGATATGAAATGAACACACAACATGGGGAGGAAGGGACCGCTGCCGGCTCCCCCAATGCCAGCTACCTTGCGTCGACATGGGACCCTGCGCAGCAATTGAAGAGCCGGCCGTCCAGAGGCACCTGTGACCTGAGACACCAACCTGCTAGGAACAGGGAGGCCCAATCGTGCTCCGGCCATTCCAGAGCTGAGACAGAGAAAAGCTTCCTAATGTGTTTTTGTGAAATAAAGCAATTGATACCAAATTGGACAAAAATATCTCAAATGTAAAAAACAAAAACAAAAAAAACCGTTTGGGCATAGGGAGTAGAGCCCGGCGTCTGAGCAAAAGGACCATACATGTTGAGTCAGGAAGAGAAGAGTTTTCTTGTGAGAAAACAAGGGATCTACCTCTGCCCAGCAAGAGGCAGCTGTCTCCTGATTTCCCTTACAGCTGCACTGGACACATTCAGTACCTAATTTTTAAAACAGACCCTAATAAGAAAGGAATTGATGTGATTAAAAGACAAGAATACATTTCAGGTTAAAAGCCAGTGTCTTTTCTCTTGATCCCTGGAGGGGCTGTCAGTTCTAAAGTCCCTTGACAACGCTTTGAGGGATGGATGTCACCTCCTCTTGGGAGCACAGACTCTGTGTGTGGCTTGAGGGACCTTCACCCTAAATTACAGAGTCACTGGTAGTCTGTTACGCAAAAGGCAAGGGCCATCTCGGGTCCTAGCATCATCACAGCAGGTAGCCACTTTGACCTGTTCCAGCCGTGGGGCCGCGGCTGGAGCTCTGCCTGTCCCCGGTCAGGGTATGGGAAGCGGATAGCGGCATGACCACCTCTAACCTGAAGTCTGCCCCATGGGAAGCTCCCCCTCCGGGCCCGCCACTCTCGAGGGCCTTGGCCCCCAGCTCCCCCAGCAGCTAGCGCCCCAGGCCGGGCCCTCACCTGGTTACATGAGCCTCGATGAGCTGGACGACGATCTGGTCCAGGGTGGGATCTGTGGAGAAGGACTCATTCTTGGAAACTCAAAACTCCTGCACTTGGGATCAGAGTAACGTGTGTGCCAGTAACCAAATCCCCCCTAGAGAAGAGCAGCAGGAGGTGTGGGCCGAGGGTCTGTCAAGAGGCTGGGCCGTGCCTGATATAGAGCAGCCGACCCTGTGCTCTTGCACAGCAGCGCGTTCTGGCACATTCCGGTACGTTCCAGCATGTCTTGGCAGCCCCCGGGCTGAGTCCACCAGGGACCAGGGGCCGCACCATCCATGCCCACCACGCAGTGATGGCTGCTGCTCCAGGGCCACGCAGCAGACGGTATGTGTGGCTGCCTGACCTGCCGGCTGCGTGGGCGCATGGGCATGTGGCCATGTGATGTGCAGGCAGCGTCCAATCCCTCCTACTCCTGGGCCCCAGGCTGCTGCCTCAAAGGCAGACGACACCTGGCGGAGCCGTGACAGCACCTGTGTCCTCTCTCTCCAGGGAAGCAGCCGGAGGCAGGGCAGAGAGATGCTGCTTCCCAGGACTGGCAGGCTCCCCGAGGGTCTCCTAGCACAGTCGCTAGTGTCGCAGCTCAGTCTGCTTATAACAAGATGTGACTGTTAGCGTTCGTTTTGGGGGTGAAACTCCCCCCCCACATAAACGGTCTTGCCGTCCAAGCAGGTCTGGTTCAAGGTCAGAGTTGCCTTGAGGCCATCAGAAGCATTTTAGCAGTTCTGCGAGGATGGAGAAAATGTTTTCTGTTTCAATTCTGAAGCAATTTAAGCAAGTGCGATGGTTCGCTAGGGCTGTGATAACAAACAGCACCGACCAGGAGCCTTGAACCACAGACACTGGCTTCGTCAGAGTCCTGGAGGCCGATGTCCCCAATGGGGTGTCCCAGGCTGGCCCCCCCGAGGCCTCTCTGCAATGTTTAGACACTGACCCGCATCCTCACCTGACTGTCCCTCTGTGTCTGTGTCCTCATTTCCTCTCCTTATAGGACACCAGTCACATTGGATTAGGGCCCCCTCAGTGGCCCCATGTGACCTTAATCAAGGCATGAAAGCGTCTTCTGCACACATAGTGGCATCCTGAGGGCTGCCTTGGGAGGTGTGTGAGGTATCGACATGAATTTTGAGATGACACAATTCAGCCCGTGGCAGTAGGAATACTAAGTGTTCTATCTGGTCTGTTTTTTGCCTTCTGATTGGTTTCCCTTGATAGCTACCACTGAGAAACTATATAAATTTTATTGCTTGCCAGACACGGATCTAGGTTCTTTACACACGAGAACTAGGTGAACTCTCACACAGCCTGCGGAGCAGGTTCATCAGCACCTCCGCTCACGGTGAATCCCGGAGAGGAAGGGAGCTCGTCCTACGTCGCACGCTGGGGGGGGGGGCGACACCGGCACGAGCTCTGCCGGGCCCTCCTGCCCAGTCACGGGGGCTTCAGCCCCCGCAGCCTCATGCCCGCAGTGCCTCTCAGGGTCCCTCCGCTCCCCACGGCGTGTGGCCCTGGACTATCTTTCTGCTGCTGCGTATGCCTGGTTGATTTGGTGAGAGATTTTTTCATCTTTTTTCTTCAGCCCTCAGGCGTTGAGCAGGCGTGCCGGCCCCGGCAGCGCCAAGGTGCTTGTGAGACCAGGCTCCTCCACACAGCAGCCAGTCGGAGCAGATGTCGGCCTCGGCCGTGAGAAGGGCCAGGGTTCCAAGAAGGTACTAACTGCACGAGGGCGCGCACGTCGGAGAAACTCGGGTGGAAGTGCGGTGTCTGCGCCGTCAGACTGGCTCTCCGTCCGAGCTCAGGTGGCCCTTTGGCCAGTCGCCTGAGAACAGCCTGTGGCGAGACTCGTGTCTGCATTCGCTTGTCTGACTATCTCAGTATCGAAAGGCTAAAACCTTAGTTTTTGGCATTTCTTTCCTGCCTGTTGAGTCTGTTTTGCAAGGTAGCGCAGAAATCTAATAAACGCAATGAAATGGGCCAGGACGGAATGCTGACAGTTCAATGAGATTTTGAAATGAAATCCTCATTTTGTAAGGCTAACAATTGAATCTTGCCAGATTAATATCTCTCGTTTTTCCTGACTAATTCAATATAGAATGGTTATTCAAACTGAACCTTTGAGGCCAGCTGGGCTGAGGTTTGCAGCCGTTTAAAACCCGGCAGGCTCCGATCGGAATTTGCTAAGGAGATTATTGAATTTGGAATACATGCTCATATTTGGGGATTCAAAGTAGCCTCGAAGTGCCTGGCTGAGTGCGTGGAAGGGGGTGGGGGAGCAGGCGGGCGGTGCGGGCATGCCCGAGAGCCGCCCGGGGTCGGGCCGCAGGCGGGGCCAGGCAGGCCCCCAGGCAGGATCAGGGTTGTCCCAGGGCCCGTGGAACACGGGGCCTGGCCATGTGACAGCACAGAGCAAAGGGGTCCTGCTGGCCATGTCATCAGAATCGGTACTGATCCCCGAAGGCGCACGGCTCGGGGCGGATCTGACCGCAGCGCGCATGTCAGCCTCCGTGCACGCTGCTGTGTCCGAGCGCGCAGGTGCGTCCTCGGGGAGCGGGGCACGTGACTGACGGGCTGATGTATTCGGGGGCTATGGCCCCGATGTGTGTGAAGGCTCCTTCTGGAAGTGGTCGTGAGCGGGGGGCAAGTCCCAGCCCCGGCCCCTGAGGGTTTCTGAGGGTCACGTGGGCTATGCCCGTGTCACCACCCTGACGTCCACGGACCCGTCGCCACCCTGTGAGGCCCAGGTTCTGCCTGTGGGGTGAGCGGGGGATGGGCTGCTCGGAACCAGATGGCCCCCAGCGCCAGGCTGTTTCCGTGGATGAGCAGGTTTCTGTGGGGCGGGCGGGCCTTTGTCCTCTTGTTACGTGGTCCACGTGCCAGAATCAAATCACGCTGGGGTGTGCAGGGCCCGAAAATTCAATCACGGGTCATGGTCCTTATTCAGCTGTTGCCTCCTGTCCTGGCTGAATTCAATTTTCCCTCGTTCTCATGCAGCTCCCTGGGAAAATCTAATCACTGTTCCATTTTAATCGGAGTAATGAAGCCGTGATAGATGAGGCCCTGAGAGGACATGCGTTTGCTGGAAGGGGCTCAAGTCAGCAAACGGTGGCAGGGCCGGCTTTTCCAACCGCCCCGGTGACGGGCAGGGCCATGCCCCCGCCCCCGAGCGTGCCCTGTCCGCCCTGACCCCGCAGCCCGCTGCGAAAGAGCACCAAGCACCCTCCCACTCGCCCAGAAACGGAGGGCGCCTTGCGCTCAGTCACAGCCGTGCATGTGTCTGTTCTCAGAAATTAAGGGGACGTATTTAAAGACACGTCCGGCAATGAATTTATCCCCATAAAGCACATAATTTCCAAACAGCTCACTTACGATTTGGAAATGGGGTCTGACTTCCGTTTCAGATGGTGGCCGAGTTTGCCGGGCACCTCCACCCCTTCGCATGCGGGTCCTGGTCATGCCAATGGGCATGCCAGGCCCGGCCATCCTCAGGTTCATGGGTGCTCCACACGTACGGAGGCTCCGTACCTCATGCGCACCCACCCCGAGCTCTGACTCCCCTCCCCCTGTACCCCAGGGCGCGTCCAGCGGGGCTGCCAAGCCTCTCACCAAAGAAGGGGTGTCCGCTTCTGTCTGCCGGTGCACCCCACAGACTTGGGGGGTGTCGTCTTTCCATTTCTGTTTGTCTCAGGTATTTTCAAATTTCTCTTCTGAGTTCTTCCTTGACTCACTGGTTACTCAGTGACATGTTGTTTAATCTTCACATATTTGTGAATTCTCCAGTTTCTTTCCTGTAATCAATTTTTGGTTTCACACCATTATAATGGAAGAAGTTGGTTTGTATGATTTTAACCTTCTTAAATGTAGTAACACTCATTCTGTGGCCAAGCATACAATTTATTCTGGAAAATGTGTTCTCTGCCTTCAAGGAAAGAATATGCATTCTGTTGCTTTGGGATGGAATGTTCTGGACATATCTGTAAATCCCTCCAGTCTAACGTCCTTGAAGGCTAGTGGCTCCTTATTGATTTTCTGTCTGGATGATCTATCCATGGACGTCAGTGGGGTATTAAAATCCCCCACTGTTACTGTATTCCTGCCTCTTTCTCCTTTTAACATTTGCTCTATATACTGAGGTGCTCCTATGTTGGGTGCATAAATATTGACAAATTTTACATCCTGATGGATCGACCCCTGTACCGTTATGAGATAAACACCTTTTTTTATCTTCTGTTGCAGCCTTTGTTTTAAAGTCTAAGTTTTCTGATATAAATATGGCTGCTACAGCTTTCTTTTGATTTCCACTTACGCGAAATGTCTTTTTCTGTCCATTACAATCTCTGCGTGTCCTCACACCTACAGGGAGCCTCTGGGAGGCAGCAAGCAGACGAGTCTTGGTTTTCATTTTCTGGGTCACTCTGTGTCTTTCGATTGCAGAATTAGTCCATTTACATTTAAAGTAATTCTCAAAGGTGCGTGCCTGTTGCTGTTCAGTTCATTGTTTCCTGGCTGGTTTTGTACTTCCTTTCTCTCCCTTTGTGGTTGGACGACTTTCTTTAGTGGTTGCTTATAGTTTCTGCTTTTCGTGTTTGGTGTTTTGTTTTGTGGTTACCATGAGTTCACATGTGACAGCCTATGTCTCTTTCAGCTGAAAACCACTTCAGTTTGATCTGATTCTAAAGGCTCAACGTTTCCCTCCCAGCCCTGCACTGTATGTTTTGAGGTCACAGTTACTGTAATTAGAGTTATTTTTATTGTGTGTGTCTTTTACCCATTGCACTAGCTTTGTAAGCAGTTTATCTACTGCCTTTATTGTATCCTTTCCGGTGAGATGTGTTCTTTCACATGTTTTCATGTTACTGGTGAAGGCCCATCCTCTTCAGCTTAAATTAGTCCCTTTAACGTCCGTTGTAAGCAGGGCTTAATGGTAATGAGCTCCTGTAGCTTCTGCTTGTCTGGGACCCTGACACGGTCCCGTCTCCCAGGCCCGGATCTCCACCCGCACCTTCCGCCGAGCCCGCTGAGGCCCTGACCCCCGGGCCCCCGTGAGCTCACCCCGAGCAGGGATACATTTCCCTGCGAGACGCTCGGCGCCTCTTGGCTGCCTCGTCTGCGGACCCAGCGGTAAATGCGGCTGGTGGGGGGGCGGGGCGAAGTGCCCACAGCAACCGGCTGCCTGGGTCAGGAACAAGAGGGCCGACGGCGCTACACCGCGCCGGAGGACACAGAGGGCCCCACGCCAGGGCGGCGACCCGCGAGCAGGGTGGGCCGGGCAGGGCCTCGGACCTCGCAGGACGCGGCGACGTGCCTGTGGATGGCTGGCCGCCCCCGCCCCCGCCCCCGCCAGCTCTGCATTCCCACAGTGGCGGCTTCCTGTCCCTGCGAGGCTCATGGGGGGGACCGTGCTGCGGACCCCCTGCACCCCTCCCACTGCGCAGCCTGTGTCCTGGGCCCGTGGGGCGGTGCAGGGGGCCGGCATTGGGCCAGGCCCGGCGCAGATGTTTCTTTTGCCTCTAAACATGCTGTGTATACAGACCCTCATCACCATTCAGACACCCAAAACCGAGGTGACAGGTGGCGAAGCCCTGTCTCCAGCGCAGACATCCCTCCCTCATCGCTGTCGTCATCTCCGCGCAGCATGTGGTCCCCGCCAGAGGGACAGACGGCATCAAGAGGGCCCCCGGGGCCCTGTGGGACGGACCCCGGCACGACCCGGCCCTCGGGGAGAATTCCGGGGCCATGCGTCCTGGCCTAGACGGGGAGCGCGCTTTGGATTTGGGCTCCTCCTCTCTGGCCGCACACAGTCAGTCTGGGGGAGACGGGCCCACAGCCACGCGCACTCTACGTGACCCTGGCAGCAGAAGGCGGTGTGGCTCCCACGGTCAAGGCCAGTTCCTCACGCTGCCCCGCTGACAGACCCACGCGGGCTCGTTCCAGCTGCCAGGCGGTGGGGGCAGGGGGCTGCGGTAACTGCTTCCACCACCTTGTGCCCCTGAGCCAGACCTATGCACACAGCAGCTGTCCCGCGTTACCAAGGCGTGGTCCCTGCCCCAGGGGCAAGCAGCCTGGGTTGACGGTGAGCCCCATTGCATGCTAGACACTGAGCGGCGAGGATGGCACGGCCACCTGGCTTGGGAGGGCAGGGGACCCAGCGTGCCTTCCCCGGACACGGCCATGTGCTCATGTCTCTGGCGGGGCTGGTGTTAGTCCATTAGGAATGAAAGTTGGAGGTGGAGGGAGAAGAGAGAAGGTTTGAAAGAACCACGTGACGGGGGGTGTCCAGGGTGAGTGGACGGAGCTGACCTCTGAGGCGCCTTCCACCTCGGAGATCAGCGGTGCGTATTTAGGGAGAGAGAAAAACAAAAGCCCAGGTTGCCGTCTGAGTTCCTAAACCACGCTGGTGCTGTGCTGGTGCTGTCCAGTTAGAAACACAGTCTGACCTACCATAGTCACAGTGGCTCCCGTGTCCCCCCACCAGAGAAACGAGGGTCTCGGCTGAAGCACCTAAGTGGCAGGGGGTGGGGGACCCCAACCTATGGGAGACCATGACACGCAAGCCCAGGGCAGACGCCGATGGAAACCAGGAGGAAGAAGCTGGGGCTGCTCCGGCTTCTGTGCTCATGACGCAGCTGATGGAGTGGGGCTGGCACCTGCAGGCGCAGAGGGACCCGGGGGCGGCATTTCTGTGCGGGGGCGAGTGCAGGGTGGACGGTGGGTGTTTCCGCGTTGCTTGTTGAAACCTTGAGCCAGTGCCTGCCCGCCGCTTGGCTCCGGGTTTTCCTGCATGTACACGCCCGCGACAAAGTTTACTTAGCACATTAGGTGCAGTCAGAGATTAACATCAGTAACAAAATAACAACACACTGCACTAGAAGTTATGCAAATGTGGTCTCTCTCAAAATACCCCACTGTACTGGGTGGGCCGCGAGGACGTCCCGGGCGGGACGGGGCAGGAGGACGTGAGGTCTCGCTGCGCTGCTCAAAATGGCGTGCGACCCAAAACTCAGGAGCTGTTCATTTCTGGAATTTTTTACTTCATATTTTCAGGCCGTGGTTGACGGAAGGCAACTGAAACCTCAGGTGGGGTGGGGGTGGGGCTACGCCGTGGAGACGCACGGCGCTGACATCATCAGACGGCAGGACAGCGGCAGCTGCGCGGGGCGGGGGGCTGAAGACGAGGCACCGTGGGCTCCGCGCCGGGCGACGCGGTGCGGTCACAGACGGCCGGTGGCCGGGCCTCCAGCAGCTGGCTCTCGGCACGGCGCTTTCTGTGGGTTGATGGGGACTCGGGTTAGGGCTCAGTGCCGACCCCGAGGGTGAGGAGGAAACGCTGGGAACCGCGGCGAAAGTCTGTCCGCCCGCAGTTACGATTTGAAAATAGCGTCACGTCGCACACTGGCAGTCTCCCCAAATGAAAACATCCCTTCTGTAAACCGGCGTCTGCCCCGACATTGAGAACTAAAACGCTCTCGTTTGTAAGCAGTCTGGTTTCCATCTAAGCTGTGGCCGCATTAAGCCGAAAGCCCCACGTCCTTTCGGCAGTCACTCCTAGTCCCGACCTTGTTTTTCCAAACGTGGGCATGTCTGGGTCGTCTCATTGTAAACAACCCCTTTGTGAAATGTCTCTAAAAGCTTTTCCTCCTCAGGAAAGGAACGGGGTCTCTGTGTGGACTCGAACATTTGGAGAGAAGATGTTGGACTAAAAATTCTTAGTGTATCTATGCATTTGATTTGTTTTTATAGTCTTGCAATTCTCAGTACTGATTCTCGAATCCCCTTAGCATTAAAAAAAAATGCACATGTGGCCCACATTACATTTCTCATACGTAATAAAATGCATAAGAAGGAAATTTTAAGAACAACAATCAAAAGGGAATGGGAGCAAAGAGTGTCCCAAGATCAAGGACAGCCCCTGGCCGGCCGCCTTCGGTCTGTCAGCCGTCACCGCCGGGCGCCGCGCGGCTCGGTCCGTGCACAGAGGCGGAGGGGGCTCCGGCCGTCGGGCGCGCGGCCTGAGTGCAGTCCGCCCGCACAGCGTGTCCGGCTCCAGCCTGCCCCTCGGGCAGGCAGGCGGCACTTCACAGACCCAGGTCGCAGACGGCGGCCCGGCACCCTCGTCCCCACTGTCGCTCCATCAGAGCCATTCCTGGGAAAGCAAGGGACTTGGGCTGATGCGGGGGTAGGCGCGCTCCGCCCACGGTTGCCCCGCAGCCGGCTCGGCACCCCTGCCTCTATCTGCCCCCGGCTCAGGTCCCGGCCCCCTCCGCCCCCAGCACTGGCTCCCCGGTGCGTCCCTTGGGGTTTTCACCTGAGGCTCCCCTCGGCCTTACAGCAGGTCCACAGCACACCCTGGAACTGAGCGCCTGCGGGAGGAGAGGTGCAGGCAGGGAGGCAGGGACACAGGGACAGAGACCAAGGACGGTGTTCTCAGCAGGCAGCTGTCGACTGCAGCGCCTTCCTCCCCACACGCCGGTCCTGCTTTAAGGCTCTCAGGCCAAGGGGCAGGCGGCTGCAAACGGGGGCTGGGAACAAGGTCGTGACCGAGGCCATAAAATCTGGTTCTTGCTTGGCATCCAGCGGCGGGGGCTGGGCGAGGGGAGGGGCCTGCTGTGGCGCCGGAGCACGCGGCCCTGCTGCCTCTGTGATGAGGCTTTTCCCGCCAGCCCCGGTTTCCTCCTAAGAGGACGCTGAAGGATGCACCAGGTGGCGATGCCGACCCTGCTCTCTGCTGGCCACCCCGCTTATGGGGACAGGACCTCCTTCCAACCAAAGCAGTGCTGCGCGGGGTCATCCGCCCAGACCTGCACCCGCGGGCTGGGATGCCTGCCTCTGGCCCTGGTAGCGTGCCCCCAGCGGGTTGGAAACGGCCCGGGGAGGGGCGTCCTGGTTGCAGCTCTGTGCTGGCTTCGTGGGGAGCAGCACGGTGGGCTGGCTTAAAAAAACAACTGGGAGGCAGCTCTGGTGCCGGCCAGTCTGGCGGGGACACCCCTGCTCCCTCAGGCCATGCCTCCCACTGCCCCTGGTCCCTAGTCCCCAGGCACACATGCCCCGAGGGGCTCACCCCTGCGGGCTGCTGGCTGCCTAGTCTAACGTGCGAACCCGCCCACAAAGCGGGTGGGCTGCCTGTTCCCCGGGAGGACACTGCGGCAGCGACGGGCTAACTGCTCCTCCGCTCTCGATCCTTGGTGACTGCAGTCTCCGAAGTCCACTGTGGGTGCCGTGCCCGCACGTCGTCTGCAGCAGCGGGCGTCCTCTGGTCAAAGCAACGTGCTGACCGGCAGGCCCCCACAGCTCGGCTCCAGCTTCAGATCCAGAGAAACAGACTCGCCGGCCGCCCCCCAGAGGCGCATGCCCCTGCGTGGATTCGGGGGTCCTTCAAGGGCAACCCCGTTCTTTGCGTTCCTCGTCTGGGTTTCTCCGGCCAGGCAGCCTGTGGCCATTGTTCAGAGACAGGCAGGAGTGTGTGCCGGGCACACTGGGCTTCACAGGGCCCGTCTGTCCCTGAGGGCAGTTGTCCCCCGGCCCTGAGCTTCTCTAGGCCTGGACCTCCCCACCCCCACCCAGCCATCCACCCTCTCTCCCCAGCTTGAATCTGAGAGCTGGAGCATCTGGACACATTGGATTCCAGGGGCACGGGCAGGGACCCCTCAGCGCTCTGAGCTGACCGGACCGTCCACAGTTGGCCTGGATCACCCGAGCTGGCGCCAGCGTCACCCCCGATACGGGGAATTCCTGCGCAGGTCGCCCTGCAGCCGGCCCTGCTGTGGGCCCCCCTTCTGCCGATCCTGACACTGGGCACCTGGGACCTAAATCCCATCATGTCTCTTTGTCACTAGATCAAAGGAGGGGCAGGGAGGAAGGGCTTGGGATTTTATTCATGGGCAGGAACCTGCCTGTGCAAAGTTTCAGGTTACAGGAAATCAAAGCTGCGCTGGAAGAATCCCGATGATGTCACCTCTAAGTGCTCTGCAAGGCGTTCCTCACTGGCGGGCAAGGAGGCCCCCCCACCCCGGGTCGGGCCTGAGCTGGGTTTCCACGTGGGCTCCCCGAGCTGCGTGGAGTTCAGGCTGCTGCACGCAGCAGTGTGGGATGTGGGGCCACCCGGTAGGTGACGGCAGACACGCAGCAGCCCACTCTCCCCAGGCCCGCGGTCAGGCGGGACATACGGCTGCTCTGGTCCGCGTGTGAGCAGAAGAGCAGCGGGCACAGACGTCCGTGACCTCGCCCTGCCTGCAGGGGAGGGACAGGCACCTCCGTGGAGAGGGCCGGGCCGGGACGGCGGGGCGGGGGGAGCCTGCAGGCACCGCTGTCCGTGCAGAAATCACGGCCCCCAGGATCTGCGTGCATGAAAATAAATGTTTGCAGGAAAACCACGCGCTGAGACACAGGTGGTGTTTGTTACCACAGCGGAGCCCCGCCCACTCTGGCCGATAACACGCCGCTGAAGACGGGTGTCGTGGCTGGAGGCCCCAAGCCTGAGGGTCCTTCTCAGCCACACCCGTGGGGAGCCCAGCGTGGCCCTGACCCGGAGTAACAGCCACGCGGGTTAGCCGCTACGCCCCATAGCCCAGCGCCGCACCTGCTGTCCTCAGGTGGTCCAGCCCACAGGCTGGAGTCCGGCTTCCCCCGCTGTGTGCAGGGGAGGCAGACGCGGGGGCTGGAGTCCTGGCGGGGCCAGGCTGTGGGGGTGCCGGCGCCAAGCGCTGTGTGTGTGGCAAGGGTTGTCAGCCCCTGTCTCCCTCCCCCCGTAAGTGCTGCACGCCCTGAAAGAGGAGCACCTCACGTAACTCAGAGCAGTGTCAAATTCCTGCGGGTTACACCCCTAAGTGCACAGAGCTGCCCCTGGATGGAACGTTGCTCACTCCCAAGTGAGTCGGGGGCCTGGCCGGGCCTCCTGCCTCAGCTGCACGACC